TTCTGCAGCTGCCCAAGAGGGAAAGTAACTCCCAGTATTGACTTTCTTTGCTCAGAAACCTGTAGTCAGGCCACCTTCTCGTTCAGCGCAGGGAGGGGGCTGGGACGGCGCAGGGAGACAGCCCTTGAACTGTTCAAACTGCGATCGGGGGCAAGTCGAGCAAGCTCTCTGGGTCTCAGTTGTCCCATCTGTCAAGTGGGGATCAGAGAGGGGAAAGAGAAATTATAACCGGCCTGAGCCGGGAAGGAGGTTTGCTCCTGACCTGTTTACCAGTCCGTGGTGGTCTGCGTGGTGAGCTGCGGGGGGCCATCAGTGGATCACACAGATACAAATGTTAGAAGATAACAATGAACAACATCTATCTAGCACCTACCAGGTGCCAGGCACCGTGTAAGCACTTTACATGAATTTACTTACATACTGTAATTCTCAGAGCCAGCCCATGAGACACTGTATCCTTTCTGCAGATGAAGAGGCTGAGGCCCAGACCAATGAAGTACTTTTCATTCAGCTTCTGAGTGGTTCGAACCCAGGCATTCCGGCTGCAGCTTGCCCTCTTTTGCTTTCTGCTTTTGCTTTTCTTCCCAAAGGGGCTGACCTCTCTCTTTCTCCTCTGCCTGGGGACCCAGAGTCAGGGCAGCCAGGGGTCCTGGAGTCTGGACAGATAGGGTACCTGCCCACTGGGCATGGCTGGGCCCCGAGGATGGGCAGAGATATGGGACGGACACCCGAAGGGGAGGGAGCTGTGGGCTTTGCATGGTAGGAATTTAGGATCCAAAGTTTGGAGGTGGAGTGGGAGCTGGCAGCCCAGCCAACGGCGCTGCTGCCCACCGCCTGCTGCCCTGGCCTCCGCCAAAGTCACAGTCCACACAGCTGCCCACGGCCCAGGGTCAGCAAGGGCTGCCTACCCACGCCCGAATGGGTCAGCTGCTTTTCCCACCCCTGGTCACTCTGGCTCAAGCATTTGTCATTTTTGGCTCTAAGAAAAAATATGATTCCAATCTCTGCATGTCCCCTCCACCCCCAAGTCTGTGTCACACAAGTGCACACACTGCCCTCCCATTTCAGGGGGAGAGTGCAGGAGGTCACTGGCCGGAGGGCAGGCTTCTCCATTCATTCAACAGATGTCGGTTAAGCACCTACTGTGTGCTGGGCACTGCTGGGTGCTTGGCAGCCCTGAGGCAGGAGACAGTAAACATGTGCTTCGAGAACTTGTGGTCACGGGCCTGCCTCCTCCCATCATCCTTCCAACACCCACTTCCTCAGGTCACTTTTTCTTTCCAGCCCTGTGCAGGGAGGGGACCAAGTGGCCTCCTGTGTGGAGTTTAATCCCAGCTTGACCACTCACTAGCTGTGCTGCTTTGAACATATTACTTACCCTCTCTGTCTCGATCTGTTCACTCATCCTCCCAATATTTAATGAGCACCTACTATGTGGAACCTACAATTTAATAAGCCATTAAATTGTAGCAGGAGGTGGTTTGTCTCATGGAATAAAAGGAGACGCACAGGCCCAACCGGTGTGGCTCAGTGGATTGAGTATCATGCCATGGACTAAGAGGCCCTGGTTCGCCCTGGCCGGTCTGGCTCAGCAGTTCCAGTGTCGGCCTGCGGTCCAGAGAGACCCGGGTTCGGTTCCCGCTAAGGGCATGTACCTCTGTTGCAGTTTGTCCCCGGCCCTGGTTGGTCGTGCAGGTGGCAGCCACTCGATGTGTCCCTTTCACGTCGATGTTTCTCTCTCTTCCTCTCTCTCCCTCCCACTCTATCTGAACAAAAAAAATGGAAAAATGTCCTCGGGTGAGGATTAAAAAAAAAGAGGTCCTGGTTCTATTCCTGGGCAGGGCACATGCCCGGGTTGGGGGCTCGATCCCCAGTAGGGGGCGTGCAGGAGGCAGCTGATCGATGTTTCTATCTTTCCCTTTCTCTCTCTCTCTAAAAAAAAATAAATAAAATAAAAAAACATAATTAGAAGAAAAGAAAGAGAAACACAGGAAGGTAAGGGGGTGTCCGGAAGTGGAGGCGGGGGCCGCGGTGGGGTGGCCTCTGAGACGGTGGCAGCTGAGTGGGCTTGAAGGAGGCGAGCAGAGAGCACGTGGACCTGTGGGGCTGACAGGCCAGGCAGCGGAGCGCGGTGGGAGCGAGCCTGGCCGGGGTTGATCCAGCAAAGGGGCGTCCACAGGTCCCTCCGCATTCTTGTCCTTGCTGTCAATCTCGGCCTGGTTCTTTCTTGTTCATGTCTGCGATTTGTCTCCAGCACCAAGGCCCATGTCCTACCCCTGGAACCCAGTCTGCCCGGATCCCTAGAAGTGGTCAGTACACAGCACCGATGGGCTCTGGGCTGGTGCAGGGTTTCTGGTCGACCCGAATATAGGTGCTGGGAGGGCCCTCAGCTCTCCCCCGAAAGAGTCCCAGATGTCAGCCCTTGCCTGTGGCTCCCCACGAAGGTTTCCCAGTTCCTTGCGTGATGAAGTGGGGGGAACACGGCCACTGTAGTGAGCTGAATATAGGCTAGGTGGATTCCATTTAAAACTTCTGAGATTATTAACTTCCTACTTGTGTGAACTGTCCCTTGCTGAACGTACAGCAGCAGTCTGCGGTCATTGTTTAGCCTTTCCTTGGCAACACAGATGTGGCCGTCTTAGGTAGCACCTCCCCCTATTTTTAACTGTTTGGAAATGTTTCTTTGTGCATTGCCCTGAAGTCTGGGACCCACTGTCCTGTTTGTCCCTCTGCTGGGCAGGTTTGGGATCTGTGACCCCGGGAGGTCCTGGTTTGCTCAGGGTCACAGACAAGAGTGAATTGTCCCACTTCGGGTCAGCAGTGGAAAAGAGCTGTAAGAGGGAGCCAAGGGCAAGGGAAGTCCTGGACGGAGCTCCAGCTGAGTGGAGGTAGGGCCGTGCATGGCAGTGAGGTTTGGCCGAGCCATGGGCTGGGGCCACCTCCACTAGGCTGCTGGAGGCACAGGGCCCGGAGTCTGATAGGCCCAGATTCCAAACCAAGCCTGTGCTTCCTCAGCTGCCTGGGACTTTGGAGTATTATTTCACCTCTCTGGTCCTCCTGTTCTTTTCTGTAAAATCAGCATAAGAGTGAGGAACTAACGGGATAGCACAGTACCCAGCGAGGCGGGTCACATTGGCAGGTGGGTTGCTCCTTCTCTGTCGAAGGGTGCTGAGTTAACATGGAGACACTTGAACCCTGGAGGGGGTCCTATTCTGCTTCACATCAAATCATACCTGTTGCTTACTGAGCACTGACACACGAGCTTGGTTATCCCTGTTGAGGGACAGGTGCCCAAGGAGGTGGGTATATTTGTGCCCATTTCACAGTTAGTAAGAGGGGACTGAGATCCAAACCCAGAGTGTTTGATCATCGTTTAGGTTTTTGACACTCTCTTGTGCTACTTTAAGCTTCTTGGGGGTCTACACAGCAGGCTGGAAAGGTAGTGAGTTCCCTGTCCTAGGAGATGTGTAAGTACAGAGCCAGTCATCAGTTAGTGGGAAGCAGAAGCAGGAATTTAGGAACAGATGGAGGGATTGACCTAGATACCATTTTCTATCTCTTTAAACACGCCCTGTAATTTTAGGATAAGGACCTTATCTCCTCGGTCTTGGTCTCACCTGCTCCCTTGCTGCCTAGAACAGCAGGTGTACACTGTGATCCCTCAAAAACTGTTGAATGGGTGAGCGAATGAGGAGCGGTGCCCGAGTCCCGTCGGCTCAGTAATGAGGAAAGTGCAGTCCAGGGAAGAGAGGGCATCTCTGGAGTCCAGTGCAAGGGTGGGCGTGCACCCCTGCCTCCCAGGTTGCACACAGGCTCAGGTTCCGGGGCAGCCGGAGATTAGCACCGAGTCAAGTCAGATCCCTGGCCCTGTGCTGGCGCAGCAGGTGCTCACAGATGGTAGCTTTTAGTTTTTACAGCCAGATGAATGCCTGCTGTCTGCCCATCTTTTTATTTTATTTTTTTATCCTCACCCGAGGGCATTTTTGCATTTATCTTCAAATAGAGCAGGAGGGAGAGAGAGAGAAACATCAATGTGAGAGACACATCCACTGGTTGCCACCCACACGACCCTAGCTGGGGCCGGGGACAAACTGCCACCGAGATACGTGCCCTTAGCAGGAACCGAACCCAGGTCTCTCTGGTCCATGGGCCGATGCTCTAACCGCTGAGCCAAACCGGCTGGGGCTGTCTGCCTGTCTTTTAGGGTTGAGGTCAAGAATGCAGACTTGGAATGAGACGGAGCTGAATTGAAGCTCTAGCTGTGTGAGCCTCAATTTTCTCATCTGTAAAATGGGAAACTGTTGGGCCTCCTGGGGGGTCCAAACAGATCTTGTGGATAAGTGCTTCATTCTGGGGGCTCTTGTTAGTGTCCCCCGACCCTCCCCATCTGGTCCTGAAAGGACACATTTGAAACTCTCCCAGCATCTGAGGGGCAGGTGTGTGTGTTTTGCAGGTGGTGTGGGGGGGTAGGTGACCTCCCAAACAATGTACAGTCGTTTTCTGGCTAGAACGGAAACTAATAACACAACAGCTACTGTTTATTGAGCACTTGCTATGTGCCAAGAGTCATACACGCACTCTCCTCGGATTCTCATACAAACTCCAGAAGTGGCTGTGACAATCACACTCATTTGGAGACAAGCGTGGACAATCAGAGAAATGACTGTGCTAGGATCACCTACTAAGAATTAATGTTGAAACCGGGGCGCTTGTCTTTGGGGCTCAGTGCTTCCCGGATTCGCCCCAGGTCCCTGCACCATAATTTAGTTTGACTGAACGTGTGTCTTCTAGAGCAGACCCCCAGGCCCCACTCCAGCTGCTCAGCACACTTTCTACCCACAGGCTGGACTCCTTTGCTCGTGTGCCCTGAGGGTTGCCAGGAGGCCAGGACAGACACTGGAATCTCCTGCCCTGGGGCGAGGAGGCCCGGGGCAATGGGCCTGTGCTGGTGAGTTCCGCCCGCTGACACCTTGCTCAGCTCTGCCTTCTTACCTCTCCAGGAGTTTCTCTGTGACCAGAAGTACAGCGATGAGGAGGACCTGCCACAAAAGCTCACAGCCTTCAAAGGTGAGCTGGGCTGACTGCCCCCCTCCCAGGCCCTCCGGCATGGAATTCCTTACCCCATAGGACCAGGCTGCACTCCTGTTTCCTCCAGGACGCCCCTGTCCCCGGTGGGCTGCAAGACAGGGTGTCCGGCTAGAGGCTGCCTCCAGCCGCCCCTGGCCCCTGCCCCTCGCCCCTCGCCTACAGACCTCAGCCTGCCCCTGCCTCTCCCCACAGCTGCCCCGCAGGGCTCAGGTTGGCTCCTGTCGCGCTGCCCAGGCCCTGCTCGCTCCCGGCCCCAGCACACAATCAGCTCTTTGTAGCAGCCCTGGCCTCTCCCCCTCCACCATGGAGCGCCTCGGGAGCCCCTGTGGAGAATGGACGCCTGTGTCTCCGCGCTGGAGCAGGGGGCAGAGTTTCTGCCCATTGAATCCCGGCAGCACGGGATGAAAAGAAAACAGGGCCCTGGGAGCCCGAGCGCGGGGAGGGGGCCGCATAAAGGTCCCTCTGTTCCGGGCCCTGGCGCTTGGTTCCCAGCCAGCGGCCCAAGAAAGGAGAGGAGCCCGGCACATAAGGAGCAGACAGACCCACCTTTCCTGCCAGGGAGATGCCCTCAGGGCACATGGGAGGACCATGCAAATATCTTCGAAAGCCTTGGCAGTGTGGGCCACCGTCCTGCTCCAACGCAGGACCCTGCCAAGCGCTCCTCAGGCTGGGTACCATTGGTTGTCCTGGCCGAACATCCACGGCTAAGCATTTGTTGGACATTGACCTGTGGGAAGCACTTTGAATGCCGTGCTGTGAGCTCCCTGAATCATCCCAATCCAGCCAGGAAGGAGATGATGACATCTTTAATGTAGAGAAGAAATTCAGGCTCAGAGAGGAGGGGTCATTTGCCTGAGGTCACACAGCTCACCTAGGGCAGAGTTGGGGATTGAACCCATATTGGTCTCACTCCAGAATGCCTGCTCTTAACCTCTGTAAGATATGCATTTTACATTAAAGAAAGAACTAGAACAAAGATACTCCCCTCCCTGCCCTGTCACCCGGGCAGCCAGCCAGCCATAGGAGCCTCACCCTGGAGGAACAGCCCTTCCCTTCTCTCTGGTTATCAGTGGGCTCACTCTCCAGAGGTGGCTCTGGGAGAAGGGACAGAGGTCTCTGGGATAGTAGGTGTTTGTGTGTGTGTGGGGGGGGGTGCTGTGAGGCCCTGATGGCATGAGGAGCCCTGGGATTACCTGGGAGGGACATTCCAGACACGGGGTGGCCAGCCCCGAGCAGGAGCAGGTGGGGACTGGGCCAGGTACACCAGGGTCAGTGGATGGAGCAGAGGGGTGGAGGGCAGATGCTCCTGAAGGTCATGGGGCCTCGAAGGAGACTGGGAGACCTTGGCTTCCTCGCACTGGCTGCTCCGTGCAGAGTAGACCCGGGGGGCCCTGCTCTTCTGTGGCAGGGCTGACCTGCCAGGGTCACAGGCCTTGTTTGCACACACTGCCCACGACAGAAGGTACCAAGGTGCCCCAGTCATTGTCCCTTGCTGTTAGCGGTCCCCTGGGCCCCTTGATCAGGGACGTTTAATTCAGTCTGCAGGTGAGGTTTGTGGGGAGGGCCTGTGTGTCCTCGGACATTGTGTGTCCCACTTTGTGGTCGAGGGCAGGCCCAAGGGCATTTCTTCTGGAAGAGCACCCAAAGGTTCCAAAGCACAGGGCCGCCCTGTCAGTGGTCCCCACACCTGGCGGCCCATGAGAACACCTGAGACTGACAGGCGGTGCTTGCTCCCCCTGCCCTCCTAGCCCCACCCAGTCTGTCTCCTGGGCCAGAATCTACTGTGGCCACTGGAGCCGATTCGAACGCAGGCAGCCGTCAGTGGTGGGGGCTGGGAGGAAGGAGCTGTCCTCCTCAGCAGAGGACCAGTGGCCTCCCGGGCACCTTTCTCCATGGTGCCCATGGGAGGGGGGTGCAGACAGGACAAGCTCTTTCCTCAAGGACACTAAGATGATAAGACTCGTGTCGGGACCCTCACCTGGGGTGAGGAGTTAGGTGTGGGCTCTCCAAGGACCTGGCCAGTTGCCCCTGGGGAGGCACTGGGACCCTGCAGGGGCCACCCTGCCCTCCAAGCTAATGCCCTTTTTGCTCTGTGGTTTCCAGAGAAGTACATGGAGTTTGACCTGAACAACGAAGGCGAGATTGGTGAGTGAGGCCCGAGAGTGCGGGGACGAGGATGCTCGGTGGGTGGACGGTGTGAAGGTCCAGAGAGCCCACAGACTCACCAGCTCGGGGGAGGGGTCGTGAGCCTGATGCGCACACACTGAAGCCTTCTCGAAAGGCTGGGCCGGCGGAGCAGCTGCCTTCACGGTGTCCTGGATCCGTCGCCCCACCCCTCCCTTCTGACCGTTTCCCTCTCCGACCCCCGCACTGCCCACACCTCCGCCTCCCACCCCAGGGCCCAGCGTAGAGAGGGCCGCCCCTGCCGGGCTGGACATGCTCAGGCTTTTGGTGCCCTGGCCCAGGGGGCTGGCATTTCCTTTGTCCCCAAGCCTCTCCTCCCATCTGTACACTGTCCTGCAGTTGACAAGGTGCCTTCAGGTACATCGGTTCCCTCCTCCAACAGACCCTTTTCCTGTCCTGCCGCCCAGATACTGGGAGCGACAAACACCTGTCCCATGGCACTTATATCCACATGTCTTGACCTTCACCTGTAACAGAATGACACGGTGAAGGCTGGTTTAATTATCCCCATTTTACAGATGAGGAAACAGAGGCTCAGAAAGAGGAAACGGCATGCTCGGGGCAGGGGGTAGTTAAGTGGCAGGCCCGGCCCATCCCTGCCCGGTTCACCCTGAGCTCGTGTTGCCAGGCTTCTCCTCTCCTGTCTTCTCTCATTTGTCCCCCCTTCAAACATTGTCTTCTCTAGAAGAACACTTATTGAGGGAATACATTTCCAGCATAACACTTTTTGGAAAGCCAGACAAAAACGCGTCCCCCACATCCCAGCTCCCAGAAATACCTGCTGTAAACAGCTTGGTGTATTTCTTCCACGCTTTGTTCTGACCACAAACGCTGTTTTCCACCACTTTTAGAACCTCCTTTGTTTAAAAAATAATAACATATTGTGAGTATTCTGGCATATGATTAACTTTTCTTTTGAAATATAATTTAGTGGCTGCAGAATATCCCGTTGCGGGGAGGGACTGTCATTTATTCGGCCAACGCCTGAGTGCCATTGATAATCCTGTGAAGAACATCTTTGCACATGAATCTTTGTCCACATCCCTGATTATTTCTTAGGAGTAGATCTCAGGAATTGGACAATCTGGGTCAGGGGTTTTTGAAGCATCCCGCCAAGCGGCTTTCCAGAAAGGTCTCGCCGGTTTAGAGTCCGGCAGCAGCGGTGGGAGACCTCGCTTTCTCCTGTAGAAGGCTGCCCAGCTTTCTTTGAAATGCCCTGGCCGCCCTGGCACCGAGGGTCTGGCCGCAGTCCTGCCTGGCCCGACATCAGCCCCTGCCAGGCCGCCTGGCCCGCCGTCCTTTGCTGACCCATTGTTAATGGAACAATCTGAAGGAAATTGCCTCAGATCTTGGGAGCCGGGGGATCAGAGGCAGCAACTCCTCAGGGTGTAGTGACTTTCTGGTGCCTCCCTTGTTTGTCTGGAATTTTGTTCCTTTGTTGGTTCTCCTGCTCTGCGGGGCATTGTTGGCCCCCTCTGCCTTCTGGACAGCAGGGTGGCAGTAGCAGACGGGAGAAGCTGCCACCTGGCCCCTGGAGATGACTGTGATGCCAGGGCTCAGGCCAACTCCCTGACCCCCCCTCGCTGGGCAGTGACCTCCGGCTCGCTGGGCAGCCAGCCCGTGGCTCCCCCGGCCACAGGGAGGAGCAGAGATAATAGTAAAGAATAGCTGCTCTATCCCTGTGCACCTGCTTAGTGCCAGGTGCCTCTCGGGCATCGTTCCTCCTGATGATCCCATCAGTCTATTTGACCACCGATGGGAGCAGGGGTTCAGAGAGGTTAAGTAGTTTGCCCCAGGTCCCACAGCCAGAAAAAACAGAGCTGGATTCCAACCCATGTCTGTGCGACACGAGAAGCCTATGTTCCCTAACCACTCGTCTATATTGCCTCCGAAGAGAGCAGGGAGGGCGTGATAGGCTCGTTCTCCCTAGAGGAGCAAGGCCAGTGACTGCAGTCTCCAGGGAGAGGCTGTCCGGCTGGGCTTCCTCTGGGTGTGGGGTTCAGAGGGAGCTTTGCCAGCTTCCTCACTGACCCCTGCTGCCTGCCTCCACTTTAAAGGGTCTGCTTTTCTTCTGGTAGACCTGATGTCTCTAAAGAGGATGATGGAGAAGCTTGGGGTCCCCAAGACCCACCTGGAGATGAAGAAGATGATCTCGGAGGTGACAGGTGGGGTCAGCGACACCATCTCCTACCGAGACTTTGTGAACATGATGCTGGGGAAACGGTCGGCTGTCCTCAAGCTGTGAGTACCTCCCTGCCTCTCCTGGGGTCTCTGAAGGCCAAGTCATTGTGTGTGGAGAGGCCCCGGGCTCGGGCGCGTCAGCCATCCCCCAGCCAGGAGGTGACGCATTGTGTGACCCGCTGGGCAAGGCTTTTCATTTCTCTGAACTTGACTTCTTTATCTGTCGAATGTCACGCTAGCATGTACCTTGCAGGTGAAAGTAGCCTGTAGCGGGTCTGGTAGCATCAGCGCTCAGTTAAGTGGCGACTGTGATGATGGTGGCGGTGAGGGTGACAAAACTCGGGGCAGAACTTTCTGAACCTCAGTTTTCTCATTTGTAAAGTGGCCCTACTACCCCAGGGGGCTGTCGTGAGCAGACTATAGCACTTTAAAACCGGCTCCAAAGGGAGGTAGAGTTCCATGCTATTCCTCTGTAAGATAGAGATGTAATAAATGTCTTTCCTGAAGCGTTGTCCTGAGGATTCATGAGATGACACACATGAAGAGTCTAGCCCAGTGCCTGGCTGACGGCAAATCTCACAGGCCGGACACAGGAGCTACCCCACTGGGGAGCTGCAGAGACAGTCCTTGTACATTCTCATGGTGTTTGAGCTGAAAAGGACCTCACTTGGTTTTCACGAAATAAGATTAACTTTTTTTCCAAATGTCAAATATACCTGTCTCATTCTACAAAAGGGGACGTTGAGGCTCCAGAAACCTGCTAGTGAGCCGCAGGGTGGGCAGGTCAGAGCTTTTAGTGTGGGTGCGGCGGGGCAGGAGGTGGGGCTGGGCAGGAGGTGGGGCGGGGCAGGAGGTGGGGCGGGGCAGGAGGTGGGGGAAAACCGCCAAGGTCAGAACGCAAGCAGAGGGCAGGTAATAGCAAGCAGAGCGATGCCGCTATTAAAATGACATCAAAGATCTAGCAGACATTTATCATGTGTCAGCCACTCGTCTGCTTGTTAACTCTTTAGATTTATCATTTGTTAATTCAGCAAATATGTATTGAGCACCAGCTATATGCCAGGAATTATTCTAGGTGCTGGGGACACATAAGTTGATGATTTCCTTGTGGAGTTTACATCCTAATGGCCAGAGACAAATGAAAACAAACAAAAACAGATTGCAGTGGTGTACAAAGAAATATAAAGTGGGAGGAGGGCCCTGGCCAGTTGGGCTCAGTGGTTTAGCGTTGGCCTGCGGACCAGAGAGTCCTGGGTTCAGTTTCCGCTAGGGGCGCGTACCACAAAAATAAAAAATAAATAAATAAATAAAGTGGGAGGAAGAACAGAGATGATGCACTGGTGGGCAGGAAGGGTCTCACTGAGAAGGTGACATCTGACCAGAGTCCTGAGTGAGGAATAGCATTCCAGGCAGAGGACACCGCACATACAAAGGCCCTGAGGCAGAATTGTGCTCATGATTTTAAGGAACAGCACAGAGGCTAGTGTGTCTGGACCCCTGGTACGTACAGATGAGTCTGCAAAGGTGGGCAGGGGCTAAGGGATAGGGCGCCTGCTAGGCCCCAGTCAGGCTTAGCATTTTGGGTTGTTTATTTCTTTCAAACAAAACACTCATTTTACTATTTTAAAAGACAAACCAAAAAACTGATAGGCTGAAGGAGTCCAGACCAATCAGAACTGACGCAGCTGTAAAAATAAATAAATAAATACAATGATTTGACTTCATAAAAGAAATGACTAACTCAAATTTCACAAATCTTCATGTGTATAGTAATATAGTCATGTACAAAATATCGGAAATACAAGGTATGAATTTTCCCCCTTAGGTTTAGAACGAACTATCAAACCTCTGTTTACTGCATGTACTTTTCTAAGCCCTCTCTGTTCAGCAGCACACTCTGTACAAGCACAGACATGCTAGTATATTTTTAAAGGGTTTTTTTCTTTATTGATTTGAGAGAGAGAGGAAGGGAGAGGGAGAGAGGGAGACAGAAACATCGATGAGAGAGAAACCGATTGGCCACCTCCTGCATGCCCCCCACCTGGGCATGTGCCGTGACCAGGAATCGAACTGACGACCTCTTGGTGCAGGGGTCGACGCTCAGCCACTGAGCCACACCAGCCTGGCCAGGCTAGTATTTTACCATGAGAATTCATTTTCATTTCAGACTAGTGACTTGTCTTTTACCCATAACTATACACATTTCATTTTCCTTAGGAGACACTTAAGACCTTGCTAGTGGTTCGTTTTAGGCTTAGCATTTTGTACTCAGGGGAGGGATGTCACTAGAGTGCTCTAAGCCGGAGACTGACTTTTCACAGGCCCCCTCTGGTTTGGCAGGGGTGCGAGTGGCCACAGGGAGGCTGCAGTCGAGGTGGGCAGGAGCTGTTGGCATCGGAGTGATTTGGGAGGTAGGGCTGGAAGCTTTGCTCCATGTCCAGATGCGGGGTGTAAAGGAAAACGAGGAGTCTGCTGATTCTAAAGTCTGGGGTCTGAGTAACTGAGTGAGTGGCTGTGCTGTTTGCTTAGAGGGAAGAGCAGGTGGGGGAGGCGGGAATCAGGAGTTCAGGTTTCAGTATGTTCGAGGGAAGTGCCCTTCAGACAGCCCAGGGGAGGGGTCGAGGAGGGAGCTGGCAGGAGATCCCGAGCTCCGAGATAAGCTGTTCGTGGACTGCCGCCCCTTGGATGGGATTTAGAGCCAGGGGACTGGAAGAGCCCAGCCAAGGGATGACTGCAGACGGAGTAGGGCACTGATGCCTGGACCGGCTCCAGGTCATAAGCGCCTTGGCACCCTCACCTCCAGATGGAAACTAAGCATCAGAGGGGTTGAGTGTCTTTCTGGAGATACCAGCTGGGAAATAGTAGGGCTGGGACTCAAATCCAGCTGTTTCCCTCCAAGGCTACACTGTGAACCCTTATCCTCTACTCCCCAGACTTGGCTCTCAGAGCAGTGGGAAGTTGTTGAAGTTCTGAAGGGGTTCTGAGCAGAGCCATGGCCCAGCCTAGCTCCCCCTCCTCTGGGCACTGTGGTTAGGAGAAAGTGCATGGCCTAGAAGTCAGAGATCCGAGTCTTTCCTGCCTGGACTGTCTGCGTGCCACTTTGCGCCTCAGTTTTCTCCTCAGTAAAATGGGTCTAGGAGCCCCTTCCATGGGCTCCTACCCAACCCCCACCCGTGCAGAAGGGCTCCCATAGCTGCCATCCTGGGCTTCTGAGAAAATCCCAATGGAAAATGGATGGAGGGCGCTCTGCTGAGGACCCTGCAGGTGGAAGGCTGGAGAAGGCAGGGGTCCTAATGCTGTGTTTTGTTTTTGTTTTTCCTCCATCTCCAAACCAGAGTCATGATGTTTGAAGGAAAAGCCAACGAGAGCAGCCCCAAGCCGGCTGGCCCCCCTCCAGAGAGAGACATTGCCAGCCTGCCCTGAGGACCTGCCTGGACCTGCCCCTCCCCCCCTGCCCTGTTCCTCCCTCCTGATCTTGCTGCCCTCTGGACTCCTTGTATTTTGTCTTATTTGGGTTTCTTGGTCATTGGGCATGTTTTATTTGTCTTTTGTTTTTGTTTTTTTTTCACCTGCAGGATCAGTGATCTCTTTGTAAAGCACAAATTATCTGCCTTAAAAGGGCTCTGGAGCCCCTCCCTCTCTTCTTCCATCCTTCCCTCCACCCCACCCCCACCCGTGCAGAAGGGCTGATATCAAACCAAAAACCGGAAAGGGCAAAGCTAGGGCAGGGAGGCTAGAAGCCTGGGGTCCCCACGCTTGGAGCTGGTATTGTCCATTCTTCCTGGGGGTCTCCGAGCTTAGTCCGGGCTCACGGGCCTGGCCACTTCCAGGAGACCTTGGAGTAGGGACAAGGCTGCAGAGCCTCGCTAGGGACACAGGTTCTAGTGCTCTTGGGTAGTCCAGGATGTGGCCACGCACTGCCCCACCTCCCCAGGTGATGCCCCTCTCGACCAGCTTCTCATCCTCAGTGAGGTGACAGAAGGCGGGAAGGAGGCCATTTGAGCCCTTCAAGAAGTTTCTGGAAGAAATCCTCTGGCCTTGCTCCCCTGGCCACACCTTTCCCGGCAAGCTCAGAGGGAGCCCTGTCTGTTGCTGGGCAGCAAAGGGCTTTGGAGGTAGAGGCGAGGCCAGCAGTTTTGGGGAGGAGGGTCATCTCACTGTAGTCCCACCTTTCAGGGAGGATGCTGAGGACAACAGGTTAGGAGAACGGAGAACAGAACGCTCGTGGCAAAGAGCACAACGTTAAGCCAAGACCTGGGAATAGGACTTTGCCTTTCTGATCCGTCTGCTTGAAAGCGGACTGTGCTTCCCCCATTCGCCTTCCCACCTTACACCATTCATTCATTCACTCATTCATTCATTCATTCACTCAGTCATACAACAGATATTTATTGACCCCCTCTTATAAGCTTTAAGACCCCGCACTGTGTCCTGACGTGTGCTGTGTCCACTGTCTAACTCATCTCGCCCTTTCCAAATCGCCCCAGACCTTGAGCTTGGGCATTGGATTGGGGCCTCCTGTGTCCTTTATTATGGACGCACAGGGTTTAAAGCCCTGATTCACCCTGTAGGTCAGCTGAGCCAGTCCCCTCATGTCACAGGGGAGAAAACTGGTGGCCCACAGGGATGAAGTGCCTTGCCCAAGGCCAGGGGTTAGTCTGGAGATGCAAGAGTCTGAACTGGAGCCCAGGTGTTCAGATGCCCTCTCCATGCTTCGTGTCTGCTCTGCGCTGCCTCGGATGAAAACAAGGGAAGGGGCAGGGAGGGACAGCCCCGGGAAAAGACTCCGGGCCAGGACTCACCTTCCCAGTGCCTCCGAGTCAGCATCAGGGTTTGGGTGAGGGCGAGGCCCACCTCTGCAACCCTGCGTTCTCAGCTAAGCTACTTCTCAGAACTCACACAAGTGTCACACTCGGCCCCATGTTGGCTGAGCAGGAACCTTAGCCTTGACCCTACCTGTGTTCTGGAGTCCCTGACCCTGCCTGCTCATGACTTAGATGCATTCATCCGTTTAACATACTTATTAAGCACCTGTTATGGGCCAAGAGCGAAGAACCCAGTAGTAAAATAGACAGACTCATATTTAGAGTCTAGTGAGGAAGTCAGACCAGGACAAGGACAAGTGAGATGAATGTTAGGAAGGGGGGGGGGGGCTATGGAGTGACTGCACTGCAATCCTGGGGGTGGGGGCAAGATGGGCCCAGGACTAGGCAAAGATCTTAGAGAAGCCTTTGCCAAACCTGAAGTGGCGAGGTCTCGGGGCTGTTGGTGGCTGGAGCCAGTGTGGGTTCCTTGTGGCTCCTCAGTGGCCCATAATCAAGGGTCCAAGGAGCTGTCCTTACAGCAGCCTGAGGGAGTGGTGCAGGTAGGGGATGGGAAAATGGCCAGTTCGGGTTAATCAGTCTCAACCAGTTCAGGAGCAAGATTATTTGGCCATGACTGGCTGATCTTCAGGCTAAGGAGCTGCTCAAATGCGCAGGCTTAGTTGAAGTTTAAACCCAGCAAAACAGTTCACCCTGTAAATGTAAAATCTCACCCCGCCCCCTTCCCTGCCTTGGCTTTTTCCTCCTGCGATCATTAGATAAGCAACTGCCTGCTCCTACCCCTTCCCCCTACCTCTCCTCTCTGGGACAGGATGAGACCTTTGAGCAAGGTCAAGCTTTCCTTGCCTACCCATCATAGTGTACCTGATCCTCACTCAGAAAGGAGGGCAGAGCCAACCAGGCTTATTTCAATAGGACCCACAGTTTACAAGACCACAGGAAAGACTACTTAAGGGAGGAGAGCAAGTGGGTGTGTCCTCAGCTCTGGAAAGGGCAGGAAAGAGCTCTCTTCTAGAGGGACAGGGGCTCAAGGATGGCCCCTGGAAAAGGGGTTCTGCATGTATTTCAGGTTGTGGCTCTTGACTCTAGCACTCTACTTCTCTGGGTAAGGGCTCAGCTTAGATCTTCATCTGTGTTCTTCCTGAAAGACCAAATCTAACTAATGTAACCAGAAACTTGGGGATTGCCAAGTGTGGCTTTGTCCCTGCAACTCAAAAGGAAGGAGTGTGTCGGGCAAGTTCAGGTGGATGCAGTATGTGTGTGTGCGTGCATGTGAATGTGTGTGGTGCTGGATATTATCTCTACATACTGGAAATAAAACAGACAAACTTATCAATGTCTTGATTGGTATATTTTGGGGATGGGTTCCGGGGCTCAACAAATTCTGAAGAGCTAGCTAAGATAGTAACTGAATGAACGTGTCTTGTGTACCAGGCTCTGCTAAACACGGAACTTCATTTACTCCTCACAACAACCCAAAGAGACAGGTTCTATGTGTCATCCTTGTTTTATAAATGAGAAGCAGGCTTGGAGCAGATCCACAATTTGCTGAAAACCAAAAAGTAAGTGGCAGAATATGTCCCTCGCACCCCCAGCTCCAAGTTCACCTCTGTCCTAGGGCATTTCTTAGATAGAAACGTCTACATAATAGTCATCATTGAGCATATCCAGACAAGCTGAATTCTGATCCCTCCTACACTAGGGGCACTGGGTAATTTTAACTTCTCTGTGCTTCCAGTTACCTCATCGATTATATGGCAATGACTCGTAGGTGACTAGGATCTAGTCTAGAAGATAAATAACACACAAGTGTTTTGCGGTTTCCAGGTTTTTGCTTCGGAAACGATTACCTTGAAAAGAGTAAACAAAGCCGATGTTTGGTGGTCTTTAACCTCCCCTTAGGTCTCCGTTGGTGAGACCCTACCACATCCACTTCCTGAACCTCTTTTCCTCCACACCCCCCTCCAAAGCCCTTCTCAAAAGCTGCCCCTGTAAATAGTGGTCAAGTTCCTAACTTCTCTGAATCGGGAACTAGGTATTAATAACCACCTACAGCCCAGGCCGGTTTGGCTCAGCAGTCTGAGCCTCGGCCTGCACACGAGTCCTGCGTTCAGTTCCCACTAAGAGCGCGTACCTCAGTTGTATTTTTCCCCAGCCCCGACTAGGGTCTTGTGGGTGGCGACCAAACTCACTTCGATGTTTCTCTCTCCCTCTTCCCCCCCTCCCTCCCACTCTATCTGAAGATAAATGCAAAAAAAAAAAAAAAAAAAATCCTCGAGTAAGGATTAAAATAATAATAACCACCACCTACATCCAAGTGTTACTGTGAAGTCTCAAATCAACACTGAGCCTGGAGCGCTGGGACATGCGCAGTCTTATGAAAGAAACCAACACGAAGCCTGCTCCAGGGCGCAGGCGCGCGGGTCCCGGGGCCCCGCCCCCCTACTCGGCTGGAGCTGGCCAATGGGAGGCGGCGGCTAAGAGAGCGCGCGACTTCAGACGGTCCTCGGCCTCCCTGGACCACACCGTGGGCGAAAGCGTGTGACGCCACCAAAGCGCGCCGGAAATGCGGAGTGTGCTGCGCGTCGTTAGCATTGAGCGGAAGAAGTTGGCCTCGGAGCGGTCTGGGCTGTGCGGGCAAGGCCGCGGCGGCAGCGGCGGCTGCTTCGACCCACTGAGGGTGGCGCGATGGGAGACGAGATGGATGCTATGATCCCTGAGCGGGAGATGAAGGTCAGAGACTGGCCAGGGCTTCCCTCTCTTCCTTAGTCCCGGCGTCGCCTTGGAGCCCGGCTGAACGGCGCAGCGCTGGTGCCGGCTGCCCCGCCCCCTGATTGAACTTTTGCCTCGTTAGAGTTTTCACCTGCACGTCCTGGGACACTGCGCAGTGTCGCCCGCGTGATAGCCCCCTTGCCCTTGTTGGCGTCCTGCGAGCCATCCTATCGTGTGGAGGTCGGAGTCGTGCTAATACGCTGTTGATTTATTTTTATTTATTTTTTTATTTTTATTTTTTTATCCTCACCCGAGGATATTTTTCCATTTTTTGTACAGATAGAGTGGGAGGGAGAGAGAGGAAGGAGAGAGAAACATCGACGTGAAGGGACACATCGAGTGGCTGCCACCCGCACGACCAACCAGGGCCGGGGACAAACTGCAACCGAAGTACGTGCCCTTAGCTGGAACCGAACCCGGGTCTCTCCGGACCGCAGGCCGACGCTCTAACCGCTGAGCCAAACTGGCCAGGGCTAATACGCTGTTTATTGAGCGTTTACTGTGTGGTAGGCACTGTTACTCATACAGCAACCCTGTGAAATAGTGGCTGGGAAAGTAACTTGCCCAAAGTCACACTTGACAAGGGAGGCTGAAATCCAGGTGGTGCTTTGTTGTGTTTTGTTGTGTTTTGTTTTGAATACCCTGTCCTTTTCGCTGTCACTGGACTACCTCTGCAAGGTGGTCCAGGCTTGCCTAATGCAGAACCAGGGTTCATCAACTGTCCTACAGGAAACTTTAGTTACTTGGAATAGGAAGAATGTTTTGGTACTGGAAATCTGCCCAAGTCAGAAAACTGCAGAGAGAGGCAGATGATCCCAGTGATGGCTATAAACACCTAAAGGGAGTAAGTTGCAGGAAGATTTTAGGCGTTTGAACAACAAATCACTGAAGTGCATCTAAGGAGTAGTAACCCACACCTCAGAGACTAGTGATTCTCTCTTCCTCAGCATCATTGCCTGGGTGAGCCACCCAATGAGAGTATGCCATGTTCCTCAGATACGCTGGCCAGAGAGAAAAGGGGTTTTAGGACCACCGACTTAGAAGATGTTACTGATTCCAACAGAAGGAGAGTGCCCTTTGCCTCTTCATCCCACTGGCTCTCCGCATCTTTGTGACCAAGACCCAAATAAGATATTTTGGATTATCAGGATAAGAATTACCAAAAGGACTGAAAATTTTATTCTACTCCTGTATGATACTATACTGTGGTCTCACCTGGAAAGCTGTGTAGATTTCTGATCACCATACTCTGTTGGAAATTAAGATTGTTAAGCATCAAATCCAAGGAAATCAGTACGTGGGGTACGTTGGGATCCTTTATGAAATACTAAGTGTACAAAAGTGAAGGCCGAGAAAGGCTGTCTTTGGCTCTTACACTTTGGGAGTGTAAGCAAAAGGGGATTCCCATTCTTTTAACCAAAACCTCAACTTAGAGGTAAGCCAGAATGGAAGGGGGAAAAAACCCTTTTATACTACAACTCAGCGTAGTGATTGGTAAACTTATGGAACTCTTCTTACCAAGAAGTGGTGCATACTGAAAATTGTCTTTGAGAGCATATAGGTAAATTCATAGACCAGGTGAGTTGGGCTTTGACAGGAGTTTGGGGAAGGCTCCCAGGCCCTGAGGTACTAAGGAGCACGAAAGTGGAAGGAAATGAAAACTGGACATCAGTGGGAGCTGGAGGTGGCAGAGGTGAGGGTGCACTGTGGCAGGAAAACTGTGTTGTGAGGTGAGGCTCCAGAGGTGGATGGGTCAACCCATGCCTAGCCTTCTAGCCTGGGCTAAGGGTCTTGAACACCAAGAGACTGACCATATGTGTTCTTTTTTTGTGGTAGAATTTTGTGTAGCATTTGATACAGGTAAGTCAGTTCTTGGGATTTGGTTCTCTTTCTGTGGTCATTATCTCCATATACACTTGTTCAGTACTGCACGGATATTCAAGTTACAGTGTAGCTGAGTGATGCTTTCAGTATTTAACAGTTTATTAAGCACTACTCTGGGTCAAGAGACAATGCATACTGCAAAATAGGACAAGATTATAAATAATCTGGCCGGTTTGGCTCAACCGTTGGAGCATTGGCCTACGGACCAGAAAGTCCCAAGTTCGGTTCCCGCTAGAGGCACGTACCCAAAAAATAATAATAAAGAATAACACTGGCCTGTGTCGTGGTTAAGAGGAAAAATAAACTAGGGATTCGGAAAAGAAAAAGTTCAGTGTGAGCTTAATTAGTCAAGAAAGGTTTCATGAAAAATTTTTAAAATTTTTATTTCATTGGCACTGGCAGGGTGGCTCAGTTGGTTGAAGCATTGTACTATACACCAAAAGGTTGTAGGTTCGATTCCTGGTCAGGGCAAATACTTAGGTTTTGGGTTCGATCGCCATTTGGGGCATGTACAGGAGGCAAATGATCGATGTTTCTCTCTCACATTGATGTTTTTCTCTCTCTAAAATCAATTTAAAAACAAACATATCCTCAGATATTTAAATAAATAAGTTTTATTTCATTCAATACATATTAATAAACACTATGCCAAATACCACAATACGTACAGGAAGCTTAAAAATGACTAAGCCACACAGTCCTTGGCCTTAGGATAATATGTATTTTTGTTATACTGGAATTGAGTCTACTGGATTATGCCAGGCATTATTTAATTTCCCCCTTTCCCTGAATTGATCTCGTTTTGGTCTCTCAAAACAGGATTTTCAGTTCAGAGCCCTGAAGAAGGTGAGAATCTTTGACTCCCCTGAGGAATTGCCCAAGGAACGCTCAAATCTGCTCGCCGTGTCCAACAAGTATGGCCTGGTCTTTGCTGGTGGAGCCAGTGGGTTGCAAGTATTTCCTACTAAAAATCTTCTTATTCAGATTAAGCCTGGAGACGATCCCAATAAGATAGGTAAGTTACTTGCTCTATGTTGCATAGTAGAGAGAGGAGTGTAGTGAAGTGCTAATGTAGTTTCTTTCCCAGGAAGTCATTCTAATATAAAAATGAAAACTGCTGTTAGGCCTCAGGTTGACCCCCAAGAATAAGTTCTAGGTCAGATGTTGGAGGTCTTTCTGGTTCTCTTTGGTTCTTTGTATTTCTCTCTTGATGAGTTGTTCCTCCGAGCTCAGAGTCAGGAAGTTACCATTCTGCATGCATTTGTTTTTGCTCAGTTGAGCCTGCGTTCTGGCTCCTAGAGAAGGGTTTGGCTGCATGGCTTTCTAGTTGGCACGATTCCCGTACTGTTGGGAGTGTTGTTACAAAAAATGGGACAGGTTGGCAATATTGTGATTTATAAGAAATACATATTTGGTCTTCCTTCACAATTTCTGGCTCACGGGTCCCACAACTCTTTGAGTTTCTTGAGTGTTGTGTGTGTGGAGGGGTGTTGTTATGTTAATGATACAATTTTGGAAAGCACCTAAGGATGGAAGCAGCCTTGTGAATAGAGGGTTAGAACTTTCAGTAACCCCCACTTCCCTGTTAAATCAATCACCAGTGGCCAATGATTTGCTCAATCGTGACTGTATAATGAACCCTTCATAAAACCCAGGAGGATGGTTTGGAGTTTCTGACTTGGTCAACAGGTGGAGACGCAGGGCAAGTTGCCAGCCTGGGAGGGCATGGAAGCTCCTCGCCCTTCCCAGCCCTTGCTTTCTGCAGCTCTTGCCTCGGGCTGTTCCTGAGATGTATCCTTTTACAGTAAACCACTGATCTAGTCAATAGCATACAGTATTTCTCTGAGTTCTTGGAACGGTTTTAGCAAATTAATTGAACCCAAGGAAGCAGTCATGGGAACCTCTGATTTATAGCCAGTCGGTCAGGCGTACAGGTGACATTCTGGACTTGCAGTTGGTGTTCTGAGTTGGAGGGGGTTGTTGAAGCCTCCACTCTCTAGCCAGTTGGTCAGAAGCACAGAGACACTGGGCTTGCATCTAGACTTGAAGTGTGGATGAGGGGGCAGCCTTATAGGATTGAACTCTTAACCTGTGGAATCTGATACCATCTCTGGGTAGATGGTGTCAGAATTGAGTTGAATTCTCAGACACCTGAGAATTGTTTGTTGGTGTGGGGGGGCCCCCCACTGGCATGGTGAAATTGGGTCCGGGAACCCAGTGTTTTTAATGAGAGTGATAGCCACATTAGTTTCCCCAGGTTGTTTGAAGAAGAACTCCTGAGATACTTACTGTATCATTTACATCCGTATGAAAGCGAAGATTTAGCTCTGTGACTGCATCTCAGGGCATGCTCGTGTGTTTATGTAGATGCAAAAATTGCTTCACATAGACCTGGATAAAGAGGTTGTGACATGTGCTTAGAGCATTCCATTGTCTGCTTTGTCTTTTTTATGTTTTTATAGTTGATAAAGTTCAAGGCTTGCTAGTTCCTATGAAATTCCCCATACATCACCTGGCCCTGAGCTGTGATAACCTCACACTCTCCGTGTGCATGATGTCAAGTGAATATGGTTCCATTATTGCTTTTTTTGATGTCCGCACATTCTCAAATGAGGTAAGCTACTAGCAAACTCTGGGACCTCAGATTTCCTGGTATTGAATCATAACCTCGAAGTTCTCGGTTGACCCTTGAAGTTTTTTTCTAGATTAAAATATGGGTTTAAAAAAAGTCCTTAATTATACAATCATAAATCTTTTGAGGTAGAAGGGACTTCAAGAAATTATTTCCTGATAGCACCTGCCCCGAGGTATTGTTATTTCTCATTTATGTACGAGGCAGCGGAAGCCTAGGGAGCTCTAGGGGACTTGCCCAAGACCACGGGGTAATGGATCGTGTCGGAAGTATCACCTCCTGGGTCTCCGGCCTCCTGGTGATGCTCTTCCATTCCCAGCAGCTTAGTGATGACAGTCAGTGATACTGAGTGTGTATGCCGACTGTGCCCGGCCCGTGCTAGCGCTTCACACGCCTTACCTTGTTCACGCCTGCCAGGGCCGCACACGCGCGCTGCTGTTGTCTTCATTTCCTAGATGAAGAAACACGCCCAGAGAGTTTAACTGTCCAAGAGCCCAGCGCTGTTAAGCAGAGCCCAGGTTTTAAGCTGGTGTCTGCTCTTTATCGATTATGTTACATTTGTATGTCCTCTGCTGGGAGTCCCTCGGTGTGCTAGAATAATCGATTGCCATTTTCAAAGTTGTGTTGAAATGATAACCAAGTGGTTGTTGTGTAGAGCTAAAATTTTCTTTCATGTCCGTGGAGAAAAGTGAACTGTAATTTGAGAAAACTTATATATTCAAAAATTTTCTTCAACTATTAAATGTCTGTGCATTTATTGATTTATTTTTGCTTCTGGGTATTTGTTTTAAAAGGCCAAACAGCAGAAACGCCCATTTGCCTATCATAAGCTTTTGAAAGATGCAGGAGGCATGGTGATCGACATGAAGTGGAACCCCACTGTCCCCTCCATGGTGGCAGTGTGTCTGGCCGATGGCAGCATCGCTGTCCTGCAAGTCACAGAAACAGTGAAAGTGTGCGCGACGCTTCCTTCCACAGTAGCAGTAACATCTGGTAGGTGATGAAGGCATTCACTCTGTAACATACAGTAATGCTAATATACTTAAAAATTAATTCCTGGAAGTAAAAGCGGATGGGTTTTTTGTTGTGTCTGTTACTATTTGGTAGAAGTGGAGAGAGTATTCTTTATTTCCTTAGTTAATGTCCTTGAAGCCAGACAGCATATGTGATTCAACTTGAATGCTCTTGGGTTTCTGGAGATAGAAATATTTTGGTACAGCTGGTTTAGCACCGGTTGTTCTTTTGTTGTTGTTGGTTTGTTTTTTAAATCCCCACCCAAGGAAATTTTTTCATTGATTTTTAGAGAGAATGGGAGGAAAGGAGAGGGGCAGGGAGAGAGAGAAAGAGACAGAACCATCGATGCAAGAGAGACACATCGAGGTGCATGACCCTGACCCAGGCGCCTGCAACCCAGGCACGTGCCTTTGAATGGGAATCAAACCTGAGACCCTTTGGTGCGCTGGCTGATGCTCTAACCACTAAGCAACACTAGTCAGAGCTGTGTTTTGAGAATAATTGTTTCTGGATCTAAGATAGTTGTAACCCGGAAAGTCATTTGTACCTTTCGGAAGAAAAGCATCAGAAATATCACATAGGAGCAAGACAATGTTTTGATATTTGAAAACTTTCTCTAGTTTTTGGTCTTTAGAGTTCTGTGTACTTTTCAGTTTTCTGGGCAATACTCCATTGAGAAAGCTTTTAGCCCTGGCCGGTTTGGCTCAGCGGTTAGAGCATCAGCCTGCGGTCCCGAGAAAGCTTTTAATCATTGGCTCAGTGATTAATCATGATTGACTTGTATCGTCAAAGTTACTATTATTCTTATTTTTTACTTTGCTGAGTAAAGATGATCTACTGTCGTCATGGACTAAGACGGGTGGGGAACCTTCTTTCTGCCAAGGGCCATTTGGATATTTATAATATCATGTGCAGGCCATACAAAATTATCAGCTTAAAAACTTATCCTGCTATATTTGGTCAAACATTTAATTAACTCACCCCTAATGTGATGACTAGAACTGCTCCTCTGTGGGGGCACGTGACGTTAGCTGGCATGCTAAGGCCCGTGGGCTGGATGGTCCTCACCCCTGGACTGCGAGAACAAGAGCTAGCGGTTATGTCGCTGTCTTGGCGCAGCTCTCACGGGTTTGCTGCATTCTCTTCCCTTTGTAATGGTGCCATTCTCTTCTCTGCGCAGTGTGCTGGAGCCCCAAGGGAAAGCAGCTGGCGGTGGGGAAGCAGAATGGAACTGTGGTCCAGTATCTCCCTGTAAGTCTTGCCTTGGATTTCAGAACTGTTCTTATGGAAGTTACCCCTGGTTTGAGGGTGGTTTTTCCTATTCAGATGATGTTTATGCTCATTGCAACAGATTTCTCAGTACACAAGTGAACACATGAAAGACTGGATCTCCTCGTCCCTTTCATCCTGTGGTCCATCTTCTGGGGCACCCTCTGTTCTACCTAGTGGTAGCCCTCTAGACTTTTCTGGATGCTCATACAGATAGTCTGTGTCGTGCATTACTATTGTTTTGCTTTTAAATAAAATGTGATCATATTCTGCACAAGGTTTCCCAACTTGATATTCCCAGTCCATTCCATAAAAACAGAACTTAAGGGGAAAAGGAATTGGCAAAAAGGCTGTTACTGTAACACAATCACTTTGGGTTGGAGCACAGTGTTTGTCCTCTAGCTGAGTCCATTTTACAGGCTCAGTTTCTCCAACTATAGGCGACCAAGACAGTGGATGGTGTTGTTGCGTGTGTACTGTCTCATCCTGTCCCTGTGGCTTTCCTGAGATAACACTCACAGATATTCATCAGTATTAATTGACCTGGATGAAGGAGGGTCCACAGGTGGTGTCAGGACCTATGCTGTTGTTTGTAGCTCCTTGAGATACTGTTCTCTGCAGAGGTGCAAAGCAGTGAATGGGGTGGTGTAGGTTTGAGGTTAAGGTTTTGTTGTTTGTTATCACAAAAATTTATGTGAGACTTAGTCCATATTTTAAGGCATTAGCCTATAAAAAGATAATACAGTAGGTTTAATTTTACTGATTTTCTATTTGCCTTAAAAAAACCTTAATAAGGAAAAAAAAACTTAGTAAGATATTGGAGTCCTTTTTCCAATTCATTGCATATAAAGCCGCTTAATTCTTTTTAGTGGCTGCATAGTAGTCCACTGTATAGGCATGCCATGATCTGTCCATCTATTCCATTATTGCTGGTTGTCCATATGAGTGCTTTGCTACTATAAATAGGGTTGCATTGAGCATCCCCATTACCTTCAAGTGAAATTGTTTCAGTATTGCTAGGATAGAGTTCTAGAAGTAGGCATCCACTCTTCTCTCCTAGCTGGGGAGGGAAAACTGATGGCTTCTAGAGGATCATATTGGATTTGACAGTTTTATTGGTTTGTGGATTGTTTTACTTGACACTTACCTTTTCAAATCTCCTTCAGACTTTGCAGGAAAAGAAAGTCATTCCTTGTCCTCCATTTTATGAGTCAGATCATCCTGTCAGAGGTAATGTCTGTTTTTTTTATGGGCTGACCTTCAATAAGGTGTCAATATTAACAAAAATTCCAAATCATGTGCTTTACCTACATCCCTCCTCAGGAGAATATTGGTGCCTCCTCTGAATACTCTCAGCACGTCAGTTAGGGAATTAAGTCGGTGTAACAGTCATCTGGTAGACACCTGTGTCTTGTAGTAGATGGCATTAAATGATGCTGACTTTTAAAATGAGAATTCTTCATAATTTTCTCTGATTATAATCCACCAGAAGAAGAAGAAAAAAGACCACTTTGGGATAAATTTGGGCTTCCAGTCAATGAAATCTGAAATCGGGACCTTGGTTAAATCTAGAGTAGTTGGGTTTTTTATCCATAAGATGTTAGCTTTGTGACATACGGGGGCCATTCCAAACACTGTGTTTTATGCGGGTGTGTCTCTCAGTCCTAGATGTGCTGTGGATCGGCACGTACGTCTTCACGATAGTGTACGCCGCTGCAGACGGGACCTTGGAAACATCTCCGGATGTGGTGATGGCTCTGCTGCCGGTGCGTATGTGAAAGGGTGTCTGTTCTTGGAGAAGGACCGGAGCCTCTGGTAAAGCCTGAGGCTCAGGCTGAGCTTCCTCTTCCTGTGCTGATGGTGCAACCTGAGGTGTATGATTTCAGCGCTCACCACGAGCCTGGGGCGAAAGCTGTGTTACTGACCGAACGAGGGTCCGCTCACCCGTGCCAGCAAAGCCAAACACTGGATGTGGAGAAATTAATGCCGTTTTATTTAGAGGGTGCTGGCAAGGAGAATGGGAAACTGTCACTTAAAACCCAAACTCCCTGATGGCTTTTAATCAAGGGTTTTTATTTTTTATTTATTTTTTTAAATATGTTTTTATTGATATTTTAGAGAGAGAAAGGGAGAGAGCTAGAAACATCCACGTGACAGAGAAACATCTATTGGCCGCCTCCTGCACGCCCCCTACTGAGGATCGAGCTCACAACCTGGGCATGTGTCCTGACCAGGAATGTAACCAGGACCTCTCAGTCCATGGGGCGATACTCAATCCACTGAGACACACCATCTGGTATTTATAAGATATTTTCAAAAAGCAAGAATATCTTGCTTTTTAAAAATGCTTTCACTTACCCTGGCCGATTTGGCTCTGTGGTTAGAGCATCGGCCTGTGGATCAAAGGGTCGTGGGTTCCATTCGGGTCAGGAGCACATGCCTTGGTTGCGGTTCGATCCTCAGCCCTGGTTGGGGTTGTGTGGGAGGCAACCAGTCGGTCTGTCTCACATCTATGTTTCTCTCTCTTCCTTTCTCTCTCCCTCCCTCCTCACTCTATCTGAAAATCAATGGAAAAGTGTCCTCGGGTGAGGATTAAAAAAAAAAAGAGCCCTGGCCGGTTTGGCTCAGCGGTTAGAGCGTTGACCTGTGGTTCTGAGAGACCCGGGTTCGGTTCCCACTAAGGGCGCGTACCTTGGTTGCAGTTTGTTCCCGGCCCTGGTCGGTCGTGTGGGTGGCAGCCACTCGATGTGTTCCTTTCACGTCAATGTTTCTCTCTCTCTGTCTGTTCCTCTCTCTCCCTCCCACTCTACCTGAACAAAAAATGGGAAAGTGTCCTCGGGTGAGGATAAAAAAAAGAGAGAGAGAGAGATGCTTTCACTTATTTATTCATCAGCTGAGTATCAAACGTCTGCAGTGTGTTAGGTGCTGCTTCAAAGCAGAATACAGCATCTGTGCTTTTGTGGACCTTAACATTCTACCGAATGCGCCAGTGCAAGGATAAGCGTAGGATCAAGGGATAATAAGGGTGATGGAGGAAATAAAGCAGGGTACGTGAAGAGGTAAATGATGGCCGGGTGCAGTGGAGACTGGGTGGCAGGAAAAGGCCCCTGAGGAGGGGCCATTGGAGGAGAGAACCAGGTGAAGTGAGGAGGAGGGAGCATTGTGAAGATGGAGGAGAATGTTAGTATCTGCAAGGTCTTACTAAATTGCGTTGGCATTTAAAAAATACAAACGAGGCAGGACTTGTATTTCCAAATCATTAGCGTTAACAATCTAGAGAAACATCTGGAAATACATAAATAAATGTCTAAATACAGTGAAAGTGGGAGTTACACTAGTCATTCTGTTTTGCAGCCTTGTTTTACTTAGTAGTAAATTACAAGCATCTTTCTGTGTCAAATCTGATTTGGCTTTGAACAGATTTTCAAGCTGTTTTGAACTCTTCTGGGTTCCTGATAACAGGTGAATTTTGAAAATGTGTTTATGGTTCACGCCCTGCCTAACTGCGGGCTGTGTTCTGAGAAAGACGTCGTGCGACATCGTCACAGAGTGCCTGACACAGACCCAGTGGCCTAGCCTGCTCCCGCCTAGCCTGCGTGGTATAGCCTGTTGCTCTGTGTGTGTGTGGGGGGGGGGAGGGGTAGTTTTCCCTCTACTCTTCTGTGTTTTTGGCTAAGACATCCCCGTAATAAAAGATTCACAGGAGAAAAACAAAAATTTAATAACATGTTCACCTCCTGTGTACATGGGAGAGACTCAGGAAAACTAAATTAGCTAAAGTGGCTGAAACCACCACCTTCAATTGCCATCTTCAGCTGAAGACAAAGGAAGATGTTGGGTGAGGGGAGTCAGTAATGAAGGCAACCAGGAAAATCTCAGTAAACAAGGGAAGGTTATTGTGCTGCTTTATGTGGTTCTCTTCTGCATTGATAAGAGGTTCTTGAGATGAGGTCATCCCCCTCTTCCTGCAAGGGAAACACCCTTACAGTGGAAATCTTCCTTGTAAATGTTTTACAAAGGCTGACTTTAGTTGGTTTCCAGAGCTTCTTCCGTGTCTGCTGTTTCTTAAATTAATTAGCTAAAAATAATCCTTAAGCCACATAGTCGTTTTGGGTGTAAAATTCTGTCCCCCTACAGCTCCTAGGTTACAAGCTGTGTAGCATGTCCCTGTACTGAGTACTGGTAGGCAGTTGTAACAGTGGTGAGAACTTGTGTGGTGTGTTGCACTACAGCTTGGTGATGGCTGAGCGGTCTGGCTGCAGCGTCAGGAGTTGATAGGAAGTCTTCAGGTCTGTTGTAGTCATACGGGACCACAGTCATGTGTGTGGTCTGCTGTTGACTGAAATGTCATTATGCAACTCATGAGTGTGTTGAACAGATTCCTCATTTCAGGATATCTTTACGATTTCCAGTCCCAGGGATAATGTTAACACTGACATGTATTTATTGAATACTAACGTTCCTTGTGCTGGGCTAGAAGCTTTGTGTGTATCATTTCGTTTCATACTTAAACAGCTTTTGATGTCGTCGTAGTAGATGGATGATACGTATGAGAAAACTGGGTATCAGAGAGGTTGAGGAATCTGTCGGTGCTTGTCCAACAGCCAGAAAGGGACAGTGTGAGTTCAGTTTGGTTGACGGCCATCATTCCTGTTCCTTATACTACTCAGTGCTGCCTTTATAGCGTGTCACTATATTTGGACATAGGTTATTATTATTTTTTTTTAAATGTGTTTTTATTGATTTTTTCTTAGATAGAGAGGAAGGGAGAGAAAGCTAGAAACATTGATATGAGAGAGAAACATCAATTGGCTGCCTCCTGAATGACCCCTACTGGGGATTGAGCCCACAACCCGGGTATGTGCCCTGGCTGGGAATCGAACCGGGACCTCTCAGTCCACCGGATGACGCTCAATCCACTGAGCCACACCAGCCAGGCTGGACATAGGTTATTGAGCAAATTTTCTCATAAAACTTAAATGATTTTCTCATTTGAGATCATTAACTGCGTGGGATTCAAGAAAAGTCACACCTGAGGTTTTTTTCTCATTCTGTTCGTTGTAGAAAAAAGAAGAAAAGCACCCAGAGGTATTCGTGAACTTTATGGAGCCCTGTTACGGCTGCTGCACAGAGAGACAGCACCACTACTATCTCAGTTACATTGAAGAATGGTGAGCCGGGACCCAGGGCGGGCTTTCCGCGCCCTGCCAGTCACACCTGAGGCACTGCTGCCGCCTTGAAATTGTGTCATTGTGTCTGTGAGAGCGCAGCACGGCCTTCAGGTGCCACGGACACGTTTTCAGCTGATGCTGGGTGATGCCGCTCGGGCTCCTCTAGTTCCCCAGCCTTGAATTACTTAGCTCGGACATGTGTCATCTTAAATATCCCCTTTTCAGTAACGCAGTGACGATTTATGCAAACACTGATATTCAAGGGGTGTGTTAAAAGTTGCCCGGCGAGAGCAGATGCTCCTGATAGACGAGTGGAGTCAGGGCTCCTGTTCCTCCACCAGATTGCTCTGTCCGGAGCTGGTGTGCTCACCGGGGATTCCGGCTGCATTCTGTGCGTCTTTACTTTGTCTGAAGTCGGTGGGCAGTGGACCAAGTCTCCAGGGCTTTGTCCTGTGGACTAAAAAAGTTGTTTTACATCTAAAAATCTCACCTTTCTTCAACCATAGAAAACTTACCTTCCTCCTTGACATCTCAAGGCAATCCTTGTAGAAGTTTCCACAGACTCGAGTCGGGAGAGAACTGTTGCTGCATTTGAATTTAACAGTCTTCTTGTTTTATTCCTTGAAGGGACTTAGTGCTGGCTGCCTCCGCGGCGTCTACAGAAGTCAGCATCCTTGCTCGACAAAGTGACCAGGTAACTGCTTCTCTTCTGTCGCTTTCATGGGGAAGTTTTCTGAGAAAGATTTTGGAGGGGATTAACTTTGCGGTTAAGGATTAGATGAGGCCCTGGCTGGTTTGGCTCAGCGTTTAGAGCGTCGGCCCAAGGACCCAGAGGATCTTAGGTTTAATTCCCGGTCAAGGGCACGTACCTGCGGGTTTGATCCTGGTCCTGGTCGGCGTTGTATGGGAGGCAACCAGTTGATGTCCCTCTCTCTCTCACATTGATGTTTATCTCTCTCTCTCTCCCTCCACGCCCCTTCCACTCTCTCAAAATCAGTGGAGAAATATCCTTACGTGAGGATTAACCTTCAAAATTAAATAAATAGTGAGGTCATGTCCCTTTTGATGAATTCCTGGATGATAGCAGAGCTTAATTGACAACGTGTCCTGGACCAGATGGCTTGGATGTTGCACAAACAGGTGTCACAATTAGCAGTTCCTCAGTGTCATGAAAAGCACTTCTGTTCTCGGAGGACACATCCATGGTGTGGGTTAAATATACTGTGTAATCAGCCTTCAACAGGAGTGGGCCTGGGTGTGCAGGAGGGTTTTCCTGCTTGTTCTGTTTTACCATCTTTATTTTATTCCTATTACTTGAACCTGCCCCTCCTACTCAGGTAGCTGTAACCTATCCTTGAAAATGGAAGAGAAACATGCAGGTCACACCAAACTGTCACTCATGAGAAATACTTTCTGTTTCTCTTCGAAAAAAATGACAGAGCCCTGGCCGGTTTGGCTCGGCAGTTAGAGTGTCAGCCCGTGGACCAATGAGTCATGGGTTCGGTTCCCACTAAGGGCACGTACCTGGGTTGCAATTGGTCCCCGGCCCTGGTCGGGTCATGTGGGAGGCCCTGGTCGGGTCAATGTGTTCTTCTCACATGATGTTTCTCTCTCTCTCTCCCACTCTATCTGAAGATAAATAGAAAAATATTCTCAGGTGAGGATTTATTAAAAAAAAAAATACACAAAATGCCAGAAAGCTGGGAGTGCCTGTGTACAAGACCCCACCTTCCTCCTCTCGCTCCCCTGGTCGGCAGGAGCCGGGCGAGGCCGGCCTGGAAGCACCCTGACCCGCCGCAGAGTGTGAAGAGACCCGCAGAGGGGACGTGACCAAAGGAACCCTCTCAGACTCTGCCTTGAGCTTCGCGTCCTGTGCGCCCTGTACTCATGCTTGTGGCTCGTCGCCCACCAGCATTTGTCCGTCATTGGATGGCAGGGCTCTCACTAAGTGCATGGCTGTCATCGTGTCAGTGTGGGCCACCTAGGGGTCATAGGTCAGAGTTCAGCAGTCCAGTTTGCTCTTGGATTGACTTCAGTAACGATTTCCTAATAGGCAAATATTTTACGTATTTACACATTAAAAATATACTTTTATCTTTGCTTTTTATCAAAATAATATATGTGCCCTGGCCGGTTTGCTCAGTGGGTGGAGCGTCAGCCCACAGACTAAAGGGTCTTGGGTTCGATTCCCGGTCTGGGGCATGTATCTGGTTGCAGGGTCAATCCCCGGCCCTGGTCAGGGTTGTATGGAAGGCAGCCAGTGGATGTGTCTCTCTCACATCGATGTTTCTCTGTTTTTCTCCTCTCTTCAAATCTATCCAAAAAATCAATGAAAAGTAACCTCGGGTGAAAGAAAAGAAAGATAATTTGTGTACGTGCAGCAGGGTTTATAAATGAAAAAAATCACCCCTGCTCCACCCTGTCCTGATTCTGTTTTGTTCTCTGGAGGGGACCATTTTTTTTAATCCTCACCTGAGGATATTTTTTCATTGATTTTTAGATAGAGTGGGAGGGAGGGAAGGAGGGAGAGAAAAACATTGACGTGAGAGACACATCAATTGGCTACCTCCTGCATGACCCTGACCAGGGCCAAGGATCAAACTTGCAACCGAGGTCCATGCCCTTGATAGCGAATAGATCCTGAGATCCTTTGGTCCTCAGGCTGAGGCTCTAACCACTGAAAAAACCGGCCAGGGCTAGAGGGGACTGTTTAACCTGTACATTTTTTTCTTCTACCGGTTACCTCCTTATCCCTAAGACTAACCTGCTTTCTCACGAGTTACTCATTGTTAGTCTCAGACCATACTGGCTGTTACGGCCGACGAGGATTTAGCTCACATACAGCCTTCAATCCCCCCTTCTTCCTCTCGGTGGTGTTAGCACTATTTTAGTTTCTCCTGTTGGTTACCTTTGTAACTTTTATATTTTTACCTTCATTTCCAATGCTCTCGCCACATTCTATACCACTTGATCTTCCACCTTGTGGGAGGAGTATCTCAGCACCCCCACCCTTGCCTGTAGCTCACCACCCCCACCTTCCAGCTGCTACCATGTGTTGTCTTTCATGGTATCAAAGCGTATTGTGTTCGTTGCCTGTAGTGATTAAGTCTTTGTTTTGTCTATGGATTGTTGAGAGTTGAAATCAGTTTTGTTTGCAGTGTTATGAATGTGACTATTATTCACTCCATAGATAGGTTGTAGGGCATGATTATGTTCCCTCTCCTGAACGACTTCTTGCTTTTCTTTGTTACTCATTGAAGGCTGTTCCCCTTTGATTCATGTTGTCCAGTTTTGGTCAATGCTGAATGTTGGATGTTAGTGATTTTTAAAAATCAGAAATCATTTGTTGGACGGAACAGAGCCCACTCAAGCAAACCTGAACAAAGGGGAGTTTATGGAAAGACTTAGTGGTTTCTCAGAGGCAGAAAGATGTCCCATGGGGGTAACTCACACCAGGAACTGGGAAGATGAGCGCTAAGGTTCCCTTGTCCGGGGACCAGTGAGCACAGGCACCTGCCCAGCTTTGCAGGCTTCTCTGCTCAAGGCCGCAGTAGGGATCACTCGCGGGTCCTGGTCACAACCCCAGACTTTGAGGAGCAGGTGGGCTTACCGAGCAAGTTCAGCGTTCTACCTGGTTGCGCTGGGTGGTAGGCAGTATTTGTGCACCAGGCAGGGACTTGATGTACCAGAAGCAGAGTGAGAAGTTGCTTTGGAAAATTACCCCTTGCTTCATGGGGTAGCCATGGCTTTTAGACCAGCTCCCCAGATTTCAGAGTCTTGGTCCACAAGAAATCTTACCCACGTGAGTTGTCTTTTCTTCTAGTGTGTCCAAACAATGCCGGGCATTTTCTTCTACTTTTTTTTTTTTCAGATTAATTGGGAGTCCTGGCTACTGGAGGATTCTAGTCGAGCTGAACTGCCTGTGACAGACAAGAACGATGACTCCTTGCCCATGGGAGTGGCTGTAGATTATACTAACCAAGTGGAAATTGCCATCAGTAAGTGTAGCTTGGTGTAGCCCAGTGCGTGATTTCTAATGCTTGTTAATATTTAAATCCCATTCTATGTGTTCATGACGGAATCCACTCTGCTGGGTACTCTGAACTTCTGGTAGCACGTTGCTCCTTGAAGAGTGACGTAGACTATGTGCGACAACACTGAACTAATTTGCATGGACGTTTACAGATGAGACGAGGCCAGATGTACTCGGTGACTTTCTGTATCTTTGCACTTCGGGGTATGGTGGAAGTCTAGAACTTCGGGGATTTCAGTTTCATTCTCCAGGGACTTTCCAAGGGAGGAGAAATAGTGCCCTAGGCTGGTCCTGCGGAGCGACACTTGGTTTGAAGGCACAGGTTAGAAAAGGGAGCTCGGGCGATGGGCCTGTGTGTGCCCCGCGTGTGGCCGCTCCCTGCTGGGCCAGGCGGGAGCTCAGTCCCTGAACTGCGCAAGTGCAGTGGAAGCCAAGTTCTTGCTCCTTCAGTTTGAGGGGTGTCCCGTCAGGCCCCATTGGCTCCTCGTCCTTTCCCTGGTCAGGTTATTTGGTCTGATCAGCTCTTGAAGTCTTGTCAAAATCCATGCTTGCGATTCAAGTGAGTCAGTGTAGTGTGACTCACCTTCGACGTCCTACTGTGTGTTTTCTAAAGAGTCTAGTCTGTCATTTTTCTACCAAACCAGCCACTTCCTAAGACTCCTGTCTTTGTTAGGGGCGTGCGCAACCTACCTCCCGAGCCCCGAGACGCTCGGAAAACTCGGGGGCTTTGGGAGAGCTCGAGTGCTCCTGGGCTGCGGGAGCCCCGCGGGCCTGCAGGACGGCGGCTGTCCGGCCGAGGCTGGGGCTCTCGAGCCTGTTCAGCTCTGAGGGTCCTGCCCGGCCCGAGCTGCCGTTGGCTGCGTCCAGTAAGCCCTCACTTAGGGCAGTCTTTCCTCTCCTCACTTCCGTCTTCTTTTTTAACAGATGATGAGAAGACTCTTCCTCCTGCTCCAGTTCTTATGTTACTTTCGACAGATGGTGTGCTTTGTCCATTTTACATGATCAATCAAAATCCTGGGGTTAGGTCCCTCATCAAGACACCGGAGCGGCTCCCGTTAGAAGGAGAGCGACAACCCAAGTCATCAGGTATGTCTCCCCCTGTGGGGAAAGGGACCACCAAGGGCGGTGCAGGACTCTTCCCAGGGAGGAAAATGGGTGAGAATGTAGTTATCTTTGTCTGGACAGTTCTTCTTAGTGTGTCAGGGACTAGTTCTTTCCTAGAACAAACAGGCACCTACTCGCCTTCCCTCACTCACGAGCTTTATTCTCCAGCCTGTACATTACTTTAGCGGAAAAGGAAGCTCAGCCAGGTGGATCCCATCAGGTAATTGACCAACAGTATCCGGTCCCATCAAACTACATTCACTGTCTAGCGTATGGTCTGAATCCTAAAGACATGTTTAATCACGTGGGGTTGGTTACATAAACACCATACACTCATACAGTGAGTGCCACGTAACTGTGACAAATGGTATGTGTGGACACGGAAAGGGTTAGTGGGACATAGCTTGAAAAGCAGTGTGTACTGTATGATTCCTTTTTTATGAGAAAAATACATACATAGAAAAAAATCTTTGAAAGATGGATTTTAAAATCGAAATAGTAGCTATTTCTGGTGGTGGGAACATGGGCATTTTATTTCCTTTTGTTTATATTTAATTTTCTTCAGATATTTTTTTCTTCCTCTTTAAAAATATTAAGTTATACATACATATATATATATATATATTTTTTTTATCCTCACTGGAAGACATATTTGCATTTTTCTTCAGATAGAGCAAGAGAGAGAAAGGGAGGAAGAGAGAGAGAGAAACATCGATGTGAGAGAGACACACCGACTGGCTGTCACCTACACAATCCCAACCGGGGCCAGGGACAAACTGTAACCGAGGTAGGTGCCCTTAGTGGGAACCGAACCCGGAACTCTCTGGTCCATGGGCCAACGCTCTAACCGCTGAGCCAAACCGGTCAGGGCCATAATATATTTTTATTGCAGAAAATACAAAAGCAGGATCACTTAAGGGCCCATCATCGAGCAATAGCCACAGTCAGCATTTTGGTACATATTCTTCATGAACGTCAGTACACACATATAAATTCTAATTTGTATTTTCAAATTTTTCACAGTGTGGTTGTATCACTTCTGAGAACAAAATAGAAAACTTTTTTAAAAAGGATTGTTTTATATTTTGGAATTTCACTAATATTTCTCTTTTTTAATTCTGTGAGTGTATAACTATCAATCTCTCTTTGAGTATGGCTAAAAATGCTTATAGTGTACGAAACTGGTTAGTTTCGTATCTAAGAAAAAGTATGTTGAGCAGGTGGGTTGGGTAAGGCTGACAATACTAGGGTGTATTTTCCGGTGGCTTCCTAATGCAGGGCGAGTTGTACATTGTCAGTGAAGCCAGATACTGGGGCTCCTACCAGCTGGCAGTGCCACTCCAAGGAATAACCCAGGTGGCTTGCATAGGCTCTACCAGTGTTGTTGTGGTGGGTTCCTCATTGTCTAAGTGTATGTACTCTTGAGTTGTTTTACCCCTTAAGGGGTCACGAGCACCGTGAACTGCCTGCACCGCTCCTCGGGTCTGCCCGTAACAAGCAGCGCACCCTGGAGAGCGAGCCTGCGGGATGATTGTTTCTGAACACAGTTCAGTGGGAAGGACTTTGCTACTAGCACATTAAACCCCGAGCACAAGCAGATGCCAGGAACGCCCTCTTCCCTTGCTGTTGGTCCAGAGGTAGCATTGGTGTTCGGGTGAGTGGAGGAGAGCCATGACAGAGGAGAAAGGGTCCCAGCAGTTCTAGCGACAGCCTAGTCATGGGTTCAGGAGACATTAATGTTTCCATCTGTTTCCAGGGATGCTGGGTTGAATGGTCAGAGGTAGCAGTGTGATGGTCGCAAAGGTTCAGTTTTATTTGCACTGGAATATACTTTTCATGTTATTCTAGTGAAGAATAATCTAGTGGAAATGATTGACATTTATATGTGTGTGCCTTTGAAGAAGTTAGCTGTTGTTGGTTCCATATTGATTGTGTAAAAGAAGTATTAACAGAATAGATTTGCTTGCGTTACTATATTTTCATAAAAGTGACAGTTCAGAGAGCCAGCAGTGTTTTCTGGCATCCTACATATTTCTTTGCTGTAGGCATAGTGAGGTGAACTGTCATCTTAAGGATTTAGAAGGACCAAGACCCATTAATATAAATGTGTCGACAAAAATGTTGCTTTCTTATTTAGTTAGTTAATTTAGAGAATTAACATGTTTACTTTATAGAATGTTCTGAAAGCAAAGTTGTTGTTTTTTTATCCTCTCCCGAGGACATTTTTCTATTTTTTGTTCAGATAGAGTGGGGGGGGGGGGAGAGAGAGAGAGAGAAACATCAACATGGAAGGATCACATCAAGTGGCTGCCACCCACTCAACCCAACCAGGGCTGGGGACAAACTACAACCAAGGTATGTGCCCCTAGCGGGAACCAAACCCAAGTCTCTCTGGGCCGCAGGCCGACGCTCTAACCGCTGAGCCAAACCGGCCAGGGCTGAAAGTAGACAGTTTTAAATCTGCCTTTTAGGATATTCTCTCATTGTTTTTTTATAAGCATCTTTCTTCATAGTTATGTTGCATATATCATTGATATGCGGGTTAATAATTTAAATTGAAGCATTTTTCAGTTTCTTACATAATCTGTGTGATGCATTGAAAAGAGTGACTGCTTAATATTCTATTGAATATTTTTTACCATTTGGATTGCATTAAATGTCTTTCATTTTTAAAAATTATTTTCATAGGCTTTATTCTTAGAAATGAGTTTATTGTGTCCCTTTTTTATGATTTTTTTATTTTTTTATTTTTTATTTTTTTTTGTACAGATAGAGCGGGAGGGAGAGAGAGGAAGGGAGAGAGAGAGAGAGAGAGAGAAACATCGACGTGAAGGGACACATCGAGTGGCTGCCACCCGCACGACCAACCAGGGCCGGGGACAAACTGCAACCGAAGTACGTGCCCTTAGCGGGAACCGAACCCGGGTCTCTCCGGACCGCAGGCCGACGCTCTAACCGCTGAGCCAAACTGGCCAGGGCTTATGATTTTTTGAGACATAATGCAAAAATGTTTTCTAAAAGACTGTGCTAAATTAGGTACCTATTAGTAATAAAAGGTTTTAGGTTCATTTTACCCTTCCAAATGTAGGGGATTATAGGTATTTAAATTTTGATAATTTAGAGGACAGTGATGTGCCTCATTTAAATTTACATTTTTTTATTAGAGAGATTAAATTTATTTACTTTTGGTGAATTAGTCTCCCAGCTTATAGCTATTAGAGGCTTGAAAATTTTAAATCTCAGTTGATATGAGGTTTTTGCTACAGATATTTTTCATTTACCTTTTAGTTATGTAACTATTTTTTATATAGTCAGATCTTTTTTTTTTTAATCCTCACCCAAGGACATTTTGCATTTATCTTCAGATAGAGCGGGAGGGAGAAAGGGAGGAAGAGAGAGAGAGAGAAATGTTGATGTGAGAGACACATCGACTGGTTGCCACCCACACGACCCTAATCGGGGCTGGGGACAAACTGCAACCTAGGTATATGCCCTTAGCAGGAACCGAACCCGGGTCTCTCTGGTTCGCAGGCCGACGCTCTAACCGGTGAGCCAAACCGGCCAGGGCTGTATAGTCAAATCTCAATCCTTCCTGTGTTTTTGTCGCGTCTAAGTGTATTAAGTTACACTCTCAGAGCTTCTCACCTTTTGCTTCCCTTGGTTGAGAAACAGTGGGTATGTGCTCTTACGTAACTCTTTCCTTCTCTTCAGCTTGCTTGTAGTACTTACGAAGTGGAGATCTGAATGACAGCTTCCTGGTTCTGAGTGAATGTTGCAGAATGCATGACTGCTCGCTGTAGCGTTGAGAAGTGCGTCTTTTCTACATTACTGAATTCAGTGTGTATGAAGTGCTGTTAGTCAGTCTAATGTCTGTCCCATTTCCCTTTTCCTAGAGTTTTGTAGTCTCATGGAATGTTTGCTGGTTCCTCCCACAAGCCCTGTTCCGAGGGCTTTCTGTTAAGTGGCCCTCTGCTGTTCCAGTGTTAACTGACCCCTTCCGTTTCCCCCATTTTTTCATTGCAGGAAGTACTCCCACAACCCCAACCTTGCAGGCCCCACAGAAACCCGAGGCTTCAGCCGCTGCAGCTCCCGCCTCTGTCCAGCCCTCACTGTCCACTGCTCCCTCCCCCGCCTTGTCCTTGCCCTCTGCTGGGGGAGCCCCTGCCGTGTTCTCCTTCGGTTATTCGTCCTTGAAGTTATCTGGTTCTGTCACTGGGGAGCCCCCTCCGTACCCCAATGCTTCTGATGCTTCCAAAGCCACTGTGGGCTCCGGGGCAGCCACTTTCTCCTTCGCTCCTCCTCAGACCCCCCTAGTGCCCACCCCTGCAGCCTCCCCCATGGCGCCCGCAGCTACTTCGTTCTCCTTTGGCTCACTGGGTTTTAAGCCCACCCTGGAAAGCACACCAATGCCAAGTGCGTCTACACCCAGCACTGGAATGAAGTCCTTCCCACCCTCAGCCTCTGCAGTCAAGGTCAACCTTAGCGAAAAGTGAGTGACCTGCAAGTTTGATTCTCCCGTAGGGTGGGTAAAAATGTCGCGTGTTATTCGCCGAAAACAGCCACTGAGTGGAGGTACTGAGTAGATTTTCCGTGTTTGCATTTTTTCCAAATAATACTAGCAAATGCTAAAAATCCAAACAACATAAAAGGTTTGCATTCTGTTAATGGACAGTGTCCAGAAGGGTCTTTTAGAAAATTTTTTTAATTATTAGAGGTTTATATTTAAATATTGTTTTGCTTTTTCAGATTTCAAATGTAGGAGATACTCCTTATCTTTAAAAATGTAGCCATACAATGTTTACATCCTGTGAGGGAAATGAATCTCTTGTCGTCCTTTTCTCCTTCTGTCATTCCTTGAGTCCCTCTGAGCTCCTTTCTGAACGGCCATCAGTGATCTTGGGAAATTGTAACTACATGGATGACTCTCCTGCTTGGCGGCCCCAGTGGCTTTCTGCTGCTCTCGGAATACAGCCCAGACTCCGCAGTGCTGCTCCAGGCCTCCAGGCCGGCCCGCCCAGCCCCTCACATCTTACTTTCTGCTTCTGGGTCTGTGGTTGTTCTCCCCCCAGATGGAAGCTTCTTGAAGGAAGAGATTCCTTAGCCCTGTAGCCCTTTCCAAGATAAACACTACCAGCTTCTCCCCGCTCATCTGGACTGTCTCTTGTTTCGTCCAGGTGGTGCTAGCTGTTGTCCCTGTTGCCGCCGTTGTCAGCGTTTATGTTGAATTGTCACACAGCCATTTTGTTCTAATAGTTGCCTGGTGTCCCATCTTGTGCTACATTATGACTTGTTTTCCCAGTCATCTGATGTTGGATTGTTTACACACGTTGGCTCTTCAGGTGAAACTTGCCTGACATGTCCTGTAGTGTAGACGATAAACTTTCCAAAGAGGGTGACCTGCTTTCCTGTTCCTCTTTCACTCCTCAGAGGGAGTGATCACCCCAAAACCAGCTCAGTGATTTTGTTGGCAAAAACAGGGTTCTAAACTCTCCTTAATATAATTGAGTCCCACCGTCTTTTCTTTTACTCAGCTTGGTAGAATAGAAAATAAGTACCTCTTGATTGCTTTTGAAGAGAGAGGAAGGGAGAGGGAGAGAGAGATACAAACATCAATGAGAGAACATCAGTTGGCTGCCTCCTGCATGCCCCGCACTGGGGTTTTGGCCCACAATCTGGGCATGTACCCCGACTGGGAATCAAACTGGCGACCTTTTGTTGCTTGGGTCGATGCTCAACCACTGAGCTACACCGGCCAGGCGAAAATAAGTATTTCATAGCATGATAAACCTAGTTTCACTTTTGTTTAAATATACTTTAATTTTTTCCATCATCATTTATCCTCTCTATGCCCTCCTCCATTTCATTTCCACGTTAAATATTTATTTGATATTTTCATTGACTAATTCATTCCTAAATAAGCGGAAGATCAGATCAATGTTTTCTTGCAGCTTTCAGCTTTTATAAGAAATAGCTAAGTATTTGCATTTCTGGAAGGCTGGAAAGAACGGATAGTAAGTTATCCTTTGATGACTTTGCTCACGAGCAGCGGGAAAGATGCCAGCAAGCATTCTGACACATGCGCACTGCCCTTCTCAGGTTCACTGTGGCGACCTCTGCTGCCAACAGCTCCCAGAGCACGCCCCCGCTGCTGCCGTTCTCTGCCTCCAAGCCAGCTTCCTCTGGCCCGCTCAGCCACCCCACGCCCCTGTCAGCATCGTCCGGCTCCCTGTCATCCAAGGCCTCAGTCTCTCCCTCGGCGTCAGGTATGGCTTTAAGCAGACTGCCTTCGAGCGCAGTCCTGCGTGCTCAGATGACGTTTTCCAGTTATGCAGCCAGCTAACATAGCTGGGCTGTTCTTTCCTCATGCTTCCTGCACCTCCCACTCACATGCGGGGCTCCCACTATGGTCTCGGGGCTGCCACACCTGTCTCGACGTTTCCTGTGGAGCTCAGCGTACTTGATTCGAGCTGTCGTTCAGCATTTATCTCCGGGGAGCCTGCCGTGGGAAGGGCCGGCCAGAAGAGACAGCCTGCCGTGGCTGTCACGCTGTTGCCTCTGGTGGCTGTCTTGAATTCTTACACTCAGCCCTACTGTAAAAAGATTTGTTAAATAACGATCATAAGTGGAAATAATACTTATAGTTGGGTTGAATTGATTTATGAAACTCTATGAGCAAATTATCTTTTTTTGTCTATCAAACTTGTAGAAAGGTTGCAAAAATTGTATAAAGAATACTATACCCTTCACCACAATTCAACACTTGCAAACATTGTGCACTATTTGCTTTATTTCTTCTTGTTTTAATATGTTTTTTTCTAAAACATTTGATACTTAATTGCAACAAATGAAATGTGAAACACTTTAGTCTAAGTCCTTGTGTGTATCTCCTGAAAACAAGGGCTTACGATACATTGTCACATGCCCAAAATGTAACAATCTAGCGACCACATTCACATTTCCACAGTTATCCCAATGTTTTGTTTTGTTTTTATCCTTGCATGAGGACATTATTCCATTTTTTTTTGTTCAGATAGAGTGGGAGGGAGAGAGAGAGAGAGAAACATCGATGTGAAAGGGACACATCGAGTGGCTGCCACCCGCACGACCAACCAGGGCCGGGGACAAACTGCAACCGAGGTTCGCGCCCTTAGTGGGAACTGAACCCGGGTCTCTCTGGACTGCAGGCCGACACTAACCACTGAGCCAAACCGGCCAGGGCTATCCCAATGTTTTTTATGGGGAGTTTCCCCCCTTCCAAGCCAAGAACCAGTCAGGGATCACAGTATATTCCGATCGTGTCTCATCAGTCTGTCTTACACATTCTTCACCTTTGTCTTCACAGCACTGACATTTGGGAAGGGGATCAGGCCAGGTTTGTGGGCTGTCCCTCAGTGTGGATCTGTTGTTCCGCACGATGAGGTTCAGGCTGAGCGTTTTGAGCAGCAACACCACATGGGCGATGCGTGCATTACGTTTTATGATCTGTTCAGTCCCGACATCAATGATGTTATTCGGTCCCTTGGTTAAAGTGGTGTTTGCCAGCTCTGTCGCAATTTTTAAGTTGGTTATTGTCATGAATGCCAGTGCTACTACCTAGCCAGGCATAGTTAGGTAGCCATTTGGTGTTTGATGGGAATAATTTTATTTTGGTAAATATCAAGCGGGCATTGAGCTGTGAAATTCCCAACATTGTCTTTCCTTTCCTGCTGCCCAGGAGGAAGGGCTGCTTTGTGGAGTTTGCCAGTCACCTTATCCTAGGACTTCTCATTCGGTGTTGAAAGGCGTCTGTATGAGACCCAACAAGTTATGAGGCCCTGCCTCAGTGCTTGCAGTCTGTGTGTGGCTCGGGAGAGAAAACTAGAATCTCAGTGCACATTTACTTTCCTCCCTTTCTGCTGCTCACCACCAACCCCCACGCCCACTTCGTGCCATTAATTCTTATAGTTTGGAGGGTCCGAGTTCATTGGTCTGAGTCCCAGTTGCACACTAGCCTCATGGAGGATCCATCCCCTAGTAGTTTAATCAGACTCTGGGGGTAACACTTGGGTGTGGGTTTTGGTGTGTTTGCTTTTTTTGTTTTAATCCTCACTCGATATTTTTCTATTTATTTTCAGATAGAGTGGGAGGGAGGGGGAGAGAGAGAGAGAGAGACATTGATTGGTTGCCTCCTGCATGACCCCAAAAAGGGCTGGGGACTGAACCACAACTGAAGTATGTGCCCTTTACTGGAATCTAACCCTTGACTCTTTGGTCCGCAGACCGACGCTCTAACCACTTAACATACTGGCCAGGGCATGCTTTTTTATTTTTATTTATTTATTTTTATCCTTGCCCTAGGACATGCTTTTGGGGGAGGGAGGTGGGAAGAAACATCGATCAGTTGCCTCTACATGCTTTCCCTACTGGGCATCAAACCCACAAACCAGCCATGTGCCCTGATCGGGACTCAAACTGGCAACCCTTTGGCGCACGGGATAATGCTCAGCCAATTGAGCCTCACTGGCTAGGAGGTGTGTTCGTTTTTTTTTGAAACAGTTCCCCCAGTGATTCTAATGTACAGCAGGGTGAACCTTGTGTTAGAGGTTTCCAGGAGGGTCTGAAGACCCTATGAGTTCTTCCAAGGTGCTGGGGATTCGTGTTTTCATATGATGGTTTTTCAGCTGTCCCCTGCTTCCTAGGTGCATCAGGAGCCTCTGTGGGGAGTAAGGATGGGAGCAAACACTGTCTGTTTTAACTGCCTTCTTATTCTGGCAGGGCGGTCCGCTCACAGCAGTCCAGGTCCAGTGTCCTCAGTGGGGCAGAAGTCACCCAGGATAACCCCTCCAGTGGCCAAGTCAGGTTCTCCCCAGGTATGTTTGACCTCAACTCACAGTCCTGGGCTTATTTATTTATTGCCCCCAACACACATGTTCATAAAAGGGATGTTGTGTTTTAGAACTGACTCTTTTACACTAGTACTTGGGACTGTGTGGTAGGGACCAGATGAGCTTTAGACATTTGTAGTGTGCTCATAGAAGCCGTTCATCTCAGCGCGAGTCTGCATCACGTCCTCTGCCAGTCCTGAGCTTACACATGCGATACTGTTAGTGCTGATTCTCTTGCTGTCTGAGAATACTGCAGCATCTGACATTTTTTTCCTTATTCTCAAAGTAATCAAATCTTTCCATTGCCATTTCAGTTGATTATTACTTACTTAACTTTTATTGACATGTGGCACACAGAGGGGAGAAGTACACACATCTCTGTGAATTGTCACCAGCTGAACACACCTTGGTAACCAACACTCAGATTAAGAAATGGAACCTGACCAGGACCCCAGAATTCCCCTCCTTTGCGCCCTTCTAGTAGCTACCCTTGCCAAAGGGGACTCAGCCAGCATGATTTCTAACAGCACAGCTTACTCTAGCTTGTTTGTACCTTCTATAAATGGAATCACACAGTACGTATGCTTGTATCTGGCTGTTTTGTTCAACATTGTGTTGCGGAGGTTTACCCATGTCATATTGGGTGACTATTACATGTGTTTGTTCCACCTTTGATGGGCATTCCAGTAGCTTCCAGGTTGAACTTAACTGTGAATAGTGTTGCAATGACCGTACTAGTTGATGTTTTGGGGTGAACAAATGTATGCATTTCTGTTGGGCAGATACCTAAGTGTGGAATTGCTGGGTATTAGACCAGGAGTGTAATCCTCTCTGGTAAATTCCCACCAGGAGTATATGAGAATTCAGCTGTTCCACATCCTCACCGATCTTGGTATTTTTCATCTTTTGTTGTTGGTGTATTTTGTGGAATATCTTTTATGGGGTGACTTCAAGTTGTTTATCCATTTTTCTCTTGGGTCTTCTGTCATTTTCTTACAGATTTGTGAAAGTTAGTTCCTCATTGGATACATACACAACGTACACGTACAGTGTGAACACTTTCTCAGCCTCTGGATTGCCTTTCATCTTCGTGCTTCTTTTGATGACTACAAGTTCTTAATTTTAATATAGTCTGATATATCGACTTTTATTTTATGACTAGTGCTTTTTGTGTTCTGTTTTAGAAATCACTTGCTATTCTAAGGTTAGAAGTATATTTTTCTATGTTTCAGTAAAATTTTATTTTTCAATTGCAGTGTACTTTAACATTTGTATAGTTCTGGGTGTGCAGCATAGTGGTTAGACAGTCATATATATACTTTATAGAGTGTTCTCTCTCCTATGTTTTTCAAAAAGCTTTATTTTAATTTTCATATTTAGGTCTGCAGTCTGCCATCTCAGTTTAAACTTTCTGTGGTTTAACTGAAAGGTAATTTTGTGTCGGTTTCCCACTTGATTATCTCAGTGTCCTCGGAGCAGGAGTCATGTCTTTCCTGTCTCCTCCAGCCATCCCCGCAGCACAGTGTGGGGCACACGGTAAACCGTCTGCAGTCTGGCTTTTGGCATAATGCGTGCATGACACATGGTGTTTGTTAAATAATTGTTTGCTGCTTAAATGAATGCGTATACATTCTAAAAACTCTGTGTATTAATTATTATAGGTATTGAATAATTGAAAAGTTATCTCAAATGGTAACATCTCTGAAGCGGAATTCTTGATTCAGTCTCCCAGGAACTGTTCCTTTCCTAGTGTTCCCACAGCAAATGGTGCAAGCAGGTGTTTGCTTGCGCCCCTCCCCCAGCGCCCTCCCCCAGTCTGGACTTGCTGGTCTTCTCCGCTCTGAGCTGATGAGGCGGATGCCACAGATCCACCTCTCACACTCCCTGTCAGTGCCATGCGGCAGGCTCTTGTCGTCTCTTCCCTAGTCAGCCTCCTGACTGGTCTCCCTACTTCTGCTCCTACCTTCTTTCATTGTTGTCTGGGCTCTTCTTTAAAATCATACATCACAAAGTAGCTTAAACTCTCCTAAAACTTCATTGGTAGCTTTCCCACACACTTAGAGTAAGATTCAGACTCCTTGGTGTAGCCTTACATGGTCCGCCCCTGCCCCTTCCAGCTTCCTCTCTGACCCCACGGTGCCCGCGTTCACGTATCTCTGTGCCGAGGACATGCCGAGGCTCTGCCTGCCTCAGCTCCTCTGCAGCCGCTCGTGTCGGGCCCGGAAGGTGGTTCCCGGGTCCCCCAGCTCTCTGGCTCCCGGCCTCAGAGGCAGCGCAGCGAGGGCTCTGGGCGTCTCGTCTACAGCAGTCCCTCTTCGACTCTTTGTATTTCCTGTTCCCATATCACTTGTCACCAGCTGACATTTATCCCGTTTGTTTACTTTATATTGTTCGTCTCGTCCCGTAGAAGGTAGATTCCACGAGCTTAGGGCCTCGTTTGTCTTGTTCGCCTCTCTCCACTGTTTAAACGTATCTTATACCAAGCAGATACCCAGTCAGTTCAGGCTGAAAAGAATGAATGATGGGACATTGACTGTTATGAGAGCGACATTCCCTGGAACAGGCAGTGAACCCGTGCTTCAGGAAGACGTAGCTTGGGGGATTGGATGCATTTTTAAACCTTTTGCCTTCCACTTAGGCAAAGTCACTTCCGCCTCCTGTGACAGAAAAGCAGGGACATCAGTGGAAAGAGTCAGATCCTGTGATCATTGGAATTGGAGAGGAGGTAATTTGCCCCTGCGTGTTTTCCAGTAGTGCAGACTCCTACGTGACTGTGCTGTGCTGCATTGAACCTGGCATGTCCCAAGAGTCTGTCCTGTCTGTGAGCCCAGGAGCAGTGACAGTACTGCTGTGCCATCCGGACTGAGCAGTCCCCTTGTGTGCGGCCTCTGCAGATCACGCACTTTCAGAAGGAGCTGGAAGAGCTGAAGGCGCGCACCTCGAAAGCCTGTTTCCAGCTGGGCACTTCGGAGGAGATGAAGATGCTGCGGACGGAGTCGGATGACTTGCACACCTTTCTCCTGGAGATTAAAGAGACCACGGAGGTTTGTGCTCGGTGACGGTCTCCGAGGGCGCCCTGGCTTTCACCGTTGTGCTCCTCATGTCCATGGGTGTGTGCTCCTCTTCAGAGCCCACCGGTGTCGTTTCTCCTGGGTGTGAGCCATTCGCGGAGCGATGCCTAAGTGCAGGTCCTGCCTTCAGCACCTAATGAATTAGGTGACGTTGGTCAAGTTACTCTAGCTGCTCTGTTTGGGTTTTCCCATGGAAGGTGGAATGAGAAATGACCCAGACAAGGCACTCTGTAAGAGATGCATGCTGTTCGTTTAGGTATATTTGACATTTTACTTTCATAAGTAAATTGTTAGGTTGTAGTAAAGCATTCAGTTTTTTAAAAAAGCAGAACACTTAAGATCATGATACAGAATAAAAATACCAAATTGTTGTTAATAGTATTATCTATTGTGTGACTGTTATTACTGCTTAGCTGTGTGCCAGGCACTGTGCTACACACTTGACCTGTGTTGTCTCGTTGAATCCTACAGCTGAGCTATGCGCAGGTGCTATTCTTCTTGTTGTCCAGGTCAGGAAGTGGGGCTTAGAGGGGTGAAGACTGCCCAGGGCCACCCAGTGCTGAGCGCTAGTGCCAGGGTCCCAGCTCAGACTGTCTGACTCCAGAGCCCTGGTGTTAAATGTCATGTTTGAAAGAGGAAAGTTCTCTAGGGTATTAGCAGTGACTGCCTTTAGTTAGTAGGATTATAGCTACTGTTAATACTTCTCTTAGTCTCTGAATTTCCGATCATTGGAAATGGTTTTTTAATGAGGAAGAAAAATGAATGTTGGTACACTTAAAAAAAAAGAGCATTAGTATGCTTCTATCTGAGCAGTGAAATTCTTTCTTGTACGATCACTTAAGTGTATTCAGATGTTCACAATGTTACCTGTTTGAGAAGCACCACCTTCCTTGATCCAGAGCAGAAGGGTTAATTTCTTAGAAATACCACTTTTTAAAATCAATACATCCTTATGCCTTTCCCAGTCTCTTCATGGAGATATAAGTACGCTGAAAACAACTCTACTCGAGGGCTTTGCTGGTGTTGAAGAAGCCAGAGAACAAAGTGAGAGAAACCACGACTCTGGGTACCTGCATCTGCTCTACAAGAGACCACTGGATCCCAGGAGTGAAGCACAGCTCCAGGTAGGGCGTCCGGCCGGAGCGCGCAGCCGCGGGCTCCTGGGCCCACTCCTGTGCAGCCGCGGGCTCCGGTGCCGCCCTGTGCGGCCGCGGGCTCCGGTGCCGCCCTGTGCGGCCGCTCACTGCCTGAATAATTCACCTGCTCCCCATGGGCTTCCTTGACCGTGCCGCAGGCAGCGCCACTCCTCCACTGAGTGCTTTTAGATGAACAAAATTAGAGTTTTTTTATTTTTTGTTAATCCTCACCTGAGGATATTTTTCCATTGATTTTTAGATAGAGGAGAGAGAGAGAAACATTGATGTGAGAGGGACACATTGATTGGTTGCCTCCTGCACGACCACAACTGGGGATTGAACCCAAGGGCTGCCACTCTAACCGTGGAGCTATACCTGCCAGGGCAAAAACAGAGTTCTTTTTTCTTTATTGATTTTAGAGAGAGGGGAAGGGAGAGGGAGAGAGAGATAGAAACATTGATGAGAGAGAACATCGATTGGCTGCCTACCACGTGCCCCCCACTGGGGATTTGGCCCCCAACCTAGGCATGTACCCTGATTGGGAATCGATTCCGCAACACTACTTTTCTTATTGATTGTTCATTATTCTTATTCTCGGCCTTTGCAAAATCTGGTTTTTGTTTTCATCTTTCAGTGTATTCCACTGTTACATCATAAGCTTTGGTGGGCATGGGGGGAGTCAGCTCCCACTTCCTTGCATTTGCCTAGAATCCCAGTAGTAATGAGGCACAGGGAGCAGCACTAGTCACCCTCACCCAGGATGTGAGGGTCTATGAGTGTGAGGAGTCTCCTCCTGCCCAGAAAGTCCACCATTCACGTCCCACACCTGATAAACTTACTGACAATAAGAAAATGAATGAAACAGTTGCTCCTCCCAGAAAGGTTGAGGAACCCCTGCTGGGTCCCGCAGCCCTGTGGTCTTCCCAGAGTTCCTCTGCTGTGGATGTTGACTCTTAGCAAGGGAGTGCTGGCCATTGGCCTCTGCTCTTCAGATGACAGCCTGTGTGGCATCTAGTTAAACTTCCTTCCTGCTGCCTTTACGCCACTTGCTCTGTGTCCAAACTAAAAGGAAAGCATACAGCCATTGGACGACACTCTCCCCATTGAAAAGGAAATTGTTTTCTTTTTACACAGTGCTAAACAGACCATAATAACTAGCTTATATTGAGTGCATGTCATGTACAAAAGAAAAATACTGGAAGTACCCAAGTCTCACCGCTAACAGATGCTACACCCTTGAGCCTGGACAGTGACTCAGAGCTGTGCTCTTGACCTCGACACCACAGCGTGCAGTCCCTGTGGCTGGCTGAGTGGCAGGGGGAAAGGGGAACACACAAATGCAGTGTGGAGTGTGTTGCTATGGGATTACAGATGAGTGAGCAGCTAAGTCACTGAAAAGAAGTGTTTGTGCTCTGGCCGGTTTGGCTCAGCAGTTGGAGCGTCGGCCTGCAGTCCAGAGAGACCCGGGTTCGGTTCCCGCTAAGGGCATGTACCTCGGTTGCAGTCTGTCCCCGGCCCTGGTTGTGTCATGTGGGTGGCAGCCACTCGATGTGTCCCTTTCACGTCGATGTTTCTCTCTCTCTCTCTTCCTCTCTTTCCCTCCCGCTCTATCTGAATAAAAGATGGAAAAATGTCCTCGGGTGAGGATAAAGAAGTATTTGTCATGGGCCTTGGAAGAAGAGTGGCTCTGTCGGAGGTGAAGTCAGGAGCACACTCAGAAGCAGCGGCAGCAGCTAACTCACAGGCCTGATCGCGTTTGAGTGTCAGAGAGGGCCTCCCTGCACTTGTGTTAGTTAGTTGAAGTTTGTTTTTGGTGTTGAGGTTACTGCTACTTCCTGGAAGCAGCCCGGCTCTCTTTAAATGACATTTTCTCTTTTTCAGTTGAGACATATACCCTTATCCAAGAATAATTTTGAAAGTACATTTAAACACAGTAAGATCTTGGTACAGATGCAGAAAGCTTTTTTTCCTGTGTATGCACAGTGTCTTCATTTGCATACATATCTAACAGACTGCTTCATTTTTTTTAATCCTCACCTGAGGATACTTTTTCCATTCATCTTTAGATAGAGTGGAAGGGAGGGAGAGAGAGAGAGAGAAACATCTGTGTGAGAGAGACACACTGACTGGCTGCCTCCCACACGACCCTGACTAGGGCCAGGGACAAATCTCAGCCGGGATATGGGCTCTTGCGAACCTGCGACTCCTTGGTCTGCGGGCCAGTGCTCTACACTGAGCAAAACCGGCCAGGGCAAGACTGCTTTACCTTTATTGTTATTTTTTCAGTCTGTTTGTATAGCCTGAAGGTTAATACTGGACCAAAATTTAAAGAAAATTATTGCAGGCCTAAAATAAGTTAATAGATAAGAATGTTAATAATGAAAAATTCAGTTTCTAATGCTGATGCTGTTCTTTGTTTTGGAGAAGAAATGAATTCTCATTTGGTGAGATGACTTCTGTGTTCTGTGTTATGAATAGATAGGTTCAGAATTATTTTCAGCACTGTTTTGTAGGATAATTTTGTCTCTAATACAGTTAATTTCATGGGTGGGAGAACAAAGAGTAAATGGATGCCCTGTTGGAGTACCAGAGTGCAGCGGAAAATTCCTAGACCATGTTGAGACACTTTAGAGGAGCTGAAAAATGAGAACTAAGCAAGAACATTTGTTCCCTGGAGGCCCTGCACCAATACGCCTGTTCTGTTTCTAATTCTTTTCACCACCTCTCTGTCACACCCTCAGAAAGGCTGAGTTTCTGGATTTCATTTGGATTATAACGTTCTGATGATTATATTAAAGCCTAGTTTGTTTTCTTTGTTCGTTATGGTTCTCGATATAAAAACAATTCAAAATTATTTTGATGTTTCAGTACATCTTCCTCCAAGCTACTGGAAAACTGAGTCATTTTTATTTTTGTCTTGTAGGAAATTCGGCGCCTTCATCAATATGTGAAGTTTGCTGTCCAAGATGTGAATGATGTTCTAGACTTGGAGTGGGATCAACATCTGGAACAAAAGAGAAAGCAAAAGTGAGCGAGGTGCCACCCCCGCAGGTGGTGGGAGGTACACTGCAGCCTGTTTAAAAGATGGTTTAGGAGATTTGATAAAAAATTCTAAAATGGCCCTGGCCGGTTTGGCTCAGCGGTTAGAGCGTCGGCCTGCAGTCCAGAGAGACCCGGGTTTAGTTCCCACCAAGGGCACGTACCTCGGTTGCAGTTTGTCCCCGGCCCTGGTTGGGTTGTGTGGGTGGCAACCACTCGATGTGTCCCTTTCACGTCGATGTTTCTCTCTCTCTCTCTCTTTCTCTCTCTTTCCCTCCCCCTCTCCCTCTCTCTCTCTCTCTCTCTCCCTCCCACTCTATCTAAACAGAAAATGGAAAAATGTCCTCAGGTGAGGACAAAAAATAAAACAAAAGAAAACCCTAAAATGTTGCTTCTTGCTGACGCTGGCCCATCATCCTGCTTCTAGCTATTTGTTCTACAGAAATAACAGCAGTACTCACAGCAGTTTACTTAAGAGAATTTATATTGCAGCACAGCTGGCTTTGATGGCACAAAGTGGATTAAACCTAGTAATCTACACGTTCGAGTGGCTCAATAATTCTGATCACTTTTTATTTATTTATTTATTTATTTTTATCCTCACCCAAAGATGTTTTCCATTTTTTTGTTCAGATAGAGTGGGAGGGAGAGAGAGGAAGAGGGAGAGAAAGAGAGAAACATCGATGTGAAAGGGACACATCAAGTGGCTGCCACCCACACGACCAACCAGGGCCGGGGACAAACTGCAACTGAGGTACATGTCCTTAGCGGGAACTGAACCCGGGTCTCTCTGGACCACAGGCTGACTCTCTAACCGCTGAGCCAAACCGGCCAGGGCCTGATCACTTTTTAAAAAATACAGACATAACCATGGACTAGTATTTTCTCAAAACATCCTGTTACATATATTTGTATGCTATGTGGGGTGTGTGACATGCATATAATCATGTTATCAGGTACAATATATAAAATATGGAAAGGACATGCTGGGTGAGCTCATTGTGGAGTCCCAAACATAGACAAGAGGCTGGAAGTTAATCTTGGAAAATACTCGCAGAGATGGGACTAAGAGGAATTTTTTCTATATGCTCTTTTGTATATTCCAAGTTTTCTTTTTAAGAAGGCATTCCTCATTAGTGTGGCTAATTAGAAAGCGAGAGAAATGATGGCAGAGGTAAAACAGAGGGACTAGAACGCAGTGCATGGTGAGAGCAGTCGAGTGGCCACAAGAAATGTGGAAACCAGACCAGCCCTCGAAGCGCCCCATATTGAAACACCTGCACTCGATTAATGCGGTTGGCTCTGTGAGGAAACCAACTAAGAAATGATCTGTTTACTTGTTTATAAAGCTGTGGGATCACAGAACTTGTAAGTGGGGCCACCTGGGTGTGCTGTCAGGGGCAGGGCCAGAATGTGCTTGAAGTTCGGCGAGCAGAATTCAGCACATTCTGTTGTTCACGTGGAGAAAGGCCTTGTGCCCAACCTGAGGGCTCTCAGCTGGGAGTGTAGGTAGCGGAAGGTAGAGTGAGCACTGATCCCTCAGACACTGGTTGGGGAGGATTCCTCAGCCTGTGGCCTGGAGCACCTGTCCCCCTGGGCGGGGCCCCATCAGAGATTTCCGGGCACCCTCCCCTAGTTCTGAGTTCATGTTCAACCATGTTGAGAGGATGGCTTGACCTGGCAGCATGTATGTTCTGCTCTGCTTGGCAGTTAGATTTCTGTTTGCTAACTAATTGGGTTTTTTAAAAATGCATAATGATAACAGAGAAGCCAGGCTTTCTTCTCCTTCGTGACAGTTCCATGGATTCACTACTTAATATGCTTTTTTTTATAGTTACCTCTCTGTGGAGTTCAGAGTATTAAATCTATACAGTTTTCCAGCATTTCTGTTTTAGGTCCTTCTCTAAGTATTATCTTGTACCCTATTGAAATGCATTTAAAAATTGATCTTGAACTACCTGTCACCCAAAAAAGAAAGGAAATGGTCCCTTTCTCGTTTCAGCTCTCTGGGGTGGGTGGGCCCTCCTGCTCGGTGGTGTGCGCTCCGCTGTGTCTTGGCAGCACTGGGAAGAGGTGGCGACTCCCGGGGACTCTGGGAGCCCTGGGAAGAGGGGCTGATCCAGGGACTCTGGGAGCCCTGGCTTTTCTTTTACTGAATGTAGTTTACTCACAGAAACTGACACGTACCCTAAATATATTGCTGAATGAATTTGACCCCTATTGTTGACTCGTCTCCTGCCCTTTTCTGTCCCAGAGTCTCTGAGATTTTGTCTGGTTGTGTGTGCAGGCCTGGCCTCCCTCACTACGTTTTATCCTCATTAGGCTTCCCCTTTTTATTTTCTAGCAATTTCTCTATTATGTTCTGGCTTTCTGTCTACTGGTGGTTCTCTGTTTCATTCTTTTTACTGTCATAGTTGTAGTCTTTTTCTTCTGTGGGAGCTTTCTCTCCCCGAGCTGCTCGTGTGAGTTCTTTTCTCACTGCTGTCGACAGGCGCCTGCTTGTGCCAGAACGAGAGACGCTGTTTAACACCCTGGCCAACAACCGGGAGATCATCAACCAGCAGAGGAAGAGGCTGAACTGCCTGGTGGACAGTCTCCAGCAGCTGCGACTCTACAACCACACTTCCCAGTGGAGCCTCCCCTTGGAGGTCCCCTCCCAGAGCAGTATTCACAGGTGCGCCGGCAGCTGGGCGCCGAGAGTATCTGGCACTCAGCAGGTCTGGCTGCGTGAATGCAGCTGTATTTGGGAGTGATGTGGAATTATCTGCAAGTGGTTCAGATGTGGGTTTGAAAGTGACTCTGCGGTCACCTGTGTGACCCCGGTTACGTTCCTCGCCCTCTTTGATCCTTTGCTTAAAAAATGGGGATAATAATACCTGCCTCAGGGGATAGTTGGAGAGTTAAATTAAGTCTAGCAAGCACCCGGTAGTGTGTGTGATGAAACAGGTGCTGCAGGGATGAGAGCAGACACTGTAGTAATACCTTGTCTTATTGAAAAGGAGCTGGTAGGGTTAGGTGGCTACCTTGTTTCCAAGCTTAGATTTGTCATTTTGCTTGAGTGTGGAAACTCTCAACCCTTTCAGTTAGACAGTTTACCCTTGAAGAAGTTCCCTGGGGGTTTTGTGTGTCTGCTTTTTTTTTTTTTTTTTTTTTCTCACCCGAGAATATTTTTCTACTTATTATCAGATAGAGTGGGAGGGAGAGAGACAGAGAGAAACAGCGACATGACAGAGCCACATCAGTTGGTTGCCTCCCACGTGACCTGACCAGGGCTGGAGATGAACGCAGCCGAGGTACGTGCCCTTGACCGGAATCGAGCCCGCAACTCATTGGTCCGCGGACTGACGCTCTAACTGCTGAGCCGAACCGGCCAGGGCTGTGTGTCCACCTTTTGAACGTGCAGATGTTCGCTGCCCTCTGCGGGGCACTGTCTGTGTTTGCCATGGCGTGGTGTATGACACCGCGGTTGCTGTCACTGTCTTGCACTGAGGACATCGATTGCTCAGGTCGCCTGTTTCTGTATGGGGCATGCTCTCATGCATTTATATTTGGGATAGTGTACCCCGCAGCCCCTCCGATTTCTCTGGTCATAGTTGGTTTATATATAACACTGTCTGATTCCAGCTTTGACAGTGACCTGGAAAGCCTGCGCAATGCTTTGTTGAAGACCACCATAGAGTCTCAAGCCAAACCCTTGCCGAAAGTACCAGGTAAATGCACTCTTCCCAGGCCTCTCTTTGTTTTGTTTCATCTACTGACCAAGTGTTAAGCATTTATGGGTTCGTGAATTTCTTGCAGCTAAACTGTCCCCTGTGAAACAAGCACAGCTGAGAAACTTCTTGGCCAAGAGAAAGACCCCACCAGTGAGATCCACTGCTCCAGGTGAAGGAAACTGAACTTTTTAGCACAAACCATGTAGTTCATTGTGAGGGAGTGGGTGTGTGTGTGTGTCTGTCTGTCTGTGTCTTTCTTTAATTTATTTTGTTGTTAATCCTCACCCAAGGATATTTTTCCATTGATTTTTAGATAGGGAGGAAGGGAGCGAGAAACAAACATCCATGTGAGAGAAACACATTGATTGGTTGCCTCCCTCACGACCCCAACTGGGGCTAGGGATCAAACCTGCAACCCATGTACAGGCTATTGATTGGGAATTGAACCCTCGACCCTTCAGTCCACAGGCGAGCTCTCTAACCTCTGAGCCAAACCAGCCAGGGTTCTTAATAAGAGCTAAAGAAAATGTCCCAGAATCGGTTGTGCATCTGAACGTGGCAGTAGGCAGCTGCGGGTACCTGCTCGGCCAGGCAGTTCAAGTGGCGGTTCTGGCCTTTCCACCTGTTTCCCGCGGGCCTCGGGTTGTGTGGCCGTGGTTCCCGGCTCCGGGCGGCGTGCTGAGCTGGCTCCACGGCCGCAGCTCTGCTGAGAGGCTCGACTCTTCCGGTTTGTGTGGGATTCTGAGGGTTAGAGTAACTTTTTTATGTGTTTGTAAAGTCTCCCAATGATCTACCAACAGAAGACATTCTTTTTTTCTTTTTTCTTTTTTTAAATTTTTTATTTATTTTTTTGTTACAGATATTTTACCTTTTTTACCCCATTGGCACCCCCCTCCCCACCCCCGCCCCACCCCGTCCCCGGCTTAGTTGTCCATGTCCATTGGTCATGCATACATGCATATAAGTTCTGTGGTTTATCTCTTCCCACCCACCACCCACCCCCTCTTCCGAGGGATGTCAGTCTGTGCCCTACTTCCATGTCTCTGGGTCTACCGTATTCCTCAGACTGTTATGTTCATTATATTCCGTATATAAGTGAGATCCTGTGGTATTTGTCTTTTTCTGCTTGGCTTATTTCACTTAGGATAATACTTTCCAGGTCCCTCCATGTCGTCTCAAAGGATAAGAGATCTTTCTTTCTTACCGCTGCATAGTACTCCATTGTGTATATGTACCACTGCTTTTTTATCCATTCGTCTACTGATGGACACTTGGGCTGTTTCCAGATCTTAGCTATTGTAAATAGTGCTGCTATGAACATGGGGGTACATATATTCTTCCTGATTGGTGTTTCAGGCTTCAGAAGACATTCTTTAAATAATGGAAAAGGTTATTTAAAAATTTTACTTGTCGCCCTGGCCAGTTTTCTCAGTGGTTAAAGCATCGGCCTGCAGACCAGAGAGTTCCGGGTCCAGTTCCCGCTAAGGGCACGTACCACGGTTGCAGTTTGTCCCTGGCCACGATTGGGATCGTGGGTGGCAACCAGTTGATGTGTCTCTCTCGCATCGATGTTTCTCTCTCTCTTCCCTCTTCTCTCCCTCCCGCTGTATCTGAGGATAAAATGCAAAAATGTCCTGAGGATAAAAAAAAAATTTCACTTGACTGTGACTATTACCCTGCCTAATTTAGCGTTATATGATTACGGAAAAATTAACAAATTGTGGTACAGTATGATTAAGTGAAATTTCCCTCTGTTGTTTTAATTACCAAAAAGAATTTGTAGTTGGTATAAATCACCAATTTCAACTCAAAACAAAATTTCAAAGAAAAAAAGGAGGCATGGACACAAAAGCAAAGTACAGCTATGCCTGAGGTAGTGTATCACACACAGTTTAAAACAGAAAATTGAGGTGGTCATCTAGGTCATTTAATGGCAAAATCAAGTTTTTTCCACCAGTTATACAGATTCCTTTCAGCAAGTGTCTCCAGCTATCTTTCTCCCTAATCAGTGGTGTTTTACCTACTTTAAGGGGGAAAAAAAAGCTGTTATTCTGGAGGTGGACAGTGGTGATGGCTGTACCACACTGTGACTGTACTTGATTCCAGTGAGTGCACACTGCAAAATGGTCAGCACGGTCGACTGTATGTTATGTGTATGTTATCACAATAAAAAAATTGGGGGGAGCCCAGCTAGTATGGCTCAGTGGTTGAGTGTAGACCCATGCAACAGGAGATCATCGGTTCGATTCCCAGTCAAGGTACACGCCCAGGTTGTGGGCCAAATCCCCAGTGGGGGGCATGCAGGAGGCAGTCGATTTGATGTTCTTTCTCATCGATGTTTCTAGCTCTCTCTCCCTCTCCCTTCCCTCTCTCTAAAATCAGTAAAGAAGAAGAAAAAGAATGTGGTCTTGTCCACAGCCATAGCACCCTGAACGGCTGTTCTTGTCTGGTCTTGGAAGAATGTGGTCTTTCAAGTCACATTCCCCCAAGTTGGAGTTCTGGCTCTATCATTTACCAACTTTGTGACCTTGAGCAAATTACTTAACCTTTCTAAGCATTGAGCATTAAATCAGATAATAGCAATTTCTGATTCATAGGATGATTGTGAGGGCCAGTAGGATACTGTATGTAGATGATTTGTGCAGCATGGGGCACGCAGTAAGTTCCCGTAGGCATCAATTGCAGTTTGCTGCTGGTGCTGGTGGTGAGGAGCAGACTCCAAGTGAGCTGGCCTCGTGTTTATTGCATCCAAGAACTGTGGTCCTGGCCCTGGCCGAGGAGCTCAGTTGGTTTGAGCATCATCCTGATACACCAAGGTTTCGGGTTCGATCCCTGGTCAACCAGTGAATGTATAAAGTAAGCAACAAATCAATGTTCCTTTCTCTCTCCCTTCCTTATTCTTTCTCTAAAATTAATTTTTTTTTAATTTTTTATTCTCACCCGAGGACATCTTTGCATTTATCTTCAGATAGAGTGGGAGGGAGAGAGGAAGGAAGAGAGAGAAACATTGATATGAGAGAGACACATCGACTGGCTGCCACCCACACGACCCCAACCAGGGCCAGGGACAAACTGCAACCGAGGTTACGTGCCCTTAGCGGGAACTGAACCCGAGACTCTGTGGTCCACGGGCCAACGCTCTAACCGCTGAGCCAAACTGGCCAGAGCTAGAATTAGTTATTTTAAGTGCTCTGGCCCAGTACTACGCAGTAGGACTGCGACGATAGAAGTATGTGTATCTGTGCTGTGCAGTCAGTGTAGTGGCCACTGGGGCTCTGGAGTCCTCCAGATGTGTCTGGAACAACTGAGGATTTGAAGTTGAACTTACTTTTCATTATCTTTCACTTAAATAGCCACAGATGGCTAATGGCTACCAAATTGAGGAGTGCAGCCTACCAGGTAGCATTGGTTTTCAGTGGCATTTGCTTGACACACGTAATTGTGACAAATAAAACCTTGTAGAATGTGTCTAGAAGGACAGGTAAGTCAGTCAGTATTAGCAGTGTTGTTTTAAATTACTTGCGGAAGAGAAAGGTTTTTTTGTTGGTTTTTGTTTTTTTTCCAATACATAGGCAGTTACAGGCATTCCAAACTTCATGGTAGAAAATAAAATGTCGTAAAGCCTTACTTGATAGTTCATAGAGGGAAAAAGCAGGGGAGATCAGGATTACTGTCTGTATGTCTTCTAAACCTGATTGATTCAAAATATTATTAGATTTAGCTGGAAATGTCTAAGACAGTCAGGACTGAGGACCTTGTGTTTTTCCAGTTTGCATTAGACACGCTCTTAGAAATCACTCCTGGAAGGTGGCGGCAGTGGTGGGGCTGGGCCCTGTGCTGTGGAGGTGGGGCTGGGCCCTGTGCTGTGGAGGCTCGTCTGTTACTTTTCTGGTACCGTGACTCTGCCTCCGAGGACGCTGCCAGGGCACAGGGTCTCCCCCTCCGCACCAGCATTCATTTGTCTCTCGCTTCACATTTCTCCGTTTCATGGTCAAAGTGCTCTTGGCCTGCACAGCCCAGTACTTCAAAGCCCCCTTTGAGCAGAGACCCCAGACCATCTTTGTTCACATTCCACAACAGCTGCTTCCACTCAAAATAAGTAATAATTAAATTGTTTTCCAAATTGGCTATTATTCTGTTGACAGTGAAAATCACACAGCTTTGGGACTGCTTCGGTACTAACTTGGGTTTTGTCTGGGGCTCTGTAGCCAGCCTGTCCCGGTCAGCTTTCCTGTCTCAGAGATACTATGAAGACTTGGATGAAGCCAGCTCAACATCATCCATCTCCCAGTCTTTGGAGAGTGAGGACACGCGGGCACCCTGTAAAGATGATGATGCCGGGGTCCAGGTCCCTCGGCATGCCCCGGTGGTTCGCACTCCATCCATCCAGCCCGGCCTCTTGCCCCAGGCAGCAGCTCCTTTTGCCAAGTCTCACCTGAGTCATGGTCCACCTGGTGTGATGGGACCCTCAGGTAAGGAACCCATGAGATAGGAAAATATTTCCCCACTAGGCTCCAGACTCAGAAAGGGACTGTAACTGGGTTTTATACTGTCACACCACTAAGTTGCTGGTTCCGGCCCATTCCTGCTAATATTCCAGAAAGTTGGAGACCAATCCCAAAGAGTGTGTTCCCCTTGGAAGCAGTTGGTAGGACACCATGGGGGGAGACACAGGATTCCATGGCCACCACTTTGCTGTGGCGTCTGGCTGTGCTTACTTAGACAGGTCTCGGCTGGGAGGAGCTGCTTGCCTCTGGGAGAGCCCCCCCCCCCCAATGCCTTGCACGTCCAGACCGTTGCACCCTGCTCTGCCTCAGATCTCGCCAGCTCGTGAGCGCCTCAGTGTCTCACACTGGCGACCTGCGCTGGCCGAGTGTCTGGCTGTGCAGTGACGTGGCCTCTGGCAGCGCGGCACCGGGATGGAGGCTCATGAGAGGAGAGCGGGAAATCGATCCAATTGATCTGTGTTGGCATAAAGGTTATATCTTCATCAATATCGGGAAATGCCACATAAAGTAGCTATTTTCAACCAGTGTGCTGCAGGAATTTGTAAAACATGCAATATCTGACTATTTAATCGGGGGCACTGACCTCTTTTCCCTCAGATCGTCAAATTAAAAAATGACAACAGCCAACACAATAGCCATCTGGTGTGAATGAATCAAAATTATGCCTTTTTTTTTCTCAGAGTGGCAAAGAACAGGTTTTTTTGGTGTGCTGCAGAATTTTAGTTATTAGCTTACGTGTGCCATGAGCTGGAAAAGGTTGAAAATCGCTGGAGTAAAGTATTTTAGTTACTGGAGGTGGGCAGGCAAATTGCATGTGACATCTTTGCCCGCCTGTCTGTTTACTGGGTCTCATCTACGTTCATGTTTAAGGATTTTTAATCTCAGCAGTTTCTCTGCAACGTAACGTGAGAATGTACCGTTTTAACTTTTGTGTTTTCTTCTTCGACCAACTTTCATTTCGTTTTTCTGTTTCCCTCAGTGTCCACGTCTGCTGGCAAAATCATTCCTCAGGGGGCCGATAGCACGATGCTCGCAACCAAAACCGTGAAGCACGGCGCCCCGGGCCCTTCCCACACCATCCCGGCGCCCCAGGCGGCCGCGGCGGCAGCGCTGAGACGGCAGATGGCCAGTCAGGCGCCAGGTGAGAGCTGGCCCCACACCTGTGCCGAGGCGGGTGTGGCTGTGTGTGTCTCAGGCGGGGACGGCAGGTGCCAACTAACACCCGGCTCTGCTCCGTTCAGAGAAGACTGACGTGACAGCCTCTCCTTTCTGGGGAGAGAGTTCCGAGAAAGCAGAGACTAGGTCTGCTTCTTAAGACCTCTGCATTTAGATCACCTCATCAGATGATCTCAAACTGTTCTCAGGGTCTCAGCTACCCTGTGAGGTGGGCATCTGTGCCCGTTTTGCTTCGGAGTGAAGTGAGCTTCAGAGAGGTGAAGGTGACCCTACCGATAAGAAGTAGAACCCAGACTCCAACCCTAGGTCTTTCCATCGCAGTACACTTCTCAGGATGGCACGCGTGGCCTCACAGGTGGGCTCTGATGAGCGCTTGCGTCTTGCCAGTGGTTTGTGGCTGTCCACATTTTCTGCGTGAGGACGTCTGGGTAGCTGGCCTTAAGGACTCCAGTGATCACCAGTTGTTCATTTGTACAAGCCAGTGGTTTTGCCCACCCCACCCCACCTGTTGGCATTGTTGGTGGTAAAGGCCAGGAATGCTGGGGGGAAAATCTTTTAAAAAATGTTTATTTCTTTTTTTTTTTTTTTTTTGATATTTTGTTCAGATAGAGTGGGGGAGAGAGAGAGAAACATCGACGTGAAAGGGACACATCGAGTGGCCGCCACCCTCACAACCTAACCAGGACCGGGGACAAGCCGCAACCGAGGTGCATGCCCTCAGTGGGAACCGAACCCGGCTCTCTCTGGCCCGCAGGCCGACGCTCTAACCGCTGAGCCAAACCAGCCAGGGCTATTTATTTTTTTATATCATAGGTCATTTTTATTTAAAGCGCTATTTTAAAAAGCATCATTACGCCCTGGCTGGTTTGACTCAACAGTTAGAGTGTTGACCCGCGGACCAGAGAGTCCTGGGTTCGGTTCCCGCTAAGGGCACAGACCTCAGTTGCAATTTGTCCCTGGACCCGGTAGGGGTCATATGAGTGGCAACCATTCGATGTGTCTCTCTCACATTGATGTTTCTCTCTTTCTCCCTTTCTCCCTCCTGCTCTATCTGAAGATAAATGCAAAAGAAAAAATATCCTCAGGTGAGGATTGAAAAGAAAAAAAGCATCATTAGTGCATTTGGCAGCAACTTACCTTTGTCTTACATGGTGGCAGTTTTCAGAGTAAAAGGACATCACAGTGAAGAAAACAGCACATGCACAGCCATGCCGACCTCAGAGCAGTTTCAGGTCAAGGAGTCTGTTTCAGCTTTGTGGCTCCAAGTGACAGAGTTCTTTCACCTAAGATAGTGCCCGCTTCCCTGTTTTGTCACCCTGAATTAGTTCAGCTCTTTATTTTGTTTATACCTGTGCATTACGAGACCACGAGACAGTGGACTGTGGATCTGTCTGGCAAGAACCCTGCCAGTGGGTTCATTTCCAAAGGGGCCCTTCGCGTTCAACAGCCACGTTGTTATTGCTGCGCCTCGGGACAGAGCCGGCCACACTAACGTGGAGATTGTCCGAGTGTGAGGGTGTGTGTGCAGTGTGGGAACCCCATGCAGACAGGAAGGGAAACAAACGAGCAACTATGATGTGTGTGGTAAATGTCATCTTGACCTTCACAGCAAAGACATTAAATGTGTAACGTCACACTTCGTCTGAGCACCACGCTCCTCCATCAGAGCCACCCATTTACAGATTGTTCTTTATTATAATACCAGTGCTACCAGGAGAAAAAGAAAAATCAAAACAGCATTATGGAAGTTTCCTTAAAAAGACAAGGTCACCTCGCAAATTTCATCTCTCCTAGGGATAATGTACTGCCCAATACTTAATGACCAAGACTCCTCTGACACACCTGTATAACATAACTTGGACTTCTTTTTTGCTACAAAAAAAAAAATCTTAAAATGCACAGGACACCCCTACAACAAAGGAGTATCTAGCCCCAAAATGTCAACAGTGCCAACGTTGAGAATCTGCTATAATCAAATTTTTTTTGTTTTAGCTGAATAAAATTATTTTTTAGTTTTACCACTACTTAGAACACATGTCAATTTAGACAGCTTTTCTTTAAAGACTAAAAAGGCATGGTGGTTTGATATAGCTATACAGTGATAAAAGATTTCTAAGAAAAGTTCAAATATTAAAACCTCTATCAAGGCATTTAAAATAGATGTGAAAGCACATAAACAAGATACTCTCAAGGTACCTTTGAGCCTTCTGAAAGAATAGAACTCTTTGATGTTTCCTTTAAATATTACTTGGATCAAGCAGAATCTTGGCGTTGTGCTGAACAGGCCCAAATCACGCTGATAGAGTTGATTATTTATAAACTGAAAATCTGCCAGGACTTGGGATTATTCCACTGTCAGCAGAAGGTGGTGTGATCTCTATTATCATTCTGGAAGCAAAAATTTCTAAGGTGTAGGCACCTTTGAATGTGAAAGATGAAGTCCGTGCAGTCGTCGGCAGGAAGTGCTGGCTGCAGCTCTGAGGGAGGGCGGGAGCCGGCTGCTGCAGAGCCACGTCCCGCACGGGCTGCATCTTTCAGTCTCGCTAAACATATAGTTAGAAGAGATCCAATAACTTTGCTTGGACTTTCTTAATAGTTAATTATAAAATATCAGCCCTGGCCGGTTTGGCTCAGCGGTTGGAGCATTGGCCTGTGGACCAGAAAGTCCCGGGTTCGGTTCCCGCTAGGGGTGCGTACCAAAGAAAGAAATAAAGAAAGAAATACTAGCTTTGCCCTGGCCGGTTTGGCTCAGCTGTTAGAGCGTTGGCCTATGGTCTGGAGCGACCCGGGTTCGGTGTCCGCTAAAGACACGTACCTCGGTTGCAGTTTGTCCCCGGCCCTGGTTGGGTCATGCAGGTGGCAGCCACTCGATGTATCCCTTTCATGTCGATGTTTCTCTCTCTTCCTCTCTCTCCCTCCCACTCTATCTGAACAAAAAATGGAAAAAATGTTTCCAAGTGAGGATAAAAAAAAATATCGTTAAGTCCTGGTACACAGTTACAGATGATAAGACACACAGAGATGTGAAAGCTGACAAGCCTGAGATGGGCAGGTCGGTGTTGGGTTAATCGGTTGCCATTCCTTATTTCAGGCCTCTTGGCTTTCCCCCATTCTTTTTTTTTTAAATGTTTTTATTGATTTTTAGAGAGAAAAGGAGGAGGAGAGATAGATAGAAACCTCGATGAGAGAGAAACATTGATCGGCTGCCTTCTGCACACCCCCGACTGGGGATGGAGCCCATTACCTGGGCATGTGCCCTGACCAGGAATCGAACCAGTGACCTCTCGGTGCATGGGACAATGCTCAACTACTGAGCACACCGGCCGGGCCTTTTCCCATTTTTGCCCAGGCTCCATTGCCCACATTTTATTCATTGTGTGCCTCACTAAGCTGTGAGGTCTTTTAGAGAAGAAACTATATAAGACTTTTTTTTGTATTCCCAGCACCTAAGCGTCCGGCTATAAAAAGCCCATGTGAGAGAATGGTTGAATGAAGGAGTGGGTGGGTGGGGAAATCCTTAGTCTGAATATTCTAACCCTCTTTCTACCCTTTTCCAAGGTGAGCCAACAATGTGGCAGGTAACCTCAGCTCTGTCCTTTAAAATCTGGCCAGGAAATGCTTTTTTCCCTAAAATAGGACATTTGATTAAATTGCACGATCTTCGTCTCCTAGTCCTTGTGAATGGAGGAGGCCAGATGTCCCACTGAGCGCAGCGCTGCAGGCTGCCTGGAGCAGACTGTCCTCTCGGGGCTGCATTCTGCCTGAGTGTCTGTCCTGGTACCTGCATGTGCTAGACTTTCTGATCCCTCGCGTAATTCACGTGCCTCTCTGCTCTCTGTTTGAATAGCTGTAAGTACTTTGACTGAATCAACTTTGAAGACTGTCCCTCAAGTGGTCAATGTGCAGGAATTGAAGAATAACCCTTCACCTGCCTCTGCAGCGATGGGGTAGGTTGCACCTTTGTGTGTGTGTGTGTGTGTCAGCCAAGTGAACTGTTCTGAAATATCAAGGGACTGCCTGCAGGGAGCAGCGTTGCTGCTGGCACAGTGGCTGTTTCCTGCCGAGCCTCAGGCTACAAGGAGGGAGGACAGCTCATCTTGGGTACACAATTGGGTTTTCGGGTTGTCCTCTTCAACTTGCTAGTGACAGTTGCCTCATAAGCCTTTAAAGTCTGCGTTGATGACATGCCCAGTGTGCTGTTTGCTATGTGTAAGTGTGTGTGGTACACAGTAGGGCTAATAAGTGGGGTACGGCTTGATTTTTTTTTTTTTAATACTTTTTCTTTATTGATTAAGAGAGGGAGAGAGAGATAGAAACATCAATGAGAGAGAACATCGAGCCCTGGCCGGTTTGGCTCAGCGGTTAGAGCGTCGGCCTGCGGTCTGGAGAGACCCGGGTTCGGTTCCCGCTAAGGGCACGTACTTCGGTTGCAGTTTGTCCCCGGCCCTGGTTGGTCGTGCGGGTGGCAGCCACTCAATGTGTCCCTTCACGTCGATGTTTCTCTCTCTCTCTCTGTTCCTCTCTCTCCCTCCCACTCTACCTGAACAAAAAATGGAAAAATGTCCTCGGGTGAGGATTAAAAAAAAAAAAAAATTGGCTCAGCGGAGAGAGAACATCGATTGTCCGCCTCCTGCACGCCCCCACTGGGGATCGGGCCCACAACCTGGGCGTGTGCCCTGACCGGGAATCGAACCAGCGACCTCTTGGTGCGTGGGTCAACACTCAACCACTGAGGCACACCGGCCGGGCAGATTTTTTTAATACTCTTGGGGTCCCAGGGTTGATGCCTCAGTTCTAATTCAGACTTGATTCAGAAAACGCAGTGGTGATCTTGAGATTGACAGCATCCTCCCTCGTTTCCTCTCTCCAGGCATCAGGCATTGCTGTTGCTTCACGTTTCTTTTGCCTTTTGTATGGAAAACAAAACAAGCTGTCTTTACAAGGCAGCAGCGCTGTCTGGAGACATGCGGCTCCTCTCTGCTGTGCTGGAGGCCGCCGCCGCGCCAGAGCCAACTTGTCCTTAGTCTGCACCTCCGTCTGGGTCGGCCTGGCTCCCTCCCGCAGTCTGGGCAGCACAGTCCGTGGAGCTCGCCTGCCCGGTTGCTCTTTGCATTTTGCAGCTGTGATTGCTGCAGTCCAGCCTGGCCTTCCCTGTGGCCTAGGCAAGGATCGAGGGACGTTTCCTCAGTGTGAACGTAGGCATCGTGATGACCAGTGTCATTCAGGGATTGGTGTCTGGTGCCCATGGTTAGTCCAGCGGCGAGAGCAGCCACAGACCCTGTGTTTCTTCCGCATCATGCCTGCTCTCCCCCACCCGGCTCTGCTCCCTGGTCTGTTTTGGCTTTACCGAGTGGCCCTGCCCCCCTAGTCCACTGGCCTTCTCTTTCATCCACATCGGTCCATTTATCGGCACTGCCTGTCCCAGGAATTTCTTGGTTATCTCGGGTCCATACGGACAGCCCCAAACAAGCCTGCCCACGTTGGCATCCTGCAGTTGGTTTCCTGCAGCTTTGGTGTGCTGCTGCGCCCACGATGGCGTCTGTGGTTGGTGCGGACTGCTCAAGGGAAGACTGCCCTGAGTTTGGGCGTTGTGGCCAGAGTCCTCGGGTGGGGAAGGCAAAGGAAAGCCACCAAAAGGCAGCGTGCTCCATCGGAGGGAAGTCCAGCTTAATGGTGGAAGGAACATAGTCCGGCATTGCCGAGACCCTCAGCCACTAGCCGTGGCTGAGAAATTCTCCTGTGATTTCACTTCACCTCTTCTCAGGCTTGGTTTCCCTCGAGTGGTCCATCTGCGCTGAGCTTTGATAAGGGCTGTGCTAGAGGAGCACTTCTGAGTTCGCCCTTTTTTCTGACTTAAGGAAAATAAACACAAAAGTAAAAAAGGAATCTTGAAGAAACTTTCCCCACAGAATTGGACTGTGGTAGTTATTTCACTTGTATGCCCAGCATGGTGACTAGAGTGTAGCTCCCTTTTTAAAAAATTTTTTTTCTTTATTGAAATTTAGAGAGAGAGGAAGGGAGGAGAGAGAGTTAGAAACATTGATGAGAGAGAATGTCGATTGGCCGCCTCCTGCACGCCCCCCACTGGGGATTTGGCCCACAACCTGGGCATGTGCCCTGACTGGGAATCGAACCAGTGACCTCTTGGTGCGTGGATTGACACTCAACCACTGAGCCACACCAGTCGGGCTAGAGTGTAGTTCCTTTTTTTGATGTGTTAATCCTCACCTGAAGATATTTTTCCATTGATATATATATATTTTTTTAGATAGAGTGGAAGGGTGGGAGGGAGAGAGAGGGATACAGCGATTGGCTGCCTTCCCCCACGACTCCACCCGGGGCCAGGGATCAAACCTGCAACCCAGGTATGTGCCCTTGATCGGGAATCAAACCCGCAACCCTGCCGTCTGCAGGCCAGTGCTGTACCTGCTGAGCCAGACCAGCCAGGGCCATAGTTCCTTTTTCATAACCATCTATCAAATAATAGGTAAACTCTATGCATAATCAATAAATGGAAATTGGTATTTACTGCCTCTCCCAACAAGAAAGCTTCGGAGGGAAGTACATTCAGTATCAGATTCTGTGAAGCAGTAGTTTCTCAAGTGTATTCTAAGTATTTAATTTTTCATTTAATCTTCTCTGAGTAGTATCTTACAGATTTACTCTAAGATGAGCCTCCCTGTTTCTGCCATTGGCGTGTGTCATGTTCATGGCTTCACACACTATTCACTGACTGGCCGTCCTGCTCGAAGGGAGAGGGTGGCTGTCGGACTCTTGTGGGGAGCTCAGTCACCGGGTGCAGCAGAGCCTTCTGGGCAGCTGCCAGGAGCACGGTGCTGCCCTGGCGAGGGAACCACACTGTCCCTGCTTTCGTGCACTTGCATTTCAGCAGGAAGACGGCCTCTGAACGACCAGTACGGTTACTCTGTGCGGCGCCGTAGGGTCGGTGCAGGAGCCAGCTGCTGAGAAGCGCCGCACGCGGGCTGGCGGAGCCGGGCTGGCGAGGTTGGTGGGGAAACGATGTTTGAGCTGAAAGGTAAACAGTGGCCGGAAGTTCCCGGGCAGAGTGCAGAGAAGAGCGTCCTGTACAGAATGTGGACCAGCCCAGGCCTGGCAAGGCCAGAGCACGTTGGAGGCGGAGTTGACAGAAGGCCAGTGTGGCTAGAGGCCTGGCAGGAAGTGGGGTGGGAAGAAAGGGGCCGGAGGAGGTGGGGTTTGAGCTTTGTTTGTTCCTTTCTACTAAAACACACGGACACATCGTTTAGGGACTGTTGTCTAGGTGTGGGTTACAGGGCAGATGTTTCTCATGCATGGTTAAGGGCTGCAGTGTCTCAGAAATACCAGACCGTGCTTCCTTCACCATTTGGCTGGATTTTTCTTTCTTATGTAATTAACATTCTGCCTTTCGGTGGCTTTTGACACTGGATAAAGACCAAAATGCCAGAGAGCAGGTCTCATGAATATCCTAAGGAAACAAGCTCCAAGCGCAGGGCGTGTGTGGGGGTGTGTGTCCGGCAGGTTCCAGAAAGAGCCCGGTGGCCACTGCAGCTGGAGGGCGAAAAACCCTGGAGACAGGTCAGGGGTTAGGGTGGGCCGGTGAGCTCCCGTCCTGGTTCAGCCAGCAAGCCTGGGTCAGGCCCTGACCACTGGGTGATTTTTGAGCAGTTGAGTGATCTGATTTGGGGTTTTTTTGTTTGTTTGTTTAACTTTACCATTGTTTTAATATTGAGGCATAATTTACAAACAGTAAAATTCATCTTTGTCTAAAATTCCTAAGAGTTTTGATAAATGCAAATAGTTGTATACAGCCTGTGGTTTCAGCAGGAAGCTCTGGTTCTTATATTGAGAACAGATCAAAGGGGATGGAGTAGGGAATGGTAGAAAGAGGGAGAACAATTAGGAAGCATTTCATTTTTTTATTGTGGTAAAATGTACATATAACAAAATTTGCCATTGTGGCTTTTTTTTATTTTTTATTGTATGTTGAATCAAACTTTCATTCTTGGTATAAATCACCTGGTCATGGTCTATAATTTTTATATAGTGCCAGATTATTTTGTTGAGGCTTTCTGTATATATATTAATAAGGAATATTGATTTTGTTTTCTTTTCTTGTGATGTCTTTTTTTTTTTTTTTAATCCTCACCTGAGGATATTTTTCTGTTTATCTTCAGACAGAGTGGAAGGGGGAGAGAGAGAACCATTGATGTGAGAGCAACACATCGACTGGCTGCCTCCCGCACGAACCCTGACAAGGGCTGGGGACGAACCACAACCGAGGTACGTGCCCTTGACCAGAATCGAAACCAAGACTCTGGTCCGCAGGCCTTTGCTCAAATCTCTGAGCCAAACCAGCCAAGGCTCTTGTGATGTCTTTGTATGGATTTGTAATAGGGTAATACTGGTCTCATAGTATAGGTTGAAAATGTTCCTTTGGCTTCTATTTTTGGAAGCATTTGTGAAGGATTGGTATTGATTTCTTATTTATTTGTTTGTTTATTTATTTATTTTTATCCTCACCCAAGGACATTTTTGCATTTATCTTCAGATAGAGCAGGAAGGGGGGGGGGGGAGAGAAATATCAATGTGAGAGAGACACATCGAGTGGTTGCCACCCACACAACCCCAATAGGGGCCGGAACATGCCTTTAAGTGGGAACCAAACCCTGGACTCTCTGGTCTGCAGGCCAACACTCTAACTGCTGAGCCAAACCGGCCAGGGCTTCTTTTTTTTTTTTAATCCTCACCCAAGGATATTTTTCTGTTTATCATCAGATGGAGTGGGGAAGGAGGGAGGGAGGGAAGGAGGGAGAGAGAGAGAAAGAAACCTCAATGTGAGAAAGACACATTGACTGGTTGCCTCCTGCATGATCAGACCAGGGCCGGGGATGAACTGCAACTTGTGCCCTTGACCAGAATCAAACCTGCGACTCACTGGGCTGGCTGCAAGCTGACACTCTAACCGCCGAGCCGAACCGGCCAGGGCCATTGTAACCATTTTTAAGTGTACAATTTAGGAACATAAAGTACATGTAGTGTTATGTAACCCTCACCACTGCTTATTTCCAGAACTTTGTCATTATCCCAGCCAAAAACTGAGTACCCATTAAACGATAGCTGTTCACTCCCCCTTCCCTCCACCCCTGGTAACCTGTTGTACTTTCTGTCTCTAATAATTTGCTTATTGTAGGTACCTCATATAAGTGGAGTCACACAATTATTTGTCTGGCTCATTTCCCTTGAATTTTCCAGATTTATTCATGTCGTAGCATATGTCAGAATCTTGTTCCTTTTATGACTGAGTAGTATTCCATCGCATGTGTGTCCCCATTCAGCTGTGGAGGGGCGCTTGCGTGTTTCCCCCCTTGGCTGTTGTGAATAGTGCTACAGTGAACATTGGTGCACAAGTATCCATTTGAGTCCATGCTTTTAATTATTTTAGCTAATGTGTTTTGAGTGGACTTGCTAGATTTTTGGTACCTCTGTTTAGCTTTTTGAGCTAAAACATAGTTCAAACTGTTTCATAAAGTGGCTGCACCTTCTTATATTTCCAAAAACAATGGATGAGGATTCCAGTTTCTCCACATCCTCACCAGCATTTGTTACTGTCCATCTTTTTGATGATGGCCATCCTAGTGGATGTTAAGTGGTATCACTGTATTTCTTTTATTATTATTTGTTTAATCCTCACTTGAGGGTATGTTTTTATTGATTTGAGAGAGAGAGAAACATTGATTGGTTGGTTGCCTCCCGTATGGTAATCAAACCCGCAACCTTTTGGTGCACGGGATGACACTTCAACCAACTGAGCCACTCAGCCAGGGCTCATTGTGGTTTTGACATGCATTTCCCCAATGGCTAATGATGTTGGGTGTCTATGTATGTGCTTATTGGTCATTTGTATCTTCTTTGGAGAAATGTCTGTTTAGAGCCTTCGCCCATTTTTTGTTTGTTTGTCTGTGTTTTAATTAACCCTCACTCAAAGATATATCTTTATTGATTGTAGAGAGAAAAACATCTATCAGTTGCCTCTGGCCCACACGCGTCCCAACTGGGGATTGAACCCGCAACCTAGGTATGTGCCCTGACCAGGAATCGAAACCCCAACCTTTTGGTATATGGGGACATGCTCCAGCCAAATGAGCCAGCCTGGCAGGGCCATTGCCCATTTTCTGATTGGGTTATTTTTCTCAGGTGTCCCTAGGTAGTCTAGATCCAAGTCCCTTACCTGATACATGGTTTACACATATGTTCTCTCTTTCTTCGGGTGGGTTCTTTCTTGGTGGTATCTTTTGAAACACAGTTTTTTTGTTGTTCTTTTTGTTTTTTAAATATGTTCATATTGATTTTTCAGAGAGAGAAATATTGATGTGAGAGAGAAACATTGATCGGCTGCCTCCTACATACCCCTTCTGGGGATGGAGCCCACAACCCAGGCACGTGCCCTGACGGGAATCGAACCAGGACCTCTCAGTCCATGGGACAACGCTCAATCCACTGAGCCACACAGCCAGGGGAAACACAAGTTTTTAATTTTGATGAAATTTAGGGTTTTTGTTTTTGTTTTTTGGGTTTTTGCTTATGGTTCAGGTATCACATTTAAGAGACTGTTGCCTAAACCAAGGTTATAAAGATTTGCACTTATGTTTTCTTCTAAAAGTTTTGTCGTTTTAGCTCTTACATTTAGGTCTTTGATCCATTTTGAGTTAATTTTTGTAAGTAGTGTGTTGTTCTTTTCTATTTGCTCTGGGATCGTGGTGGATCCGACTTAGTTGGTTTGTTAGCTGATTGCACTGAGCAGCATTTCTCTGCAGGGCTGTCACATGGCCCAGGGTAGGCACTGTGAGTCCTAATTTTGTGTTTGGGGACTTAGGATACCCAAGAGATTTATAGCATCATCACAGGTAAATAGGACCATAATTATACTCTGTCTGTTTCGTGCATGATTTAATATACCATCGTGCCATAACTAAATCTTGGGCAGGGAAAAGACACCCGTAATTGGATTAACTTGCTGCTTTTGTTTTTTGATTTCTAGTTTTTGGTGTGTTTTTTTTCCCCTCTGAGTTAGCTTGGAAGATTTTCATTTCCCTTGTGATTCTCATGAGCTCAAACCATTTCTCTGCCCAAGTCGGCTGTGTCTGCTCAGGGATTTCGCAGTCCCAGCAATCTCATCACACATTCCTTTTCTCTGGTGGAGCCTCGGCAGAGGTGCGGGGGAGCCGTACCTGTGCGCCCGCTTGGTGGGACATCTCGGGGGGCCGGGCTGTGCTGCTTCACAGAGACACTGTTCACAGCTTTCGTCTTCAGTGGAAAATAAACGGGGTTTGTTTCATTGAAAATAACTCCATTCTTTCTTCTCTGTCCATCTAATGAAGTGTGTTTGGGGAGGCTCCTGTGTTATTCCAACAGAATCTGGAGGTGCTTGTAAGATTGCTGTCCATTCTTTTCTATGAGGCTTGGGCTTATTTTTGTCTTTCCTCTTCCAAGTTAGACTTTTAAAAACTTGTTTTAATTGATTTTAGAGAGTGAGAGAGAAACATCGCTTTGTCATTCCACTAATTTATGCATTCATTGGTTGACTCTTGTATGGGCCCTGACCAAGAGGGAACCGGCAACCTGGCACGTAGGGACGGAGCTTAACCAACTGTGCTACTCGGCCAGGGCCTCCAAGTTAATTTTTTAATGGAAAGATAGTAATCCTCCTAAGTTGAGGATGGTTACTGGAAAATAAAACCAGGTCCTGTAACTACTGCTGCACCTGCCTGTCGGATCAGCTCGGGACTGAGAGCAGACGAGTTGATTGACATGCTGCTCCGAGAACCGCCCCTGGAGCTCTCGCCTGAGACTGCGTCAGCTGGGGATCTTGCTCACACTTAGCGCTTAGTGATTATTGAAGCGACGGTGCTCTGCGTTAATGTTCCGGGCGAGCAAAAGAGCGTGAGCACTCTTTCTACAAATAGAGGGTGCACTTTTCATTCCAGAGCAAGGGTAGGGTTCGACATGGAGCAGCGGGGCATCCGATCTCGTGTGTGCCACCCTGGTGGGCACGGGGCTCTTGGGTGGTTCTGTGAGAAGCTGCACTGTTGGCGGCAGACCCTGTGCGTCTGTAGGTCCCGGGAACTTATTCCCAGGCTTGGAAACAGAATCAGGGTTCCCCACGTGGTCTGGAACTGGGGATGGGGCAGGGGTGGAGGGGACTGACTACCCAGTAAGAAAAAGAGCCGCTTCTGACTAGGTAAAACTTTTTTTAGGATTGCAGCAAGAAAGTAACTGTTAAGGTCACTGCTTTGACTTTTGTGTTAGAGACCCAGATTTCATTTAAAGAATTTATTCTTCAGTCTGAAAAATGTCTAAAAATCATCTGTTAGGGTCCAGACATCTGTATTCTGCCCCAAATTGAGGTTATTTATTGGGCCAAAGGTTGGCTCACGGACGACTGTGATTTTCCCCAGTGTGCCTTTCTCCTGAGTGTGTGCTTTATATTGTCAGGTCCCCGGGGCCACACCCCGCCCCCAGAGCACCTCACTCAGTGCCGACCCCAGCGGCTGCCGATAGCCAGGCTAAGCAGGTGAGTCACTGCTTTTCCTTTGTTACCAGCCATGCGTGTAGCTGAGGCAGTCCTGTTCGAGTCCTCGCTTTGTTTTAAATGAACTGTAAGTCTCACAGAGACCTGTGACCCCTGTCCCACAGCTAGGCCAGTCTTGACATAGCAGGCTGGTCAGGGCTGCTCTTCGCTTCACGGGCCTGACGTTCTGCATCTGGGAATCTTGGCGCATCTCTAACACTTCACATGTACATGGGGTGCTCGGATTTGCACTTCCTTTCATTTAACATTGTCGCCGTTGGCCCAGCGACAGCCGTGTGAACAGCCAGGACAGGTGCTTCGCTGGCCGAGGAGCCAGAGCGCAGGTGCCTGCGCAGGAGTGCACGGCTAGGAGTGTGAGCGCAGCTGGGGCCCGACCCTCTGGCTCTTCCGTCCGCTGCTTCCCACCCGACTGGGGATCCGCGTCCGCAGAGTGGCTCGCGTTCCTGCAGTCTCAGAGCTGGCCTGCTTAGTGATGTTCGTGATGTCTCTTCCAGGCTTCTGCCTGGTAAACATGGTCTCTTACAAAAAATAGGTTATGTTGTCAGCAGTTAAATAACAGAGGATGGCCGAAAGGTAGGTCAAGCTGTCCCTGAAACGTTCCCTGAGAAAACCTGACTTATCTGCCACTCAGGCCTCTCTCAGCAAAGGGCTGTTCAGTTGGGTTTGACATTGAGCACCAGAACTTGCCTGTTGTGAGGGCTCAGGCATGGCTGTCTGTTTCTTCTTTGCTGTGACTGAAAATGACATTTAAGCATTTAGCATTTGGTCCTTCCTCTGGAAGCTTCCATGTGCACCTTGGACACAGGTTAAGGCAGCGGTTGTAAAAAGCAAGAGTAAAGGAACTTTCGCTAGAGGTGGGTACAAGTTGAGCCATTTCGCTTTTTTATTTTATTGTAAATGTTTTGAGACCCAGAATTCATTTACTGCTTCATTCAATCATCTACCAAATATTCCAGTGTCTTTCATGTGCCAGACACTGTGCTAGGCACTGTGAAAATAGCCCAAGCCAGACGGGCACGGCCCTGCTTGCTTGGCATTTGCAGAATAAATTTTCCCTTCTAAGATATGATCTTACACGTGGCAAGCATTTAAAAATGATGACTTAGCTTGAAACTTTTTCAAAAACATTAAATGAATGTGTTTATGCTTATTTATTATAAACTATCTTATCATTTTACATGTTCCTTTATTTCAAAGCATGGTTAGTGATTTCACGTACACATCTGCTTGCGTTCTCTTGCAGGGATCGCTGATAAATTCCCTAAAGCTGTCTGGACCCACGTCAGCCTCCAGTCAATTGTCATCCGGTGACAAAGCTTCTGGTCAGTTTGCATTTTTGTTTTAGTGACTATAAAGGGGAAAGAAATGCTCCACCGTGGAGTTATTGTTCTAGATCACAAAGACGGTGGACACAGGAAACCAAGTAAAGGGATATCCTAAGGCCTTGGTTGGTGAAGAATCTCAGGAAACCAGGGAGCCTGCAGCAGCTCTGCTGGCTTCTGAAACCTGAGCGCAGTGGGCGAGCCGTCCTTTCAGTGCTGTTCCTGGCAAGGGCCCCAGCGTCGCCTGCGCCCGGGGGACCGGTTCGGAGGGCGGTGGGTGGAGCCTGGGCTCTGTTTCTTCTACCGAAGGGAGTAAACAACTCTCGGTTCACAGTGACAGTTGAAAAGCCAGTTACATACAGGAAGTAAAATGATCTCTTATAGTGGGCGATTCAGAGAAGATGCAATGTCAGCATTACAGTTTCTTCCACGTCATGTGCCTCCAGCACTCACTCCAAATAGCTGGTGACTGACATTAGTTTGCAAGGTCTTTGACCAGGCGGCCACGTGTCCCAAGGCACCTGAAGCAGGAGTATGCTTTTATGTATAACCCAATTTTAATATGGGGTCTTTTTTTTTTGCCCTCACCGGAGGATATTTTTTATTGATTTTTAGAGAGAGTGGAGGTGCAGGGAGAGAGAGAAACATCGGTGAGAGAGACATATCGATAGTTACCCGCACACGCCCCAGCTGGGCCCGGCGATGGAACCTACAGCCCGGGTACATGCCCTCGGCTGGGAATCAGACCCGAGATCCGAGCTCGGACTGACACTCTGACCACTCACCTACACTGGCCAGGGCCCTCAGCACCCCCTTTTGTTGGCTTCTTTCCTGTCACTTTCTGTTGCTTGCGTTACTTTCTGCTCCAGGATGTGCCATCTGCAGTCTCGCATTTTCACCGCATTCTAGACTCTGGCTTTTCTCTTGATTCATGTTTTCAAGTGGGTCTTCAAGCTAACCCTGTTAGAGATGCTGAGCTTCCACGTTAGCCACCTGCCTTCCGTGGTCTCCTCAGTCACCCCCTGTTAGATACGGGGTTTATCGTCACTAAAAATTCTTTGCACTCAAGAGAAGAAACCATTGCTCTGTGAGCCAAAGCTGTATTCTAGAGCATGGATGATGGAGAACCGCAGCTGTCACACATGTGCCCCGCACGAGAGGAGGGTGGGGGCACTTGTTGACGAGGTCGAAGGCCTCATGTTAGAGGAACGTGTTTGGGATTACCAAAGACTTTTGAATCACGTAGGGTTCAAATTAAGAAGTGTGTTTCCCTTTCTGGCTAATATTTTAGAAGAAAAAATGTGAAAGATCCTGTGTCCTAACTTCTGAGAACTTTGTTTGAGGGTTCTCTTACTCCTCAAGTGAAAGGAAATCTCAGGGGCCTTGCTTCATGCTGTCTTACTCAGTTAGCATGACTTGCAAAGAAGTTTTTGTGATCCATCATTTGGTGATGATTATAAAATAGTCTCTTTCGTTGCTAGGTGTTTACTTCTATCTTCCCTTGCTGGATGATCAAAGGAAAAGAGCTTTTGAGGGGGTAGGAAAGTTTTCCTGAGAAATACTATTTAAGAATTTGCCGCCCTGGCCGGTTTGGCTCAGCGGTTAGAGCGTCAACCTGCGGTCCGGAGAGACCCGGGTTCGGTTCCCGCTAAGGGCACGTACTTCGGTTGCAGTTTGTCCCCGACCCTGGTTGGTCGTGCAGTGGCAGCCACTTGATGTGTCCCTTTCACATCGATGTTTCTCTCTCTGTATCTCTTCCTCTCTCTCCCTCCCACTCTATCTGTACAAAAAATGGAAAAATGTCCTCGGGTGAGGATAAAAAAAAAATAATAATTTGCCAAAGGTTTCTTTTGAAAACATAAAGCAGCCTGGCCAGTGTGGCTCAGTGGATTGAGTGTCTCTCCATGGACTGAGAGGTCCCTGGTTCTATTCCTGGTCAGGGCACATGCCTGGGTTGCAGGCTTGATCCCCAGTAGGGGGCGTGCAGGTGGCAGCTGATTGATGTTTTTCTCTCACGTTGACGTTTCTATCTCTCTCCTTTCTTTCTCCTCTCTCAAAGAAATCAACAAAAATATATTTTTAAAAAATCTGAAACCTCTATGGAATAGTTCTCTTATTAATTAATAATGGAAATACCTTGTTTTTCTGGTTATAAAACCCCTACAGGTCTACAGAAGAGTGTAGTGTAGAGCTAGACAGTGTAGCAAGGGAAAGTGCCCGATGAGCCCCTCCTTCCAGAGGTGAGAGCCCTCAGCAACTTGATGTGAGTCTCTCGACATTCCTTCATCGTTGGCTTACTCCACAAAGCTGGGCCTGTCCTGTCGGTCTTCGCGGTGCTGCTGCGATCCCCTCCCTCTGGCTCGCCCATGCTGCTGGTGGTCAGGTTGTTGCTGGTGGTCCACGATTGTGAGCCACGCTGCATTGAGTGTCCTGTCCACACCACGTTGTCGAATAATAGTTTTGAAAATAGCCCGGCTGGTGTGGCTCAGGGGTTGAGTGTTGACCCATGCACCAAGAGGTTGCCGGTTCGATTCCCGGTCAGGGCACATGCCCAGGATGTGGGCCTGGTCCCCAGTGTGGGGCATGCAGGAGGCAGCCAGTCAATGTTCTCTCTCATCATTATTTTTATCTCTCCCTCTCCCTTCCTCCCTCTCTAAAATCAATAAGAAAAAAAAATTTTTTTAATAGTTTTCAAAATAATTTCACTAATATTTGCCCCATAGTCACTTAAAGAAAAAAGAAGGTATTGCCTTTTTATTGTTAAGTTTGGGTTTTTTTAATGTAGTTTTCTTATTCCCCTCCCCCTTTAAAAGTAGAGTAATTGGGCCCAGCTGGTGTGGCTGAGTGGCTTGAGCAGCTCCCCATGGACTGAGAGGTCCCGATTCAATTCCCAGTCAGGGCACATGCCCAGGTTGTGGGCTCGATCCCCAGTGGGAGTGTGCAGGAGGCAGCCGATTGATGTTTCTCTCTCACATCAATGTTTCTATCCTTTCCTCTCTCTAAAAAAAATCAATAAAACCTATTTTAAAAAATAAAGGCAGAATAATTGGGGAGAGATCAAAGATAATACCCCAAACTGTTAATAGACAGTCACAATGAAATCGAATGTGGAGAGGAAGATGGAGTGTGCTTTTAACTTTCTACGCTTCCCTGTATCACAGCAGTCATGTTTACCTCTGTAGTTTACAAAATAGGAAGCTATGATTTATTAAATACAAAATACTACTGTGGAAAATACAGAAATGGAGGGAGAAAACAAATAGCCATGAAGTCATTACTCAGAGATATTTAGTTACTGTAACCCATTTCCTTTGGATTTTTTCCCTTCAGTCTATATTACTTTTTAATCCTTATCAAGCTCCTTTTAAAGCTTTAACTGCACTAGAATTATTTTGATGTCTTTCTGGAAAGGAGATTATAGCAGACTCGGTTTGGAGTTAACGTTGACAAAGCCAAAGGGCGAGTTCAGAGACAGTGGGACATGGTGCCTGTTTCCCCTGGTTCTGTAGGCTGCTCAGGTAGCCTGCAGGCCTGGGGCCCCCTCTGCACCCCACACAGCCGGTGCTGCAAGATCTACAGACTGGAACCGTCTTTCTAACTGGATCTGTAATATTCTTATTTTTTCCCTAATTTCAGGACCAGGGGCAACCAAGATAGAAACCGCTGTGACTTCCGCCCCATCTGCTGTCGGGCAGTTCAGCAAGCCTTTTGCGTTTTCTCCATCGGGGTCAGTAATGAACTTAAATTTCGTGGCAAATCACTTAATAGATAATTTCCCCGAATCTTACCATCAGGAAGAGGCTTATAAAATGTACAAGCGCCCAGACTTCCTATCAGTGCAGTGATACATCTGATGACAGTGGCAGCAGCTGGATGTCCTGATGCAAATCTAATTCCCCTTTTTAATTCAAGTTTCCACGTGTTATTGCGTACTTACTTGTTTGGTTTTTCAGGACACGCCTCATTTCCTCCGGGTAGTGGGTCTGTGTCAAACTCGGTGGTTGCTGTAGTCTGTCACACTGAGCTGTTTGCACTCGGGCGTCCTGCGGGTGCTGGAGGTCACCTGGGGTGGGCTTGACTGCACTGAGAGCTAGAGCAACAAGCTGACCGGGGAGAAGGCAGTGACTGAACGTCCGGGGAGCACGCTCGCGGTGAGACCTCTGGAGGGGCCCACGTGTGCTCTCCCGCAGAGGTGGAGTTCCACGGGGGCCGTTGAGGGTGGGGCGTTCAGTTCCACAGACGGGCCTGCGAGGCGCTTCAGTCCCCTCCTGTGACTGGGATCGTAGCACACTCTCTTCCCTCATGTCACTGGGCTCCTCGAGCACTTTCCAGGCCTAACAAGTTGAGAGGGTCTTAGAACAGAATTTGAGGGGGGACTTGTGTATTGTGTTAATTTCTCTCTATGGTGAATTGTTAGGTCTTATACTTCCCAAAGGAAGTTTGGAGCAAATTTTAAAGAGGAGGTCAGTGCCAGGAGCTAGTGTGTCTTTTAAATGCTAATAATTAATCTTTTCTTCTGTGAACTGATACGTTCTTCCCATTTGTAAAATAAGGTAAGAAGGTTTGGGGCAATGGCTCACATCTATTATATAAAATTTCTTCACCAAGATTGAGACAGAGAAAAAGGGTTTTTCTTAAATATGGTAAAATGTTTAACACATCATTATAGATAGTCTCTGTCCATTCAATGAAGGCCGTGATGGGTTTAAAAATTAAATTCTTACATTACTAATTACATTTGATATGCTTGGTCCCTTATATTTTAAAACTAGACTGATTGCCCTGGCCAGTTTGGCTCAGCGGTTAGAGCGTCGGCCTGCGGTCCGGAGAGACCCGGGTTCGGTTCCCGCTAAGGGCACGTACTTCGGTTGCAGTTTGTCCCCGGCCCTGGTTGGTCGTGCGGGTGGCAGCCACTCGATGTGTCCCTTCACATCGATGTTTCCCTCTCTCTCTCTTCCTCTCTCTCCCTCCCACTCTATCTGTACAAAAAATGGAAAAATATCCTCGGGTGAGGATAAAAAAATAAAATAAAATAAAACTAGACTGATTTAATTTGCTATTTGAGCTTTTATCACAATGAATAGTCCATTCTGGATCACTCTTGAGCTGAATTTTCTTCTTTGGCTCTGGCATCTTGACTCAGTGTAAAGAAGAACAGAACGAGAGAGGAGATGAAAGGAGTCAGAGAACTTTTGAACCAGATTTTCCCAGCCCAGATCCAAGAGTTGTGTGAAAACGGCAGAGACAGTGTCTTCTGTTTCAGGCTCCTGTCCTCTCCCCTGGAAGCGTGGCGCGCTCCTGACGTGCTCCTTTATGTTGGGGTGGGTTACGGCGGGTTCTCCCTGATCCAGCTTGTTTGTCCCCTTCCCCAGGCGGGCCACCTGCTCTGGCCAGCTCTCCCATGTGCACGTTCCTTTGCGCTTCCACTGCTCCTGTGTCTTCCTTGGAATAAGTCCCCACCCACACCTCTGCCCAGAAAAGCCAGCCGCCCCTCCAGGGCCTCGCAGCGGCTGCCCCCCCTTCCCTCCCCACAGGCCGCCTCTCCCGGCTTAGCGACCTGGGAGCAGCGGTACTGCTCTGCAGACGCATGCGTTCACTCTGCTGGGTACCTGCTAGGTGGTAGGCTCCTGGAGAGCCGCGGTGCGACCGCATTACAGCGTGTGACATTAAGGGAAGTTCTGTGCCTGTGGTCTGTCTGTTTAACTCCTCTTTGTCCACTCCCTAGGACTGTCTTCAATTTTGGGATAATCACACCAACACCATCTTCTACTTTCGCTGCCACACAAGGTACCGTCTCTGCTGCACAGCGTTGCCGTCGTGTCTCCCCTGAGCACGTGCGGGGTTTTTGTACAGATGCGCTTATGTTTTACTTGCTGCTGAGTCTTGCCTGAAGTATTTGCAGTAAATGTAGTGTTGATGTTATCATTAGAACGGCTGGTCCATAGGCCAGCTCTGTGCCAAGAACGGACTGAGGAAAGCACACACAGGAAGGGAAGGTGCTTCTATTTCCCCTGTGGGAGGATGTGTTAATCATGCATCCTAGATGTGGTGTGTTTATTGTGGTTCATGGTCACAAATTGTCAGCTGTGCTTTTCACCTCCTGAGATGCTCGGACAGCTAGTGCTCCTCTGCAGAAACACGTGTTCCGTCCTCCCCAAGCAGACGGCCACTGGGACCAGCCACGCTGACTGCATCGGGGGCGGAGACGTGGGCTTAGAAACAGTCAGAGGAGACGTGACAGGTCACCTGCTAACTCCAGCCATCTCCTCATTTCTTTCTCTTACCAGGGGCCACACTCCCTGCTAAAGAGTCAAGCCAGCCAGACACGTTCTCGTTTGGCGGGGGAGGCAGACCTTTATCCGAGACCATTCCTGAAAGCTCCCCGCCCTCAGCGGCGACAGCAGCGTCCGCCGCCACCGGCGCTGCCCGCGCTCCTCCGGGAGAGTCGGCTCCGTCGGGCAGCAGGCCTGTGGCACCTGGAATCGCGCTCTCCACCCCTTCCAGCAAGCTGGAAACGCCGCCCGCTAAGTCGGGAGAGTTTCTGTTTCCAAGTTCTTTGGCCGGCGAGACTCTAGGGAGCTTCTCAGGACTGCGGGTCGGCCAAGCAGAGGAGTCCACAAAGCCCGCCAGTAAAGCTCCGTCCACCAGCCTGCCCGGTGCACAGCCAGCCAAGACTCCCCCTGTGCCCTCGGGCTTTAACTTTGCTGGCCCGCCAGCGCTGGCGAAGCCTGCGGAGCCTGCGGCGACCTCCTCGGTGGCCGCCACCCCTGTGGCCCCAGCAGCCAGCACGAGCACCAGCTGTGCCTCCACTGGTGTCCTTGGCAGTCTGCCCCTCAGCAGCGCAGGGTCCTCGGGGGTCATCGGTTTCGGTGGGATCTCTCTGGGTGGTGGCAAGACTACTTTTTCATTTGGAAGTCAGCAGACGAGCAGTACGGTGCCCCCGTCTGCTCCACCATCGGCCACCTCTGCTGCTCCCTTTCCCACATCCTTCCCCACGCTGTCCTTTGGGGGTCTCCTGAGTTCAGCGTCTGCTCCCACCCTGCCTGGTTCCGCTGCTAAAAGCACAGAGGAGGCGACGTCGTCATCTTTGCCCGAGAAGCCAGGCACCAGTGAGGTCTCAGCATCAACAGCCTCGCCTCTAGGGCCACAGCAGTCAGCCCCGCTTCCCCAGGCGTCTCTGCAAAGTTCCGACCCCGTGAAGAAGGAGCCTGCCCCCGCCCAGCCCGTAGGCAGCGGCCCCGGCGCCGCAGCACCTGGTTCCAGTCTCCTGGCACCGTCTGCAGAGGCCACGCCAGCCGCCACTGGGGTCCCTGATGTCAAGACAGAACCAGCATCTCCTGCTCCCTCCCTCCCAGTGCCTGGGCAGACTGCTGTCACGGCAGCTCCGACCCCAAGTGCGGGCCCTGTGACCACAGAGGCATCCAGTCCCCCCACTACTGCCAGCGCTGTTTCCAGTGTGCCCCCAAGCCCTGCTGCAGACACGGTGGGGTTTGGGACGGTCACTTCTGGCTCCTCGGTCTTCACTCAGCCACCTGCTGCCAGTTCTAGCCCAGCTCTCAGCCAGCTCACCAGCAGCACGGCCACTGCCCCCCCAGCCACCCCCGTGTTCGGGCAGGCGGCGGCCAGCACCGCCCCCAGCCTGTTTGGGCAGCAGGCGGGCAGCACAGCCAGCACGGCCGCCGCCACGCCGCAGGCCAGCAGCTCGGGGTTCGGCAGTCCAGCCTTTGGCACCGCGGCCGCCGGGGTCTTCGGGCAGGCCCCCGCCTTCGGGCAAGCCACAAGCACCCCCGCCAGCGGCTTTTCTTTCAGTCAGCCTGGCTTCAGCTCCGGCTCCGCCTTCGGGCAGTCTGCGCCCTCCGCGGCCCCGTCCACCAGCGGGAACGTCTTCGGTGTCTCTGCAAGTGCCGGCAGCTCCAGCTCCTTCTCGCTGGGCCAGTCTCCCGCCAACGCGGGAGCGGGGGTGTTCGGCCAGAGCAGCCCTCCCGCGTTTGGCCAGAGCCCTGGCTTCGGGCAGGGCAGCTCTGTGTTTGGTGGCACCTCGGCCACCACCACCACAGCAGCGTCCTCTGGGTTCAGCTTCTGTCAAGCTTCAGGTGAGAGTCGATGGGAGGGAACTGGGGGTACTGGTGGTCTCGGCAATTTCTTCGGCCGAAGCACTGTAGGTCTAGGTTCTCTGCTCTCCTAGCACCAGGGTGTCAATTTCCGGGGTACAGCAAATTTAAGGTCATGGCAAGTAGTGACTCAAAAAGGAAATTTTTAAGTCAAAAGGCACTTTAGAGGTCACTGTGTCCAAAACTGTCAGGCCGTAAGATGACTGACCTGTTGGCACCGAGTGTGAGTGGAACCAGCACCCAAGCTCCTCGTGCCGTCCGCGGCCACCAGCGATTCCATTCCCTCCACACCACCTTGCCTGCCGGAGGGCAGGTACCAACATTTGAAAAGTTTGGTCTTTGCTCTTTTCAGTGTTGTCTTTTTTTTTTTTTAAACCCAAATCTTTAAATGTTACTGCTTTTAAAAGTAAAATGTAATCCTCCCTACTGCATGTCCAATTTTAGTAGCTCCTTCTACTTCTAAAAGTTAGTAGTAGAGCAATCTGCAAATCTTTTTCGAAGTCTCACTTCCTGGCAGTTACCTTATGAAGGCGTTTCTGCAGCAGTAGGCTCTGGGGGAAGACAAGGGTTATTGATTTCTTGGTGGGCAGGATTCCACATAACTGCTACTTCATTACTTTCAGAACAGTTTGTTTGAAAAGGGTTCATAATATATTGGAAAGGAAATTTTTTCTTTCCTTCCTTCAACAAATGTCCGACTGAGTCTGGCTACAAGGACACGGTGCTGAAAGACGGCTTTGAGGTCCGCCTGTGGCCTGAGGAGAGGCCGGGTGGCCAGTGTGAGTGAGGGGGAGTGTGGTGACGGCCTAGAGGGCAGGGAAGGGCCTGGCGTCTCCAAGGGAGGAGCGTGTTTCGCAGCGTCTCCGGCGCGCGCGTGCGCACTCGAACTCGAAGCACTCAGGGCTCGAAGTTCACTCGAACTGCTGCCTCGGCATCACAGACCTTCGAGGCGACCTTTCGTACAGGAGCTGTGGGAAGGTGCCTGCGCAGGCGGGTCCTCCCCGGAGAGGACTTGAGACTCGCCTGAGCTTCCCTACCTAGAGAAGGGCAGAAATGAGGGTAGAACTACTGCCTCTGACTCCTTCCCTGTAGGGGTGTCGTTACCACCTACAGCCCTGCCTGGTCTCCCCAGACTGCTCAGCCAGCCTCAGCCACGTTACGCCACGTCGAAGAAAGAGGAACTACCCTGAAGGAATGTAGTCTTTGAGCTTAGAGGAAGCTGAGGAGTGGAGGTGTTCATGCTGTTCAGTCATAGGAAGGACTTCTTGGCAGCTACGAGTCCAGGACACGGCCACTCTGAGAGCATACATCTTGGTCCTCACCCCTGGGGTTTGGTAGGAGGCAGGATTCAGTCCTTGGGACTTTGGCATCTATACTATTATAAAGTGTTGGCAATGCAGAAAGATCTTGGCTCATTTTCTTCATTTCCTAGGTAGGAAGACAGGTTTTATTCACGGGTTGATTTATTGGTGGGTATCATAGCATATCTGAAAGCCAATTTTAAGAAAGAATAGAAACCCCTATGATGTAACAGACTCTTCCAATTTAAACTTTTGTTTTCTTTTTGTTCTATAGGCTTTGGGTCCAGTAATGCTGGGTCTTTGTTTGGTCAAGCAGCCAGTACTGGTGGGACCGTTTTTGGCCAGGTAAGTGTGCAAGTTGTCCTCTTTCATGTCGACACACATCAGACCATCCCCGTCCTCCCTGCACGTACTGTAACCAGAGGGTCGCACACCTAACCCAGCAACCAGCCGGTGTGCTTCTCAAGCTCTGCCCTCTCTAGCCCCTTGGGGACGTAGCAGGCTCAGCCTCTGATTTGAGAAAATCGCTACAATTTTGATCCTTCTTTAAAAGCACATTGCCTGATTTCTATCATGCTCCACCTGTTCTGTTAGGCCAGGGGTGGTAAACTATGGCCCCAGGGTTAAATTTGATCCTTGGCCTTGTTTCTCTTTGTTTGTTATTGAGGGTCATTGAGCTAAGAATGGTTGTTATCTTTTTAAGTGTTTGTTTGTTTTTTTCTTTATTGATTTAAGAGAGAGAGGAAGGGAGAGGGAGAGAGAGAGAAACACCGATGAGAGAGAACATCGATTGGCCGCCTCCTGCATGCCCCCACTGGGGATTTGTCCCACAGCCTGGGCAGGTTCTCAGAGCACTGCTAAGCTGACAGGGTATTTCGCCAAATTAAAAGGAAAAAGGGAACCTCTGGAAGTGAGTGGAGCACAGAACCCAGTTTTGCTTTGAGAGCGTTTACTAATCTGAGAAAGTTGGAATTTCCTATTTTAATAACCCAGAGGGCAAAGGAGCAGAAGTCACTAACCAAAGTCCACACAGAGTGTGTCCCTCCCCACAGTGAGCTCAGCCTGGAGGTGTGGCCTCACGAGGGCCTGGGCAGGTGGGCCTGCAGGTGGCTGGCACAGCAGCAGGCCCTCAGAAGAAAAGTAACTCACTCTCGGCCTCAGATAGTTCATTTCACTGAAACACAGTTGGCATACAGTATTTATTATTTTCAGGTGTACAGCATTGTGATTCGACATTTGTCTGCTGCACCATCGTTTACCGTGGAAACTTATCACACTGTTATTGACCTCAAATAATTTTTTGTTGTTGTTAACCTATTGATTTTTAGAGAGAGTGCAAGGGAGGGAAGGAGAGAGATAGCCATGTGAGAGAGACGCATCAATTGGTTGCCTCCCCCACGACCCTGGCTGAAGCCAGGGATGGAACCTGCAACCCAGGTACATGCCTTTGACTGGGAATCAAACCTGAGACCCTTTGTCCCTGGGCCGATGCTCTAACCACTGAGAAAAACCAGCCAGGGCTCAAATAATTTTTAAGGACGTTGATTTCCACACCTAAATTAGTCACAAAGGAAACAAGAATTATGATCAAGAGCCAGAATAGACGTCAGACATACATTCACAAAGACTCCCTGGACTGGAACATGGCTGTGTTTTACATGTTTAGAAGAGATAAAAGACAAACTTGAAAATACCAGTCAAAAATGGGAAACAACATTAAGTGTCATAACAGCTTTTGAAAAAGAACCAAATAGAACTTGTAGGAAAATATGATAAGTAAAATTTTATATCAGCAGATTAGACCAGGTGAAGAGAACAGTAATATACTAGACCAGGGATCAGCAAACGTCCATAAAGAGCCAGATAGTAAACGTTTTAGACTTGAGGGCATCATTATGCTTCCATAAAGCTTTATTTACAAGAACGGACAGCAGGCTGGATTTGGCCCATGGACTGTAGTTGGCTGACCTTGAACTAGAAGGTAGGTCAGATGAAGTTGTCTGGACTTCCTCCTGGAGAAGGAAGAAAACGTGCAAGGTGCACTTGACTGCATCTGGCAGCATCAGGAGCAGATGCACAAAATCCCTCTTGATCAGCAAACCCACTCCTCGACCTGGAGCCAGTGGGAGCCAGAGCCTGCTCGGCGGGCGTGGAGCAGAGCGTCCACGCAGCATGTCCGTGACAGCCAGACAGAAGCAGCGGCCCACATGCCGCTTGGCTGCAGACGGGCTGCCACCGAGGTCCTTGCTGAGGAGGACCAGAGACGAGAAATCAGCAGCGCGCTCCTGTACGGGGCAGATGGGTGGGTCCATGGGCCCCGCGCACCCTGGAAGGCGCAGGCGCGAGCACACACTGCGGATCTGACCCAGAGGCCTGGACAGCAGGGGCTCAGGCACATGCTCGCCCGCGTGCACTGCAGCCGTGTTCGCAGTGCCCCGAAGGCAGCAACAGCCGTGTTCCACAGGTACCTGGGTAAACAGAACATGATGCATGCAGGTGCCGTGGAGCATTGCTCAGCCTTCGAGAGGAATGAAGTTCTGGTTCATACTGCATGTGGATAGACCTGAACATGATGCTAATTACAATAAGCCCCACATAAAAGAACAAATATTGAAGGATTCCACTTATATGTCATGTTTAGAGTAAGTTAATTAAAAAACAATTATTTAAAAATGACTACATGTCTGGCCGATGTGGCTCAGTGGTTTGAGCATCTTCCCATGGACTGAGAGGTCCCGGTTCGATTCCTGGTCAGGGCACATGCTTGGGTTGTGGGCTCGATCCCCAGTAGGAAGCAGCCGATGGATGTTTCTCTCACATTCATGTTTCTATCTCTCCTTTCCTCTGTCTCTAAAAAATCAATAAAAACATATATTTTTTAAAAGGTTCTAGAAATGAATAGTGGTGATGGTTACACAACATTGAATGTAGTTAATGCCAGTGAATTGTACTCCTAAAGTGGTAAATTTTATATTATGAATATTTACCACAATACAGAAATAAAGATAAAGGAGATAAAAAGTTATTTTCAAAACAGAAAAAGAATAGGTGAATTCATAGAGCCAAAAATGAGATTAGAGATTTCCCGTGGCCAAGGAAGGAGGGAATGGGGCAGTTATTGCTTAGTAGTTACAGAATTTGGGCTTTGGTGATGAGAACATTTTGGAACTAGGTAGTGCCGATGGTCGCACAGCCTTGTGACTACAATTAATGCCGCTGAGTTGTATACTTTAAAATGGCTAAAATGGCCCTGGCCGGTTTGTCTCAGTGGTTAGAGCGTCGGCCTGTGGTCCAGAGAGACCCGGGTTCGGTTCCCGCTAAGGGCATGTACCTCGGTTGCAGTTTGTCCCCGGCCCTGGTTGGGTCAGGGCCGTGCAGGAGGCAGCCACTCGATGTGTCCCTTTCATGTCAGTGTTTCTGTCTCTCTCTCTCTTTCTCTCTCTCCCTCCCGCTCTATCTGAACAAAAAATGGAAAGATGTCCTCGAATGAGGATAAAAAAAATAAAATGGCTAAAATGGCAAGTTTTATGTTATATATATATTTTTATCACAACTTTTAAAATTAATATAATATACCCAAACCATTGACTTTTTTTGTACTTTAGATCATTAAGTTATGTGGTATATGAACTATATCCCAATAAAGCTCTATAAAAAAAAAATGGGGCCTGAAAGCCTTGCAGGGACAACAATATACAAACCTCCCTGTCCCGTCCCCCCGTGTCGCTGAGAGGAGGAAGTGAGGGCTGCACTGAGAAACTGAAGAACCTGCAGCCTTGCCGTCTCCTGCTGCCTGGACGGTGGCATCCGAAGGCTGCAGCCCAGCTGGCTCCTGGTCCCGGGCTCGACACATAGTAAAACAAATAACCTGAACGCTGAGCAGAGGCAGTGGGAGGCTGCCCAAAGGTCGGGGCACAGTTCCCATCAGCTCAGCACGTAGTGGAATCTGAATGGTCACCTCCCCACGGAAGGGTACGGGTGAAAGAGGCCTCAGTCACCACCCAGCTGGTCTGCTATATACAAAGACCAGTATACCGCCCCCCTCAAGTAATTTTGTAACATGTGAAGAAGCAAATATAAAAGAAAAACAACCTATAGATGATCCAGATCATTGGAACTACCAGCAAAGACTTTAAAATAACTTGTACTCAAGGATTCACAAGAAAATAAAGAGACGATTGATTAAGACTCTCAGCAAACAAATGGGAATTACAAAACCAAATAGAAAGTCGTGGTCTATATCTGAAGTTTAGTATCTGAAACAAAAAATGATTAGACAGGTCAACAGCAGAGTGAATACAACAGAAGAACATGGGACTTGAAGACACGTCAACAGAAATGATCTAGAGCCCTGGCCAGTTTGGCTCATCGGTTAGAGCGTCCACCTGTGATCCGGAGAGACCCGGGTTCGGTTCCCGCTAAGGGCACGTACCTCGGTTGCAGTTTGTCCCCGGCCCTGGTTGGTCGTGCAGGTGGCAGCCACTCGATGTGTCCCTTCACATCGATGTTTCCCTCTCTCTCTCTCCCTCTCTCTCCCTCCCACTCTGTCTGTACAAAAAATGGAAAAAATGTCCTCGGGTGAGGATTAAAAAAAAAAGAAAGAGCCCTGGCCAGTTTGGCTCAGCGGTTAGAGCGTCGGCCTGCGGTCCGGAGAGACCCGGGTTCGGTTCCCGCTAAGGGCACGTATCTCGGTTGCAGTTTGTCCCCGGCCCTGGTTGGTCGTGCGGGTGGCAACCACTCGATGTGTCCCTTCACGTCGATGTTTCTCTCTCTCTCCCTTCCTCTCTCTCCCTCACACTCTATCTGTACAAAAAATGGAAAAATATCCTCAGGTGAGGAAAAAAAAAAAAAAGAAAGAAAGAAATGATCTAGAATGAAGCTTGGAGAGACTGAAAAAAAGGCAGAACATCAGTGATCTGTGCAACAATACCGGGCTGGCCAAGGTATTTGTAATCAGTCTCAGAAGGAGATGACACAAGAGGATAGAAAAAAAATATTTGAAGAAATTGGCCAGTCTTTTTCAAATTTGTTGAAAAATTAGAATCCACAAATCTAAGAAACACTGTGAATCCCAAACAGAGTAAATACTAGAAAACCACACTTGGGCACATCATAGTTAAGTGTCTGAAAACCAAATGTTAAAAGAAATTTTAGCCCGGCCGGTGTGGCTCTGGTTAAAAGTGCCGACTCATGTGTCAAGAGGTCGCCAGTTCGATTACCGGTCAGGGCACATGCCCAGGTTGTAGGCCCAATCCCCAGTGTGGGGCATGCAGGAGGCAGCCAATCGATGTTCTTTCTCATCGTTGTTTCTATCTCCCTCTCCCTTCCTCTCTCTCTTAAATCAATACAGAAAAAAATTTTTTTGTAATTATTAAAAAAAAATTTTTAAAGGAATTTTAAAGCAGCTAAAGAAAAAAGACTTAGGACACAGATGGAAACAATGGGTCGTGTGGCTGTAACAAGATACTAAATATGTGACAACCATAGCAAAATTATCTTTGCTGCCATGGGGTAGACCAGGGGCTCTACAGCAGCATGGGTTTGCCCCCAGGGGAATTTCACAAGCACGATGTCTGGGGACGTGTTCTACTGGCATCTAGTGGTAGAGGCCAAGGGTGCTGCTCGGCCCCTTCCACTCTCCAGCACAAAGCCAGCCAGCCCGGTGTCAGCCGAGCCGCTGTTAGGGACCGTCAGGTAGACGGGTTTCCTGGGTCCCAGAAGCACCAGCTGCAGGAGAAGAACGTTGAGAAACTGGACTTCATTAAAATGACAAACTGATGCTCATCAAAAGACTAGTTATAGAAATGAAAAGGCAGAGCACAGACTGGGAGAACATCTTTATAGCACGTGTACCAAACCAAAGGGCTCCTGTCTACGTATTGTACATGTTTGAGATTTTCCGTGCTTCTCGTAATTTAAAGTTTTCCAAAGCAATCGTCCTTTCTAGCAATTAAAATAAATGGGATTCTTTAACCCATTTATGAGAAGGATGCAATAACTGTCCATTCACGTTCACTTCAGTGACACACCATTCTTGTCACTTCTAGATGTATCCATTACTTTCCAAGTTATATTTTTAAAATAGGTTGAACTGCCCTGGCCGGGCAGCTCTGTTGGTTGGAGCATCATCCTGTTCACCAAAAGGTTGCAGGTTCAATCCCCGTCAGGGAGCGTACAGATGGCAACCAATCACTGTTTCTCCTTCACCTCTCTCCCCCCTCTCTCCCTCTTCCTTCTATCTCTTCCTTTCTCTCCTTTTCCCCTTTCTTCTCTAAAACATATCCTCGGGTGAGGATTTTTAAAAAATAAGTTGAACCATCCAAAAAAGCTATTTTTTATTGAAGGACAAAAATGTCCATATAACGACAGTTTCCAGTATTTCAACATGATGCATGGAAGTTAGCTAAAAAAAAAAAAAACCTGGCATTTTCTGCATGCGTGGACTAGCTGTCATGGCTTCTTTTGAGATCAGTTTGCTCGTTACCAAAGCCTGTGCTGTTAGGATTGGATTGGAGTCCAAGTTTTAAAAAGCTGTTACTCATTATTAAATGGTTGTAGTAAACTGTTACTGTTGTTTTCTTTTTAAGTTTAAGAAAAACAGTAAGAGAGACAAGCAAGTACGTTCAGTACATTGCCCTCAGGCAGAAATCAGCTTATTATGTCCCAGGTACAAAAGAGCAGTGTGGCTGGACCGAGTGGGGCTGATAGGTGATATCCAGAGGTAGACGGCCAGATCCAATAGGGACTTCAAAGAGTTTTTAACAGGAGTGAAGTGATCTGACTGCCATGTTAAAGTATCATTGTAGCCGCTGTTGGACAGAGGCTGTCATGGAGCAGAGCGTCAGTTACATAGTGGAGTCCAGGTGGGAAGTGGGTTGGGGGCTTAGACCAGGGGCAGGCTGTGCACCTACAGAGGAGGGAACACACCGGACGATGCTGCCGGGGTGGCCCCTGGCGGATTGACTTTCTTCGGGATTAAATGATAGAAAAGTGCCTGCCACATAGAAAGTGCTCCATCGTTGGTCCATTGTCGTCGCTGTGAACGTATTGAACGGCTGTTTCTTGAGCACGTGATTCTGTTCCAGGCACTGTCCTAAAGCACACTACTCTTCTAGCTCACTTCGTTCATTCGAGGTGGGCAGTTTATTATCCCCATTCTACAGAAGGGGGACTTACACATCACTCTGCCACCCTCGGAAGGGGCCCCTGGAAGGTTCTGAGACCCAGCGACCCATTTTTAAGAGCCCAGGTTCTTCTGTGTCGTCAGCCAAGGCCGTCCCGCCCTGAACTCTGATGCTGACGGTCCCTCAGATCTAGCACTGGTCTTCCTTCTAGAAGCAGTTTTCAGACAGAAATAAGTGTGGTCCCGGTACAGTTAGAGTCAGCCTGCACCCTGAGTTAGCAGCGTCCTCCGAACCCAAGATCCGCAGACTTGGACAGAATTAAGCTGTGGTCATCGTTTCAACAGTGGAGCTAAAGTAAGCTTGTTTCTGCAGCCCTGGGAGTGTCATTATGAAACAAAGTGCGCGTATTGGGAGGAAAGACGATGTGAGTCACTGAGCAGCTGTTGCTGATGCGTTCAGCCACGCACGAGAGGAATCAGAATAAGAGGACCCGTGACAGCCTGGACATGTCTACACGTTTTCATCTGGGGGACTCTTGGGGGCTTGTTTCCTTGGCCCTGGCACCGTGTCAGCAGAGACCGCAGGCCGCAGAGCAGAGAGACATTTAAAGTTCCCGCCCACCCTGCCATGTTTCCAGAGGGCATGGGCTAGCTGAGTGCTCAGATGTGTAGGGAGGCCCTGTGCAGAGCCAGCTCCGCTGTGGTCGTGAGAGCATCCGCACCAGAACCAGTCAGACCTCGCCTGCTTTTCTGTTGTACCAGCTGTGAGCGCCTCCTGTCTGAGGACGTGCCTGCCGCTTTCAGCACCCTCTGCCCATCTCACTTCCTGCCTTTCATTTTCCAGCAGTCCTCGTCGTCCAGTGGGAGCGTGTTTGGGTCAGGAAACACCGGAAGAGGGGGAGGTTTCTTCAGTGGCCTTGGAGGGAAACCCAGCCAGGATGCAGCCAACAAAAACCCATTCAGCTCGGCCAGCACGGGCTTTGGATCTGCAGCCACCCCAAGTAAGTGGAGAAAGTTTGCACAACCCTGCGCCCCGGATGCCACTGTCATCTTTGTGGTGTTATCAACTCTTCAGTGACAAGTATAGAAAGGAGAGGTGTGCAAGAGCCATTGAAAATATCTACCCCCACCCTACCTTAGCTTCTCAGCCTTTTGCCTACAATCAAGTGTAAAATATCTATCCCAACGTGGTGTGATCTGTTTTGATTCTGTTTTTTACTTTCAGTTTTTTAATGAAATGTCTTATATAATCGTGAAAAGACATCAGAGCTGCAGGGAGAGGGCTGAAATGAACTAGATGGAAGTGACTTGAAATGAATGCGAGCAGACAGGCCTCCGCGAGAGCCGCTGAGCACACTGGGTGTGCTGGCGACGTGCTCGGGAAGCACGTGGGTTTTCACTGGTGCCCACTCGGCGCTGGCTTGCAAACCGGCTGCCGGGAGAACCGCCACCCAGAAGTTGAAGCCTTCATTATTTCTCCTGTCTTACTTTTCTGTCTCATCTCAAATGAAGCTGTACCCTTCTGTGGTACCCTTCTCCAGCTGATTTCTAAAGTTCCTCGTTGCTGTCTCTTCATGATTGGAAGTGAGAGAAATTTATTTCTTTAAATCTTTAAAAAAAAATGGAAAGTTGGGGACTTGTCATCTTTGTCTTAGCCCCTCTCGTGCACTGTGCTGCACAGGAAGGTCTTAGTGAGCCAAGAGCTCGTGTCCCACGGACGGGGCGGATGTTTCCTGAGTGCGAAGGCTCCTGTAGCTAAAAGCAGAGCTTTCTCCCGAGTCTCCCAATTCTCAGATCTGTTATTCTGATGTCACTGTCCACCTGGTAATATGAAAAGAGAGCTCGCGGTCAAGTGACACATGCCTCTTCATTGGTAACATGATGTGATGGGAAATTCTTTTCTCCGGCCTTCGGTCTGCCGGGAGGAGTTCGGAACCCTAGAATGAAGGGACCTTAGAAATAGAGTCTAGTCGTTTTCAAAAACTGTTTCTGCAGACGAACTCTTAAGCAGAATTCTGATTTGCAAAACATAAAAAGAGGTTACTCAGAACAGGGGCCAGAACCAGAGACACATCTGCGTGGTTCCCCCTCCCCAGCTATTGTCACAGAACTCGGGCTCCGCGCACACTGAAAACGTCCTTGCCTAGCACGCTCCATTTCCCAGTAAGGGACAAGCTCCAAGCGGTTTGGTGATTTCTTGGGGTTTTTTAAGGCACGGAGCCAGACAGTGGCAGATCTGGAATTCATCTGCATCTTACATAACGTGCCAAACAGCGTCTTGCACAGAACAGGCACTTGGTAACATGCTGGTTAGGATGTAGGTTTACCCTGGGTGCCTTATCACCTGCGAGGCTGTGTTTGTAGCCTATTTTTGTTAAAACTTAGGTGCATCATATCCTTGTAAAAATTCCTTTTCTTCTGGCTGATTCATCTCTAGTGCCCTGGCTCTCACCTGTCAGAGACTCGCCCTCTCTCCTGGGTGGGCGGGAGCTGGCCCCACCTTCAGGGACTGCAGGGCTGTTATTTACACCATGCAGATGGGGCAGTGTGCTCCACTCTGTTCACTGCAGCCATTGTCTCTAATTCTTTAGTTCTGGTGTCAAGTAAGCACCTCTACTCCTGATACCAGACACCTGCTGGGCTGCATCTCCTACAGGTGGGCGGTTGTTACCCTGCAGCTGACTTTTATGCCTTGGGCAAGTTTGAGTGCATTTGAAAGGATACAGGAAAGACTTAACATTGTTTTTAAAACCCAATGTATGACTTGATGGTGACAGGGACGGGAGCCTCTGTAGCCCGAGGACCAAGTGCAGGGAAAGAGGAAGGGACAGTGGAGGAGGAGCCAGAAGTTATCCGGCCAGAGAACTGAGAGTGCTCTCCGCAGGCCACCAGGGACAGCCCCTTTCTCCCTGGGTGACTGCGACATGTGGTGCTTTCTTTTTTTCTTGATTGATTTTTTGAGAGGGAGAGGGGGCGAGAGATAGAAACATGGATGAGAGAGAACATCGACTGGCCGCCTCCTGCACGCCTCCTACTGGGGATTGAGTCCACAACCTGGGCATGTGCCCCGACCGGGAATCGAACTGGGGACCTCTTGGTGCAGGATCGATGCTCAGCCACGGAGCCACACCAGCTGGGCAACGTGTGGTGCTTTGAGCACTTCTTCCTGGACACGTGGATCAGCGTCCCAGTTCTCTTCCTGCCTCTCGGTCGTCCCCCCCTGTCTGCTCTGTCTCTGTCAGGGTGGGGCGTGTTCCAGCATCATCTGGGTACTCAGACTCCCTTCCCTGCCTCCGTCTCCTCCACTGTGGTCTGAAAATCCACACCAAGTTAAGTGGCTGAAGGCTACTTTAATTTCGCCACTATCCCTACTCAAAACTCTTTGCAGCTCCCCACTGACTAGGGCAAAAAACCCAACTCCTTGGCCTGAAATTCAGGGCCCTCCGTGAGCTGGCCCTAACATACTTTTCTTTTTGTCTGTCTTAAAATTTTTTTCTCATTGGTTGCTTCTTTGTATGTGCCCTGACTGGGGATCAAACCTGTGCCTTTGGTGTATCAGGACAATGCTCCAACCAACGGAGCTGTCTGGTCAGGGCCCCAACATACTTTTCTGACTTTGACTCAGTTCCCCCAGCATGTTCTCCCTGCCTCAGTGCTGCTGTTCACACTTCTGCCCCCAGCCCACCCACCTGAACCTGCCCTTCCTTTAGGTGAATGAAGTTTCTTCCTCCGTGCAGCACGGCTGGGGTCCCGCGGGCCCACCGTTGTTCTCTCTGCACGGAGCCCTGCAGTTTCTGAATTTTGTTCCTTGACAAGACATCGAGCAGAAGCGAAATAACCTTGATTGATTACCTACTGTGTGCTGGGTGTTCAGTGTATGTGGGCTGATCACTTCCTTTTTTTATCCTCACCCGAGGACATTTTTGCATTTATCTTCAGATAGAACGGGAGGGAGAGAGAGAGAAAAACATCAATGTGAAAGGGACACATCGAATGGTTGCCACCCACACAACTCGGGCCGGGGACAAACTACAACCGAGGTACGTGCCCTTAGCGGGAACCGAACCCGGGTCTCTCTGGACCGCAGGCTGACGCTCTAACCGCTGAGCCAAGCCAGCCAGGGTTGATCACTTCTTACAACCGTGCTTTTAGGTGTGGCTGTCCCCATTTCACCAATCAGGACAGCGACGGGATATGGACTTCCAGAGGTGACAGCCATCAGAGAGTCCTCTGGTGTGTTCCCAGATCCCTGCTGCACCTCGCTCCTCCTGGGCCCTCCCGGCCTGCTGTGCCCTGGCAGGCCTCCCAGGCTGTGACAGCCCTGCGCTGGTCCTCATGGCGCCGCATGCTCCCCCTCGCACACGTGTCTGAGCCCAGATCGAGCAACCAGTGCCCTCTGCCACTTAGCTTCTGCCCCGAGGAGTGGTCAGAACCGCACAGTGCCCGAGAAGACAGGCTGGGTACCGCACGGAGGCTCACCCTAAAGGCCCTTTTCCTGTCTTCCCCAGAGACAGTGCCAAGACTCACTGCAACCCTGGAGCCACTTAAAACCCACCACCACGGTGACTTGTTACCTGTAAGGTCCTACCACCTGCTCGAGTCGTGTGAGGACATTGGCTGGGACCGTCCTCAGTACATTTCTTTCTGTCCAGGGGCCTGAAAGACATATTTGTGTGGGGATGAAGAAGCCCGTTGATGAGAATGTATTGGGCTCACAAGGCTCCCTCTACACTGTTTTTTAAGAAAATATCCTGGCCCTGGCCGGTTTGGCTCAGCGGTTAGAGCATCGGCCTGCGGTCCGGAGAGACCCGGGTTCAGTTCCCGCTAAGGGCACATACTTCGGTTGCAGTTTGTCCCCGGCCCTGGTTGGTCGTGCAGTGGCAGCCACTCGATGTGTCCCTTTCACATCAATGTTTCTCTCTGTCTCTTCCTCTCTCTCCCTCCCACTCTATCTGTACAAAAAATGGAAAAATGTCCTAGGGTGAGGATAAAAAAAAAAGAAAGAAAGAAAAGTGTCCTGGGCAGGTACTTCTTGAGAATCCTGTTCTCAGTCTGTGTTGAGTCCTCATTTAGTGACTTGAGACCTGCAGGACGGCAGGGAGCAGGTCTCTGCGGTGATATTCGCATGGCGATGTTAGGTTGTGCTCATGTACTTGGACAGAAAAGACCAAGAGGGTCAGTGTGCCAGCAGGTGGGAGCCCACAGCAGGCGCCTGCCTGCCCCAGGGGGGAGGTCAGGTGGCTTCGCCGAGACCAGTCTTGCTGGCTGGCTTGCTCACTGTCCCAGCAACAGGAGAGCCTCTTCTTTGCCACATTTTTGAGAACTAGAGACTTATTTGGGAGCCATTAGGAGACAGCCGAGACACACGTTGTTGACCACAGAGCAGAGAAGCAGACATTGTTTTCTGCCACCTCGTTTTCGAGCAGCTTAAGTAGCTCCTGAAACGGGCGTGCTCGGCCCCCCGGCTGCTGAGTCGGCCATTGCAGCGGGAATGGGGGCGTTCCCGGGACCTTCCCGGAGCGGCAGGACTCCGTGTTCTGCAGCTGGCCGACTCTGGTTTATCATCTTGAACGTGATTGCATATGGCAGGGGGACGAGTTAAAGAGACGGGGAAGTTGTGTTTCCTGGGGGTCCATCGTGTGCCTGACGAGGTGCCCTGGCCCACTACCCGATTCACTCCCTGCAGCCACTTTGCGTGCTCACAGCCGCTGTCCCCTGTTCTGTGTGGGACAGGCTCGGGAAGGCTCAGTCCTTGCCCAGCGTCGTAGTCATCAGGTACTCCAAGCCAGGTCTGAATGCAAAACTTTAAGAGAGAAAGGGATAAAGAAGCCCAAAGACTTCTAAATGTTCTCTGGCCTCTGGGATTTAAGGTTCCCGACATTGTCCCAGGAAAATCACTTCACCTCTGTGTTTTGGCTTCTCCAGGAGGCAGTCTAGCCCCTAATCTTGCATGTGAATTTGTTTGCTGTTTGAAAGTTTGCATCGTTAGCACTAAGTCAGAACATTGCAGTCTCTGTTCCTGAAACTCCAAGTTGGAGTGACCGAGAGGCCTGTTTTCGTCTCCAGGGTCAGATGGATGCCACTGAAGGAATCGAAAGGGACCTCCAGCTGGCTCGTCAGGGGAGGCTCGGAGCGTCCGAGAGGACTCCCCCGGGGGATAAATGACCCGTGTGCCCTTCATGAGGGTTGACCACCCTCGCTGCCGGGGCCCGGCACACGCATGGCCACGCTCTAAACTGTCAGCGGTCGTTCTGGAGAGCAGGTGGCCAGGTGGCGGTCTGAGGCTCTCTGTTGTTGGTGCCTGGAAATCTGAGGTGGTCGTGTCCCTGAGGGACAGTCCCATCTCACACATGTGGGATTGGTGACAGAGCGGACGCGGGGCCTTGGGACGGACAGGTTAGTGGCGGACCACCTCTTCAGACAACTTTGAGTGGGAGTGACTCCTCCCCACGTCTCCTTCCATCTCCCCACTGAGCACGTGACGGGAAGCCTGGCCTCCCGCTGTGTTTGCACGTCTCACTCAGTGGCACAGTCAGCTGTCCTTTCCCACCCAGAGCTCATGTCAGCCTCCTGTGAGGCCTCTCTGCACGCCGACCTCATTTCAGGATAGCTCCTCCTTCAGTGAAAGACCCGTCCATACGTGGTGGGGGAACAAATACTTCTCACCCACCTCGGTTTTGGTAGTTAGTTTCCTTTCGTTGTTGGAGCGGATTCAGTGTATATTTGAGGGAGTGACCCACTAGATACGCATCTGAAAGGTCAAGAGCTTAACTGAACCTCTTAGAAAGAGGAAATCAGACTGGAAGTCTCGCTAGCCTCTTTTCCATTCTCAGAACACCCCTGGCTCCCATCAGATCAGAGGTAGGAGCTCGTGGTGGTGGTGTGTCTGCTGTTCTCTGAGCAGCCCCAGCAGCCCGCACGCCACACTTGACTACAGAAGCGGAGGCTGGCAGCCGCTGTGCTCGCTTGGGATTTGCTCTGACTTTATTTTCTCTAGTTCGACGAAATCTGAAGTTGGCCTTATGAGGAGATGGGTGAAAATAAGCCCCTTTCTTCAGAAGACGGCAGCCGTGGTGGACAGGCTGAGACCTGGGGGGGGGGGGGTGCGGGCGGGTTTCTGTGTCTGTAGAACTGCGTCGGGAAGCCCTGAGCCTGGACACCGAAGTGATCACGTCCCGTCTTCCAGACGCCGCAGGTCAGAGAAGGTGTCCATTGCTCTGCAGCTCAGCTCCCTGGAATCTTAGACTCCCTTCTCCCAAAACACCCAGCTGAGGCTTCTTCCTTCTCTGTTCTGAGAAGTAAATAAGGACATTTTTCTCCCTCGGATTTCCCTCACTCGTGTCTTTCATCTCTGTAGGTACCTCTAACCTCTTTGGAAACAGTGGGGCCAAGGCATTTGGTAGCTTTGCCAGCTCGTCGTTTGGAGAGCACAAACCTTCTGGCACCTTCAGCTCTGGAGGAGGAAGTGTGGCATCGCAAGGCTTCGGGTTTTCCAATGCAAATAAAACAGGTACTGGTGTCTTCGTCGGCTGTGGGTATTTGCACATGTGTGTTCACAGGTGCGCAGGTATCCGGAAGGAGGGAGACTCTCCAGCGGGGCTCTCCAGGAAGTACGATCAGGGCACGATGGAGTGACTCCCCCACACGCACACTTTGTTTCTATGTTTAATGAGCATCTGCTGTGTTCCTCACACCGTTCCAGGTCTCCTGAGACACATTAAACAGCACGGAATGCACGTTATAGAACCCTTAAGAGAACTTAGAATCTTCTTAGGGAAGAAAACATTGTAAATATTTAGCAATTGCAAAACAACCAAGGTAAGGGAACATATAAGAAAATGATAACTAGCCCTGGCCTGTTGGGCTCAGCAGTTAGAGCGTCGGCCTGCGGACCGGAGAGACCCAGGTTTGGTTCCCGCTAAGGGCACGTACCTCGGTTGCAGTTTGTCCCCGGCCCTGGTTGGGGTTGTGTGGGTAGCAACCACTTGATGTGTCTCTCTCACATTAATGTTTCTGTCTCTCTCTTCCTTTCTCTCTCCCTCCCACTCTGTCTGAAGATAAATGCAAAAAAAAAAAAAAAAAAAAAGGTCCTTGGGTGAGGATTAAAAAAAAAAGAAAGAAAGAACTGAAATGTAAACAAGAAAGCATCTTGAGCCACACATTTGCTTAGGTGCCCATTGACTGTCACAGGTAGACAGACTGTTTAATTTCTTATGTCTGTGTCATTTTGCCTTCTTTCCCAAATCACTTGTTTTTGCTTTTAATTGAGTAAAATAAACATAAACATATCAGATAGGCATGTGTGTGTACTGTATCCAGATATCCACAGCATAAGCGTGCAGCTCAGTTACTGCTCCAGTGGACTGTGTCCATCTAATCAAGGATAAAGACCGTCGCCAGCATCCTCGTCATCCCAGCATTACTTTGAAAGTACATTTATGAACTGTGGCATTTTATAGCCATGCATTACACTTAGAATTAAAGTTTTTAAAGAACATAGTATATTTAGACACAGAAGCACACTTCATTGTCATCACCTGTCTCTCTGTCCCATTTCTGTCTCTGAGCTCCACAGGGCTCTGCCTTTCTGCCCCTGTTGCATGGACAGTGGTGTGGAGGACATTTTTGAGGCATGGGGCAGAGGAGGGCTGTTTGCTGAGAAGGGCTCTTTCAGGCTGGCTCCCTGGGTGAGCAGCAGGACACTCGCTCGTTTGAGTGTGGGAGAGACTGAACGTCAGAGGAAGGACCCGACCTGTGGACCAGATGCATGGTGACCCTGGCTCCGACCGTCCCGCCTTAGCTCTGGGACCGCCTCTCAGAGTCCACGTTGGTGTGGCTTCCAGAGGCACCGGTCTTCAGGCCTGTGGCCAGGGCGGTAGACTCAGCTGCCAGGTTCTGGTCCTTTTTTCTAGAATTTAAGATGGATGAGAAATGGGCATCGCACCCTTATTTTGCCCCAACCTTCCCTGCAGTGAAGGGTTTATTTTATTGTTGTTTTTATTCCTCACCTGAGGATATTTTCCTACTTATTATCAGATAGAATGGGAGGGAGGGAGAGAGAGACAGAGAGAAACAGCGACATGACAGAGCCACATCGACTGGTCGCCTCCCTCACACGACCAGGGCCAGGGACAAGCCGCAACTGAGGTCCATGCCCTTGACTGGAATCGAACTCGCGACTGATTGATCTGCGGGCCGACACTCTACCGCCGAGCCAAACCGGCCAGGGCTCTGCAGCGAAGAGTTCAAAATGAAAGGGCTCCAGGCCCTTGTTCCTCATTAACAAGGAAATGTTATTTGAAAGAGAATTTAGTTCATTAGTCATCAAGACTATATTTTTAAGGGACCTGATAATTTCTTTGACTCATGTTTTTCTTATATGTGTTCCTTAGCCTGGGATCAGGTCACACTTGATAGGAGAGTCCGGTGCTTTTCATTTTTCTCCCTTGAAGGGAGTGTACCTCCCTTTCAGAATATTTTTCTATTTGTTTTTTTGCCGTGAAACCGCCTAGTTTGCGGGCTGGAACAGAGAAGGCTGCCGGCACGTACGAGAGCCGAGTGAACTAGGGCCAGAGAGGAGAGCGGTGCGGGCAGCCTGCTGTCCTGTGCGGCGGTTCTCGGGGCGCCCGGCCTCAGAAAGCCTGCTCTCAGCCAAGAGCCCCTGCCCAGGCGCACAGCCCGCGTGTCGCCCTTGTCGCTGTGCTTTGCGAGGGGCTCAGACTGCTGCTTGGCAGGGCTGTGAGGTTCCAGGGCCGCCTGCCTGCCCTCAGCGCAGTTGCGCCAGGAAGTGATGCTGCTGAGATGATGGAGGAGGGACAGAGGGACAGACTGTAAATGACCTTGCTGCCGCCCTGGTCTGGGGGTTCACCTGCTACTCTGGTGCTCAGGTCACTGGGTTAGTGGCAGTGGGGCAGGAAGGGGGGCACAGAAGGGTGAGACGGCAGGTGGTCTTGAGTCCCTCGGCCCTGCTTCCCGTCCCGGTGCCACCACTTCCCGTAGCTCAGCTCAGGCGCCATGTGTTCGAGCCTCCGTTTGCTCGCTGTGAAGGAGGGACCCCCGGTTCACTGGGGAGATGACAGCAGGCTGTTACACGGCGCTGGTACGTGAAGGGCCCTTACGATCAGGTATTTTAATAGTATTGATTTTAGTGCGTTCCTGTCTCTTCGGGGGAAAATAATCATGAAAATATGGCATCTAGTAAAAACGCACCCACAAGCTGCCTGTCTCCAGAAATAAGACCAAAGTGACCTTTCCCCGCGACCTGGGCTGGTGTGTGTGTTGACCCTCCTCTCCCCTGCCCACTCTGCTCTCTGTGTCACTGTGACTTCTCGCCTTTCACCCCCTTCCACCGAGAAGTCTGAGCGCTGCGGAGCACGAGGCACTAGATACAGGCCTGGGTGTCTAGGAAGAAAGTAACTAGATCTGTGATCAGTCTTAAATTATTCAGCTGCCAGGGTTTCGAGCACTTTTTCTTTTCCAGTTCGTTGTATTTGTAACCCAACAGTCCCCATTAGCACGGCTTGGAATTTCACTCAAGGTTTTAAAATGCAGGATGTCACCCCCAACACAAGCCGAGCAAGCGTGTCTTCTCAGTTGCGCGGGCGCTCCCAGCGTCGGGCCGTGACGTGGCCGCTGGCTGCAGACGCAGCGGGCGCCTTCCCTGGCTCAGGTGGCAGAGGCTCGCTGGGCACGCTTCCCACGAGAGGCCTGGCTGCCCCTGCAAGGGGTGCGCCTTCTGAGAGGCGAGGAGAGTGTCCCCGACCCCGCAGGCTGCTGTGCCTGGCTTGGCCGCAGCCACCGTCACCCCTGTGACGCGGAGCTCCCCAGCCAGGGCTCGTTCTGAGAAATACGCCCCTTCAGAGCACATTTCTCGTGCTGCTGTGTTCATTTTGTCCTGCACTCACCAAGGGTTTCTGCTGATAGCCTAGGGTGATTTAAACAGTATCTCGGGGTTTGGGGACCCTCCTCAGGAGCAGAAGGGACGGACGGTTGGTCCTCCCGCCTGCTGAGCATCTTGGCCAGTCGGAGCCGGCTGCCTCGGCACCCGTGACCTTTCTGGGCGGTGGCCACCCTGCCAGCCTGTGTCCACGTGAGCAGCAGGGCTGGGAGCTGCGGAGGGAGCCTGGGCTCAGATGGCTGTCCTCACAGCCCAGTGACTGTCCACACCTGGACGTTGTCTGACCACTTTGTACAGCAGCCTTCCTCCCGAGAAGAAATTCGGTGTGCTTTTGTGTGGGGTATTTTCTGACTGCAGAGAGAAAGGCGGTGGTGAGAGAGGGAAGAGCCATTCGCTCTAAATAAATACAAGGCTCCTGGCCCAGCACCAGCGCCGAGCAGCACTCCGCCTGCTGTAGCCCAGGTCACAGATCTCCCGCAGAGGGGACCCGGCGCTTCCGGTGTCGTGCTGCGGGTCTCCCTGAAGCCTGGCGCCTTGCCTGAAGGCAATAAGCCATGACACTGTCATCTTTGACAGCTGCATAGCAACGGGGGCTTTTGAGTGTGATTGTACAGTGAGGGGTCTCAAAACAGTGCAGCCGGGCCAGGAAGGGGCCGGAAATGCACCAAGTCGGTTGTTGGTAGCAATCTGATTGGACAAGACTTGGAGCTGGCAGGCCCAGTGTACCTCTGGGAGGGACCTGGGACCTCACAGGCAAACCTGAGGTCTGCTGGGTCCTTGGAATTCCAGGAGCTCTCCTGAGTGGACCCCAGACCTCCGCTCGAACTGGAGGGAGGTGGTTCGGTGACTGGTTTGCTTTGGGTTTAATTTGGATTTTGCTGATAGAAGGGATGTTGCCCTTTGTTTCAGTTTTTTGTGTTTGGATTTCTAACATGTTTTCCCTTTTTTCTCCCTCCTTTGATTTGGTTTCTCACTGCTCACTGTCTTCTCTCCCTGTCTCCTCCTTCCTTCCCCGTTTCTGTCTGTTTGCCTCTGTTTTGCTCAGGTGGCTTCGGTGCTGCTCCAGTGTTTGGCAGCCCTCCTACTTTTGGGGGATCCCCTGGGTTTGGAGGGGTGCCAGCATTCGGTTCAGCCCCAGCCTTTACAAGCCCTCTGGGCTCGACGGGAGGCAAAGTGTTCGGAGAGGGTACTGCGGCTGCCAGCGCAGGAGGATTCGGGTAAGCCCCCGGGGGGACGGAGGGCCCGCAGGCTCGGGCCAGCCAGCAGCACTGCCCCTCCTGTCCGAAAGGGAGTCCGTGCATCTCGCGGCCCTTGGCTGCGAGCCGAGCGCCCCTACGTCGAGATCAGCAGACAGGTCGCTCCCAGATCCCTCTTCTCCGGCCAGACTCCGCCGAGTGCGCGGGGGCAGCGGCCATGCTGCTGCCCCTGGTGCGTAAGGTTGTGGTTGGCAGAGCCCTGTCCTCCTGCTGGACGTGAACAATGGGCTAGAGGAAGAAGAAGTCCTGCCATGGCCCTTTGTGGTCACTCCTGCTAGGATATTCCAAGGGAAGGTTCTCACAGACTCTTTCCTCTTGGGTGGTTATGCATTAGACCGTCATGCTCGAGCAGGCCACTCCCGTGCCCCCTCCTCTACGCCAGAGCCCTGGAGGGTGCTCAGTCCGCAGTGCTCGGCTGGCTTCCATGCCAGGCACTGCCTGGGCCCCGCACGTCTGAGTCTCGGTGACCACTCAGCTTCCAAAGCTGCTCCCACGCCGTGCACACGCCCTCCCTTCAGAATGTCATGTGGGCATTGACTTTCATGGGCCCCAAAAACTCTGTCCGATTGCCAAAACCCCAAGGGAAACATCTCTCACCGCACCACAAAGTCCCAGTGAAATATATGTGGTCACGACATCAAAGTGCCTCGTTCAAGGAGGTATTGGTGGCCGAAATACCTGTCTGATAGACCTCTTGCCCTCGGCACTGGCTCAGGACGTGGGAAGGTGAAGATTGGGGGAGGTGAAGATTGGCTTCATGTTGGGGAATTGTTAAGGTCTTGGTGAGGTGACACCATCTTTGTCATGAAAACAAGCTTATGTTCTTACTCATACCCTTTCTCCTCCACGAAAACCTGGTGCAAAGTGTTGGGAAGTGTCAGGAACGTGCGCAAGTCTATGTGTTGCTTCTTGGGTTTCATGTAGAGATGAAGGGGTCTGTTACGTTTCCCCCAGGAAATCCCCAGGATTTACGTGAAGGGAACTTTTAAAGGAGCGTTGGGACTGACTTTCACCAGTGTTCTGCGCAGGTCCTGGAGGACCTAGGCTCTCCCTGGTCCACTGGCCCAGCCCACGGCCGTCCCGAGCTCTCCCCGGCCCAGCCCACAGCCGTCCCGAGCTCTCCCCGGCCCACCGGCCTAGCCCACGGCCGTCCCGAGCTCTCCCCGGCCCACCGGCCCAGCCCACAGCCGTCCCGAGCTCTCCCCGGCCCAGCCCACAGCCGTCCCGAGCTCTCCCCGGCCCACCGGCCTAGCCCACGGCCGTCCCGAGCTCTCCCCGGCCCAGCCCACAGCCGTCCCGAGCTCTCCCCGGCCCACCGGCCTAGCCCACGGCCGTCCCGAGCTCTCCCCGGCCCACCGGCCCAGCCCACAGCCGTCCCGAGCTCTCCCCGGCCCACTGGCCCAGCCCACGGCCATCGCTGGAGGCCTCTGCTGACTGGGGATCTTGAGGGCTTTTGCTGACTTATTTGAAACCAGCTGTCTCACTACTAGTGAGGTGCCGTGCTCTGCCTGGGAGGGGAGCTCCCGTAGCAGTCCGACTGGCTGGTGAGGGCCACTTTGTGAAGCAGGGCTGACGAGGACTGGTTGAAGATTCCCAGTGTGACATCTCCAAGGGGCCATTGTCATCCCCTCTGTGCAGGTCCCCGGCCTCTGCCCCTGCAGACCTCTGAGAGCTCCCGCTGTGTCTGTGAGAGCCTGAGGTGGGAGTGGGGCTGAGCATGCCCAGCAGGGCCCCTGGGGAAACGGCAGTGCGGACAGGGCCAGGCTGTCTGCGTGTGGACGGCCCCAGCCCCAGTGTGAAAGTGGACAGGATCAAGGTCCACAGGAGGCAGGCGCCGGGTGTCGATCAGCGAGAGATGCTGCAGTGGGGGGATGAAACTCAGAGCTATTGGAGAAAGAGCAAAAAAACGCAGTGCTGCTTAATTGCTAAGCGGCCTGGAGTGTCCAGACAGTGGACACAACTGACTGGACAAGCTCCTGGATTTCGTATTTTTCATTCTTCCCAAAGCAGAGGTGGTTTGCCCCCGGCTCTGGCTGCTGGTTCACGCCGAGCAGGTGCCCGGATGCGTGCGCGCCGAGCCCCGCCATCCGAGGCTTCCAGGGGCCCTCGCCTGCGCTGACGTCTGTTTCTCGCTGGTCCAGGTTCGGGAGCAGCAGCACCACCACGTCCTTCGGCTCCCTCGCCAGCCAGAACGCACCGGCGTTTGGGTCGCTGCCCCAGCAGACTGCGGGCTTTGGGACCCAGAGCGGAGGGTTCTCTGGCTTTGGATCAGGCACCGGAGGTAGGCAGCCAGCCCTCCTTCCCAGGGCCCCTCCCACCTGCTCCTGGGCACATGCCCCTCCCTCACCTGGGAAATGCGTGGTGTGCACCTGGCTAGTCAGTGTAGTGTTTTAAAAGCTGAAAGCACTTGAGGGCAAAATGTTCTTTTTAGGTTTTAATTGGACTTGTAACATTGTGCCATTTTTTTTACCAAATTTTTCTCAAGATTTTAGAACACAAAGTAATATTTGTCTTCCTAGATCCTAGTTTAAAAATCCAAGCCAGCAAACAAAAAGTAAGATGTAGAGACTTCACCAGCCCTGGCTGGTTTGGCTCAGCGGTTAGAGCGTCGGCCTGGGACCAGAGAGACCGGGTTCGGTTCCCGCTAAGGGCGTGTACCTCTGTTGCAGTTTGTCACCGGCCCTGGTTGGGTCGTGCGGGTGGCAACCACTCGATGTGTCCCCTTCACATCGATGTTTCTCTCTCTCTCTCTCCCTCCCACTCTATCTGAACAAAAAATGGAAAAATGTCCTTGGGTGAGGATAAAAAAAAATTTGAAGAGACTTCACCAAATGTCTCTCATTTCTGTAACACTCTGCTTCTTCAGGTAGCAGAGTGTCTGTGTTCTGTTTTCATCTTTGCAACGCACTTGGGAGTCTCAGAAGTCAGGCATTGTTACTGTCTTACAAATGGAGACATAAACACTCTAAGGGACCAGTTTGCCCCAAGGTCCAGCCAGTGAGCAGCAGAGCCAGGCCTGGAAGCCAGGGTCCTGCTTCTCTGGCCTCAGAGAGAGGAGAAAGCAAGTGACGGGACAGTAGGAAAACATTTTCCCAGCGAGATGGATCTGTATGGCCCCGGGGAGCTGAGTGAGAGGGGCCGGACCAGAGACCCCCTTCCCACCCCAGCGAGGGAGGAGGAGGAGGAGCCCAAAGACAACCCCCTTTCTGCCCGACCTGCAGGAGGGCTTTCCGTGGGGAGGAAGGGGAGGGCATTTGGCCCAGGGTCCACCTTTGTCTTTCAAGTATCCGAGTGTCTTCACTTCACCCTTCCCGTCTTTTCCAGGGTTCAGCTTTGGCTCATCTAACTCGTAAGTATCTCCGGCTTTGCCGCATGGAAGGGGCTGGAAGGGAAGAGTGTGGTTTGTGAGAATATTGGACTGCTGCTTTTTGCTCGATGTATACTTTCTTCCTGCTTTAAAGGCGTGTCCTGGAAGCGTGGGGGCTCTGCAGCAGGTTTGGGGTTCTGTGGATTTGCTGTCTTGGGATGTGGCAGGGGTGCCAGGCCAGGCCGTCCCAGGGCCGTGCAGCGGAGGGCGGGCCTTCCGATCGAGACCCGCAGGCAGGCCTTGAGAGGTGCCTTTCCGCTGGGTTCGGGCCCACTGGCCAGTCGTGTTTTTGATCATCACTGTGCTTCTGTGTAGAGTCGCGTGAGCGTGAAGGCGCAGCCTGACCTGAGTGCAGGCCTGCGTGAGCCCGGAAGCCGATCCGCCCCCGCTTCCTTGCAGGTCGGTCCAGGGCTTTGGCGGCTGGAGAAGCTGAGTGGTGTCGGTGTCCTTCCAGTTCCTGTGACAGCGGCGTTCTCAGGTCCTCGTCCCTGAGGAGCACGGGGACAGTCCTCTGGGGGCGCTGTCCCCCCTGGCACGCAGACCGAGACCAGCACCCGGCGGGTGCCTTTTGGTTTTCATTTCATATTGGTTGTTCCCCTCCGCCCCTGCTATTAAACTGTTTGGTTGTTTACACACAGGTTGTAAGTGGGTTTTTTCAGGTCACAGCCAAGGACAATTTCCTGGTGTCTGGGGCGGCCTCTGGCCAGCGGCGGGCATCTCCGCGGACGAGCACCGGTGGTGGGCGCAGTCCCATCCCCTCGGACGTCGGCTTCCCCGCGGGGAAGAGGTTGGGTGCTGCTTGTCCCCTTTCTGAGGCAGTACCTTGTACCCCTTTTTGTGTCCTCTTTGCTGCTGGGTGGAGGAAGCTCGCTTGGCGGGCGTCTGCGGGGTCTCAGATGTGCAGCCTCAGGGCTGAGGGGCCGAGGCAGACCTGGAGAGCAGCCCGTGGGTGCTGCGACAGCGCTGTCCTCGGAACCGGCCCTCGGACGCTGTGCCCCACAGCTCATTCCTTCTGCTCGGGGACAGTGACATTGGTCACCACGCTGGGCCACTGTCTGTCACCCACTGTGCAGATAGTCCTCAGGTGGACCGAGGAGTCGAGAAGACACTGCTGCTTCCCAGTCCACAGCAGTGTGTCTGCCGGGCGGGCCTGGGGTCCGACGCCTGTCCTGCCGTGGGCCTGGCGTGCCGGTTCACTCAGCGCAGGTCAGCTCTGAGGCGGCAGCGCGGCCGTCGCTGACAAGGGTCGCCTCACCCAGGGGGGTAGGCGCTCGCGTCTGTCCAGCCCCGCACTGGCCGTGGTTGTTGAGAGCTTCACGCTTTGGGAAGTTGTGTGTTGGGATTGTTGGGGAGGGGAGGTCTCACCGGATCCCTGTGCTGCAGCCTGGCCTGGGTCCTGCTCTGCTGGGTTTCGGTCGCAGCACCAGACCTGTGGTTCCGATCCCTGGGCCTGGACGGGGTGTTGAGTTCAGTGCTGCGCCCCATCCTGAGCCGGGATGAGATCCACGGGCACCCAGAGGACCGTCCCTGCTCGGGTTCACGAGAGACGAGGGCTCTTCCATTTGCACTAGTGAGGGCGTCCGCCTCAGAGAGCTGGGGCGCCAGGGGTTTAATGGGGACCTGTTTTGGTCCTTGTGGAACTGAAGAGCCTGCCTCCACCTGTTCTCACAGGAGGCCCACAGCCGTGGAGCAGAGGACTGTCCCCCAGACGTGCACACAGCCAGGCCGGGGCGCTCCCATCCCAGGGCGCCGGCGTGCACAGCTGCCGTCTCGAGACAGAGGAACTCGGATCCTGATGGGGAGCTCGTGACGAGGGCCTCGCTTGAGAGGCAGCAGTGCGGCTAGTGACCCCTGCCTGGCATGTCATCCTGTCTCCTGCCCGTCTGCTCCCCCCCGGAGGCTCTTTTTTATAAATAGAAGCTGGTTCGGCCTAAACCCTTGACCTCAAATTCTCTGTCTTAATCCTCCATGGAGGTGGCAGGTGACGTGGGCCCAGGAGGCGCGTCAGCTGTGCCCGCCAGATAAGGCCGCTCACTGTCGGCGGCCGTGCTGCGCTGAGCTCCTTTTTTGGGGTCGGTTCACTGGTAGGTGGCAGGGGTCATCTCAGAACACAGCCAGCACGCAGCCCCCGACCCCAAGCTCCTGGGCTGTGGGGCGGGAATGCAGTGGCTCCAGCCCGCCCCGGAGAAGCCGAGAAGCCGGTGGGGCCGGCCGGGCCTTTCCCGTGGGGGCGGCAGAGCACAGCTGGGCCGAGGGGATGGAGACCCGGCGAGCAGGGCCCAGGGCTGCGCAGCTGGCCCGCGAGGCTGGCCGCTTGTCTCACGCAGCTCAGGAGAGGCAGGGAGGAAGGGGCGGCAGCTGAAGGCTGGCTGTGCTTTGCCCAGCTTTTCCAGACTGAGTGTCGTGTGCTCATAAGTGGTGCTTCCGACGGCAGCACAGTGACCAGGCCATGAATCTGGCTCTCGGGGACAGGAAGAGCCCACATGACAGTGGGCATGTGCGTGTGCCCTTCATGCCAGTGCACCTGGGCGGTGGCCCCTGGCACCATCCCGCCCGCCCCAGGGTGGGCCTGCTGCGGGCCTTCAGTTTTGCTTTCTGTCTCTGGCAGCCTCCAGAGAAGTTTCTAGGTCAGGCACTCCGGAAGGGGTGTGGTCCATGTGGGCTGCCACTAACCCCCCCAGGAGTACTGAGACCAAAAGCAGGCCCCGGGCCTCCTGTCTCCTGTCGGGGGCTTTTCCCTGGCGTTTGGAGGCTGGGACGCCCGTCCTGCGGCAGTCACGGGGTGCACGAGGAAGGACCTGCAGAGCGCCGGCTCCGCGCGGGCTCCTGCCCCCCAGGCCTTGCCCTGCATCCCAGGTGACCGGTCCATGGGGAGCATGTTTCACCTGATTGTGGGGCCCCTGTCCAACACAGAACCAGGTGGGTGACAGGCCAGCCCTCCTGAAACTCATGCAGGAGGGCTCGATGTTGAGATTCTGATTCAGCAGAGCCGGTCGGGCTCTTGAGTCCGTGGTTTTGACAGGCTTTGCAGGGGATTCCAGTGCAGGTCCCTGGACCACATCTTGAGAAAGCCTTCGCCGCATAACTTATCCCCCAGCTTCGGACCGTCTAACTGCCATGGACGTATTTATTTTGCCACTAATCCAGGGCAAGGGACCTTCCTGAAATTGTTAACAACAGACACCGAGTTTCATTTCAGCTGCTCTGGGGACCTGCTCAGAAACAGCTGAAAGCCCCAAGGGCTGCCACCTCCTTCCCACTCAGCCTCCCAGGCCTCCCGGGACGTCCCCGTCCCTCCGGCCAACTGTGCCCTCCCGACGGAGCACTGGGGAGAGGACGTCCCGCCCCTCCGGCCAGCTGTGCCCTCCTGACGAAGCACTGGGGAGAGGACGTCCCGCCCCTCCGGCCAGCTGTGCCCTCCCGACGGAGCACTGGGGAGAGGACGTCCCCGTCCCTCCGGCCAGCTGTGCCCTCCTGACGAAGCACTGGGGAGAGGACGTCCCGCCCCTCCGGCCAGCTGTGCCCTCCTGACGAAGCACTGGGGAGAGGACGTCCCCGTCCCTCCGGCCAGCTGTGCCCTATCCTGAGTAAGCACTGTGGGAGAGGACGTCCCCCGCCCCTCCGCCAGCGGTGCCCCACCTGACCGGACACTGGGGAGAGGACGTCCCGGCCCCGGCCGGCCAGCTGTGCCCTCCTGACGAGCAACTGGGAGAGGACGTCCTCCCCTGCAGGGGCCAGCTGTGCCCTCCTGACGAAGCCTGGGGAGAGGAAGTCCCGCCCCCCGGCCAGCTTTCCCTGCCTGACGAGCACTGGGGAGAGGACGTTTCAACCGCCCCTCCGGCCAGCTGTGCCCTCCCGACGGAGCACTGGGGAGAGGACGTCCCGCCCCTCCGGCCAGCTGTGCCCCCCTGATGGAGCACTGGGGAGAGGACGTCCCCGTCCCTCCGGCCAGCTGTGCCCTCCCGACGAAGCACTGGGGGGAGGGACGTCCCGCCCTTCCGGCCAGCTGTGCCCTCCCGAGGAAGCACTGGGGGGAGGGACGTCCCGCCCTTCCGGCCAGCTGTGCCCCCCTGACGAAGCACTGGGGGGAGGGACGTCCCCGAGTCCTGCCCAGCAGGCTCCGGCCTTTCCCTTTCCTCTGGTTTCATCCGCTCGTGGATCCCGTGCACGGTCCCCCGGAAACCTGACCAGTGCTTCTCCGCGCTTGCCGGTCCTTCCGCTCCCCGGCCCTGCCGGGTGGGCGCCTCTCCCTCCTGCTCGCGTCCCCCGTTTGTCTGTCCTTCGTCACTCGTGTGGACAGGAGCAGGTGCTGAGATGGTTCTAGCCCTAGACTCCGCTGTCTTCACAGGGTTTCCTGTGTGAAGTTTTCTGAGCCCAAACTAACCCGCTCCCCGGTCATACAAGTGGGGGCGAGAACAGACAGAACAGAACTCAGTGGCTCTTTATTGAAGACTCTTTGAGTCTTTAATATCATATGTGCTTTGTAAGTCAATAAAGTGAAATAGTCTGCCGTTTCCAAAGCTGTCTGGTCTCGGAGCCCGTCTGCTGGCTCCGGAGTCCGGGGAAGTCGCTGGCGGACGGCCTCTGTCCGTGTTGTTGGAGTGAAGCGCCCTTTCCCTCCTGCGGGCGGCGCTGTGCGTGTCCACGCGCCGATTTAAGCCGTGTTATTTTTAATAGTGTGTTGATTTTTTATTTTTATTTATTTATTTTATGACGTTTTATTTTATTTTTATTTTTTAATCCTCACCCAAAGATATTTTTACATTTATCATCAGACAGAGTGGGAGGGAGGGAAGGGGAGAGAGACACATCGACTGGCTGCCTCCCACACGACCTGACCAGAGCCGGGGACAAACCACAACCAAGGTACATGCCCTTGGTCAGATTCGAACCCACGACTCTTTGGTCCACAGGCTGAAGATCCAACCGCTGAGCCAAACCGGCCAGGGCAGTTTGTTGATTTTTTTTTTAGAGAAAGAGGAAGGGAGAAGAGAGAAATGTTGATGTGAGAGCACAGCATGGCTCGGCTGCCTCTTGCATGTCCCCCACCAGAGGTCAAGCCTGCACCCTGGGTGTGTGTCCTGACCCGGAATCGAACCGGCAACCTTCCGGTGCGTGGGATGGTGCCCAGCCAACTGAGCCACGTGGGCCAGGGCTCAGCTGTTTTTGATCCTCAGCTGGGAATCCACTTATCTGGAGGGCTGACTTCAGCCACGGCAGGTGCTCAGCGCCCCTGCCCCCTGCGTTGCTCAAGGGGCAACTCTTCGGCTACAGTAGTAGTGATAATTCATTGGGTGATGCTGTGTGCCAGATGCTGTCTGTTCTCAGTGCTTTGTGGACATTTTTGTGTTCAACCTACGAGCTAGAGACCATAACCCACGTCTTCTGAGGGCACCTGAGGCTGCGGGAGTGGCAGAGCCAGAAGGAACCCGGGTTGGCCACACCCCTGCCCTCTGTTAGGCTGGGCCATCCCCCAAGCCTCGAGATGGGCATTCGTTGTAAAGAAATACCCGGCCGCTGTGCCGGGGACACTGCCGA